TTTTAATCAATAATAAAAAGTCTAAACTTCTGAATATAACATTTATTGAAAAATTCATTTTTTCATAGGGGTTAACCCACATATTTTTAGAAAATGAGAAAATATGAAAATTTTCTTTTAATGCATATTTGCATCATTAAGTGACATAATATGAAGGTTAAAGAGGTTTGATACCTTAGGTGTTCATATTTCACTAGAAAATAAAATTTTGTTCTTATAGGGGAAATTTAAAATTTAAATAAATTACGCGACGGAAATTTAGAAACGATGTTTATGTAGCATGAAAATAATTCTAGCATACATTAATATAAATTTAGAATGTGATATATTAACTTTTAATCAGCAATAAAAAGTCTAAACTTCTAAATATAACATTTATTGAAAAACTCGATTTTTCATAGGGGTTATCCCACATATTTTGAGAAAAATGAGAAAATATGAAAATTTTGTTTTAATGCATATTTGCATCATTAAGTGACATAATATGAAGGTTAAAGAGGTTTGATACCTTAGGTGTTCATATTTCACTAGAAAATATAATTTTGTTTTTATAGGGTAAATTTGAAATTTAATTAAATTACGTGATGGAAATTTAGAAATGATGTTCATGTAGCATAAAATAATTCTAGCACACATTAATATAAATGTAGAATGTGATAAAATAAATTTTAATTAACAATAAAAATCCTAAGCTTCTGATATAGCATTTATTGAAAAATTCAACTTTTTGTAGGGGTTAACCCACATATTTTGAGAAAAATAAGAAAAAATAAGAATTTTATTTTAATGCTTATTTGCATCATATAGTGACATAATATAAAGCTTAAAGAGATTTGAAACCTTAGTTGTTAATTTTTCTCTAGAAAATTGATTTTTTTATAGGGGATCTGTCCAGTGATTAAATGGTATATGAAATTTAAATAAATTACATGTTGGAAAACTAGAAATGATGTCCACGTACCATGAAAATAGTTTTAACATACATTAATAAAAATTTTAGAATGTACTTAGGTAATTTTTAATGAACAATAAAGAGCCTAAACTCCTGAATATAATATTTATTGAAAAATCGATACTTTTATAGGGGTTAACCCACATATTTTGAGAAAAATGAGAAAATATGAAAATTTTGTTTTAATGCATATTTGCATCATTAAGTGACATAGTATGAAAGTTAAATAGGTTTGAGACCTTAGGTGTTCATTTTTCACTAGAAAATAGAATTTTGTTTTTATAGGGGAAATTTAAAATTTAAATAAATTACGCGATGGAAATTTGGAAACGATGTTTATGTAGCATGAAAATAATTCTAGCATATATTAATATAAATTTAGAATGTGATAAAAAAACTTTTAGTCAACAAGAAAAAGTCTAATCTTCTGAATATAACATTTATTGAAAAACTCGATTTTTCATAGGGGGTTAACCCACATATTTTGAGAAAAATAAGAAAAAATAAAAATTTTATTTTAATGCATATTTGGATCATGTAGTGACATTGTACGAAGCTTAAAGAGGTTTGAGACCTTAGTTGTTCATGTTTCTCTAGAAAATTGATTTTTTATAGGGAGTTTGTCCAATGATTAAATGGTATATGAAATTTAAATAAATTACATGTTGAAAAAATGGAAATGATGTCCATGTACCATGAAAACAGTTTTAACATACATTAATACAAATTTAGAATGTACTTAGGTAATTTTTAATCAACAATAAAAAGCCTAAACTTCTGCATTTAATATTTATTGAAAATTCGATATTTTTATAGGGGTTAACCCACATATTTTGAGAAAAATGAGAAAATATGAAAAATTTATTTTAATGCATATTTGCATCATTAAGTGACATAGTATGAAGGTTAAAGAGGTTTGAGATTTTAGGTGTTCATGTTTCACTAGAAAATAAAATTTTGTTTTTATAAGGGAAATTTAAAATTTAAATAAATTACGCGATGAAAATTTAGAAACGATGTTATGTAGCATGAATATAATTATAGCATACATTAATATAAATTTAGAATGTCATAAAATAACTTCTAATCAACAATAAAAAGTCTAAACTTCTTAATATGACATTTATTGAAAAACTTGATTTTTCATAGGGGTTAACCCATATATTTTGAGAAAATATGAAAATTTTGTTTTAATGCATATTTGCATTATTAAGTGACATAGTATGAAGGTTAAATAGGTTTGAGACCTTAGGTGTTCATGTTTCACTAGAAAATAGAATTTTGTTTTTTATAGGGAAAATTTGAAATTTAAATAATTTACGTGATGGAAAATTAGAAATGATGTTCATGTAGCATGAAAATAATTCTAGCACACATTAATATAAATGTAGAATGTGATAAAATAAATTTTAATTAACAATAAAAAGCCTAAGCTTCTGAATAAAGCATTTATTGAAAAATTCAACTTTTTGTAGGGGTTAACCCACATATTTTGAGAAAAATAAGAAAAAAATGAGAATTTTATTTTAATGCATATTTGCATCATGTAGTGACATAGTATAAAGCTTAAAGAGGTTTGAGACCTTAGTTGTTCATGTTTCTCTAGAAAATTGATTTTTTTATAGGGAGTTTGTCCACTGATTAAATAGTATATGAAATTTAAATAAATTACATGTTGAAAAACTGGAAATGATGTCCATGTACCATGAAAATAGTTTTAACATACATTAATACAAATTTAGAATGTACTTAGGTAATTTTTAATCAACAATAAAGAGCCTAAACTTCTGAATTTCATATTTATTGAAAAATCGATATTTTTATTAACCCACATATTCTGAGAAAAATGAGAAAATGTGAAAATTTTATTTTAATGCATATTTGCATCATTAAGTGACATAGTATGAAGGGTAAAGAGGTTTGAGACCTTAGGTGTTCATGTTTCACTAGAAAATAAAATTTTGCTTTTATAAGGGGTTTGTCCACTGATTAAGTGGTATATGAAATTTAAATAAAATACCTGATGGAAATTTAGAAACGATGTTCATGTAGCAAAAAATAATTTTAGCATACATTAATATAAATGTAGAATGTGATAAAATAACTTTTAATCAACAATAAAAAGCCAAATCTTCTAAATATAGCATTTATTGAAAAATTCAACTCTTTGTAGGGGTTAGCCCATATATTTTGAGAAAAATAAGAAAATAGGAAAAAAAATTTAATGCATATTTGCATCATTCAATGACATAGTATGAAGGTTAAAGAGATTTGAGACCTTAGGTGTTCATGTTTCTCTAGAAAATATAATTTTTTTTTTATAGAGGGTTTATCCACTGATTAAGTGGTATATGAAATTTAAATAAATTAGATGTTGAAAAATTAGAAATAATGTCCATGTACCATGAAAATAGTTTTAACATACATTAATAAAAATTTAGAATGTGCTTAGGTAACTTCTAATCAACAATAAAAAGCCTAAACTTCTTAATATGACATTTATTGAAAAACTCGATTTTTCATAGGGGTTAACCCATATATTTTGAGAAAATATGAAAATTTTGTTTTAATGCATATTTGCATCATTCAGTGACATAGTATGAAGGTTAAAGAGGTTTGAGACCTTAAGTGTTCATGTTTCTCTAGAAAATAGAATTTTTTTAGAGGGAAAATTTGAAATTTAAATAAATTACGTGATGAAAATTTAGAAACGATGTTCATGTAGCATGAAAATAATTCTAGCATACATTAATATAAATGTAAAATGTGATAAAATAACTTTTAATCAACAATAAAAAGCCTAAACTTTTTAATACAGCATTTCTTGAAAAAATCAACTTTTTTGTAGGGGCTAGCCCCTATTCGAAAACGCGGGTTAGGCGACCGGATTATCGCCGGAAAAGCGTGATTCGGACTAGAGCCGCGGCGATTTGGTGCTAAACGGTGAAAAAATCGGGAACAAAAAAAATTCACTATTTTTGAAGATTTTAAGTTTCAAATCCTGTGTGTTTGTTAGATTTGATATCTTTTGACGAAAACTTACAAGTACAACAAGACATATGAGCGAAATCGCGAAAAAATAAAGAAGGAAAAAACGGCTGAAGGTTGCAGAAAACTAATAAGGAAGGTTGAAGACAAGGTTAATCATGTCTTTTAACCTAATCGCGTACCAAAAAAAAAAACTAAAATGGACCTTGCTCCCCTCGAACCCGGGTCTAACTGACGTGAAAACTCGCCACCGACCACTAAACTACGTCATAATAACAGTTATTTAACACATTACTTATATATGAACCTAAAACTACTCCCCGATTAATCGCCGATTAATCTCCGATTAATTAATTCGGCTAGGCGCTACCTAACCGCACGCGTAACGCCTAGCGAATTCTTGAACATTGGGCTAACCCACATATTTTGAGAAAAATAAGAAAAAGATGAAAATTTTATTTTAATGCATATTTGCATCATGTAGTGACATAGTATGAAACTTAAAAAGGTTTGAGACCTTAGCAGTTCATGTTTCTCTAGATAATTGATTTTTTTATAGGGGTTTTGTCCACTGATTAAATGGTATATGAAATTCAAATAACTTATATGTTGGAAAATTAGAAATGATGTCCATGTACCATGAAAATAGTTTTAACATACATTAATATAAATTTAGAATGTGCTTAGGTAATTTTTAATCAACAATAAAGAGCATAAATTTCTGAATATAACATTTACTGAAAAACTCGATTTTTTCATAGGGGTTAACCCACATATTTTGAGAAAAATGTGAAAATATGAAAATTTTGTTTTAATGCATATATGCATCATTAATTAAGTGACATAGTATGAAGGTTAAAGAGGTTTGAGAACTTAGGTGTTCTTGTTTCTCTAGAAAATATAATTTTTTTTTATAGGAGAAATTTGAAATTTAAATAAATTACGTGATGGAAATTTAGAAACGAAGTTCATGTAAGGGTTAACCCACATATTTTGAGAAAAAATGAGAAAATATGAAAATTTTGTTTTAATACATATCTGCATCATTACTGATTGTAATGTTCGAAAGTAGTTATTATGGTAACAAGAAGAAACATGTGTAACAAAGTTATATTATTCATAAGACAAGGCATTTGCATTATCACAACAATCTTATCAGTTTGTAACTTCATAAGCGTAAACATACAGGACTCAAGGACCCTCACCATCGACATATTAAGTTCCCTTATCAGCTTGTGTATCTAAGCTAATTCCCAAAGCTAATGCCAACATGTTGCTTGTAATCTGCTTCTGTTTTTTGGGTTCATAAGTTTCTGCTAAAGCTTTTTCAAAATCAAGCAGAACATCATGACTGAGATAGGGGAGTGACAGCAACACCTGAAGATAATCCAAAGATTAAAACTGAGGATAAGATTAAAGAACTTATCAAATGAAAAAAAAAAACTGACCTGTCTTGGAGCTGGGTTCCTCTGGGAAAGATAAACAAATATTTCACTGCACAAACCAACTAAAACAGAACTGTTGTTCACATTCTCATCGATGGTCAAGCTCATGATGATTGCATGAAACAAATCTTTTGCCACAAACTCTCTGAGCTCTCCGTTGTTTGTCGTTATAGCTAGATGAACAACGCTAATGAAAAACAAACGGAGATTGGAGTTTGTAATACCATCTCTCCATGTGCATGCTTGTAAAGAAAACTGCATTACTGAGTCTGCCAAGTTTCTGCTACTCAATAGTAAACTGCAAAGAAAGAAAAAAAAAAGTTCTTAATCCAAAAGAGTGTATAGACCAAGAAAGTTTTAACCAAGCACATACCTCACCAAAGAGTTGGATTTGAGTTCATTAAAATCCTTGAGAGGAGACATTTCACCGTGAACAAGTTTGTCTGAGTGCTTCAAAACAGGAAGCCCTGTGTTTAACTCAGGAGCAGAGATCACTGAAAGCAAATCCGACGTGGACCGAGATAAATCTATGAGCAGCTTTATTTCACCCTCGGAAATGAGCTTCTCTCCACCTTCAAAACCACGCAAATCCGGAACATTAGCCTTGCCTTCGCTCAGAAGACTAGTCCACGAGGAGCTAAGAGCTCGCTGACAGTGTGTCAACAAAGGACTTAGAAGCACTACAAGCAATGACTCCCACATATCTGCAGGACATGATTTGACAAGAACGCCTACAAAGGAGTTGATAAGCTGCTTTATATGTCTGAACTCCATCCAACTTATATTCTCAGTGAATGTCACCGCAACTTCATTAGCATCAATGGATGTGTAGAATGTCTCTCCCATGGCTACAGAGAGATCCAATACACGGTACCTGCAAAAAATGCATACAATAGTTTTTTAGCTTACTAACATTAAAAAGCCTGAAGGAGACTCACTTACTTACCCGATATCACGAATAGCTCTCAGACAATTCCGAATATCACATGTGTTTCCTTGACTAGAATAAGTAAACAAGCCTTTAGTTAGTTTACGGCTTTTGTTTCTTTTGGGGCTACGTAACTCAGCTTCCGTTATCTTCATTGCTTCTTTGAGATTTGTGGGTAAAGTTTGATAAACCTCAGGAGAAGACAGAGAGTTGATAACACGAAAGAGCTTCAAGAGAGGTGGTAGCATCCAAGAGAGGTGACAAGCAAGAGGATGAGTCGTCTCAAACGTGTTTAACTTCCTTTTCTTGAAATTGCATCCCTTGAGAGCGTTCTCAAAGACAGCGACTGTGTTGACAATAGACCGTATCAAAGGTGCGTTGGAACATAACTGAATAAAACCAGAAGGAGTAGATAGATATTCGTTTTGCCACTCTGGTTGTGTCCATTGTTGGCGCACTGGTTCTAGTAACAATTCAAAACTGTCTTGCTGCTGCGTTTGAACTCTGTGCACCAAGTTTAAAAAAAAACAATTTATTAAATTTAGTAAATGCAATAAGAGTTCCTCATGAAGACAAACAACAAGCAGATTGTTACCCTGACGCAGAAGTCATAGTAGAAAATCCTTCCACAAGACTCTTATGCTCACCAGGGAGGAAAGCTCCTTCTCTTTGCAAACGTGCCACTTTATCAGCTACACCCTGCACGAAAATATATATGGAAATTAGGTTATTACAGAGCCTTTTTCTTGTTTGGGGATAATGCAAATTACCTTCAAGTGAGGAGTAAAGCTTTTGTCAGCAGCTTTGGCTATACGAGTCAAAGATAAGCAGATGTATAATCTTGCACGTCTACTTGCTGGTGGAAGAGAGGTAAGAAGCGCAAACATCTTGTCGATAAAACTTCCAAGCGCATCTGGAAAGTACTTGACGAAAGGAATCATTGCGTTTAGATAGTCCACGTGCGCTTGAATAATTACTGGTTCAGTCCAGTTTACATTAAGAAGCTCCTGAAGCAAGCCTGTGTCATCATCAAAACAGACAAAGACGAGTGAGTCCCAGACCACTTGGCAAATGAAAAATTATACTTTCAACATACCCTCAAATATCACGTGGAGTTGAGAATGAACTTCGGAACTACCACCAGCGAACTCATCGGTTCCACGGTAGAGCCTACGCAGAACACCCTCCAGAGCAGTACTCTGGCTCTTCATAGCATACTGGATACAAGGCGCTGAAGGAACCGATATACTCTTAATAAGCATGATCGTTGTTGAAGATAGTTTTGTGCTACCAATGATTGGCTTGTGAGCAGAGATGAGTCTGATCAACACAAACTGCACCAAAGGGAAAAAAAGTTTCATTATATTGTCTGAGACGTAAAGCTATTGAGTTTTAGAAACATACGAGCCTCTTCTGGTACTTGCAAAACTCTTCATGTGTAAAATTTGATGGCTCAAGGGAAAGGTTTGTTCCAGGAAGGAGGACTTCCTCGTTCTTGTTCATGCGTTGGAATGAAACATCCAGCATCTTGCTGGCGATATCATCATCTATAAGGAGTAAAAGATCTTTTTTTCCGCCATCTAGGTGTCTAAAACTATTGAAAACCTCGCTTGCCGGTCCCGTGAAAACCTCGCTTGCCGTTCCCTTTTTATGTGGATAACTAGGAGCATTGAGGTCTGAGGTTAAATAATCCATCAACCCCTGTGAAGCCAGAAAGAGAGGAGAAAAGCCAAAGTTTCACTTCTTTGTATCTAAGAAAGATTATGATTTGCTGGTGGGGCACTTACCAGCCAGAAGAACAGTGACTCGTAGTGAAGATCAAACTTATAGTGTTCGAAAAAACCGAGCATCTACAAAGAAAGTTAAGACAAATCTTGAAATAAGCTAAGACCATTCAATATCAAATGGTATCCAGATTATTAGTAAGTACCTGTTTCAGATAAAGAGCTATGGCACTGCTATCTGTGAAGATGCACTTCAAGTTTGAGGAGCCTAGAGCGACCATCGTTTTACAGATACGTAAGATTGTAGAATCAAATTCAGCACCAGAAGAAGCATCAGTGGGTCTTTCTCTGCAAAACACCACAAGACAATACACAATGGTGAGAGGACAATTTTTTTGGCATTTTCAATGAGCAGCCGAAAATAGCATACCTTGAGCAGATAAGTTTGACGAACATACAAGCAAGACGGCAGAACTCAGTAGAAGAAAGTAAGGATCCACACCTGTTGTAAGAATCCAAGAACAGGTGAAAGTAAGAAACATATACAAAGTTATATAGCTTGTGTAAGTATAAGCCAAAGAGTTAAGTTTATTAACTGGTCAACAATTTTGTATTCAGCAAAATCTGGAACCGGAGCCCATTCTGTGAGTGAGTTGATGGCATTCAAACAAGCAACAACTACATCTGAATGCTGTTTAGCCAGCTCAACCTTCCCCCTCCCTTCTGCGTTCCTTGCATCCCCAAAGTGTTTTTCAAGAAGCTGCATTAAAGGTTTTCTTCATTACAACTAATGCTACAATAAAATTTGATAAGAGCAAAAAGGTAGTAGTAGCATTACATCATGCAACCAAACCAAGATATCAGGAAGCCCCTGCAACAGATGGCTATGCTTATTGTCTGATGAGAAAGGAAACACATGTGTTAGCAATCCAGAAAAAAATGAGAGAGAGAAGTAGAGTTAGGTTAATTCTTAATTACCTTTCAACTCCTCCTTAATATGATCTATATGATGCTCAGAAAGCCTCTTCACCACTTTCAAAGCCATTTCTGCCTAATTTTTAAGAGAAAGAAAAACTGAAGCAAGCCATGATAGAATTAACCAATTACACAAGAAAAGATGAAGCAACCTACCTGTAAAGGGCCTTTGGAGGAAAGGGAAACTAATGAGAGAAACAACTCCTGCCACATCTCCAGATCTTCCTCCTTTTCAAATATCTGCAACAAAGTTTCTGTATAAGTTGATATCAACCAAACCATAAATAGAGATTGCAATCAAACTCTAACCTCAGCAACAAGAGTGATAGTTTCACTTTTCATCTCAAATTCTTCACATGGATTAGCAGCTACCTCAGACATCAATTCAAATGATGCATCACCAATTTTCATGTGCTCAGAGGAGCTTAACTCATCCCACCGTTGTTTAACCAAATACTGCAATTAAGCAATGGAGCTTTAATCTTAATAATCCCAAAAAGATATGACCCTTTTTTGTTCATTAGCAAACAGTAAGATAACAAGTGGAACAGCAAGGAACCTGTAGCATCTTAGAAGCATAGATCCGAACTTGTAAAGGCCATTCCTTTGCCACAAGAAGAAGCGAAACTTCAGACAAAACCCCAACATTTCCTGTCTTAATCTGGAAAAAAAAAACATAACTTTATTCAAAACTTGTGTTCTTGGGATAGTTCACTACCAAAAGAAAAAGTTTAACAGTTACTAGGAATTACCGATTCAAGATAGGTTAGAGCGGTCTCTTTGCAAGCATCATCAACAACAGTGGAGTCAGAGACGAGTAGAATCTGACGAGACACAGTGGTAGCGAGAGTCTTTGTTTCTGACTCAATGTGACTATCATCAGCTCCAATCATTTCTTCTTTTCCTCTCACGACAAGATCCTCCTCCTTCATCGCCATCAGTGATAAGACAAACGGAGACTACTTAAGAGTGAGCCGCCGCCGACCAAAGAAAAACAACAGTCAAAACACGAGAAGCCACTTTGCCAAAAGCGCTAAACTAAATTTAAATTTAATCATTCTAGATCTATTAAATAAAATAATTCTCTTATTTATTTTGTTTTATTTCGATAATTTGACAAGATAAATTTTATAATCCAAGATCTAAATTATTTTATATAAGTGTATATATATATGTATATATATAATATTCTATTAAAACAAAAAATACAAAACAATATTTACCTATTTTAAAAGAATTTTTATAGATTTGTATTACAATTCATTTATTTATTTATTTTAAATAATCATTTCTCTTGTTCTATTTATTTTATTTATTATCTTTCTAAATATAGAATTCGGATGAATTATGTTTTGATGGAGAGAAATTTTATAATATCCAAAAACTAATGTATTTCAGGTTTGATAGTTGTACAAAAAATAAACATATTAACTTGTTCGATTCAGATATTTTAAATTTAAATAAAAAACCTAAAAAAAAAAACAATAGTAATCAAATTATCTTGTTTGATTCAGATTTTGATGTATAGTAACTTAAAAATATTAGTTAATTATATAAATCGATTAGTATAAAACCTTGTCTTATTCACAAAGCTTATAACACAAATGGTCTATGAGAATAATAGAGTAGTTTTAGTATTATTTAAGAATGTTTCCTTGTCATTAGTTCACTACGAAACATGTGTCCCATAGTTGCAAATTCTTAAAACATAAAATTAAATCCAATAACAGCAAATATCTGAGCCTTGCAAGAATCTAAACTCTGGTCTCCTTACTCAAACATGCTTGGGAGAGGTCTCTCACAGCCATGAACTCTTCCACCATCTAATTATATAGAAGCAAAAATCAATTAAAAAAAAAGTTATTAAATATCTGATTGGTCTAATAATAATAAAATGTTATTAAATCAAATCGATTTATTTCTTTTTGTACCTCTTCAGTAACAGCAGCTCGAGCATTGCGGTGTTTCTCCACAACTTCTACCACAACTTCAGCGAGTCTCTTCTTTACTTGTCCCGATTGCATTCTTCCTTCTCCATACTCCTGAAACAATGGAGTTACAACAATGTGTTATCATCAAGAAAAATCAGAGAACATCATTCATTCATTCTCTGTAATTAAAGCAGCTTAATTAGAGGCAAGTATAACGTTATTTTACCTTCCTTATGTGTTCAAGTTCGGCATCATCTTCCAAGAAGAAACTCAGATACTGAAACGGTATGTCTTCCTGTGTAAAAAGAAAAACAGAGACTTGTTATGTTTTCCATATAGCAGTTGGTTAACCTTAAGATTTGCTCCATATTGTAAAAAGTGCCTAAACAAATGAGAATTTGGTTAACCTTAAGATTTGCTCCATATTTTATTTGATCTTCCATGTTATCTCGCCCACCGGTAACAGCACTGTTTATCTGCATATTAGAAAGAAAAAAATCTTCATCAACCAAATCATCTTACTTCATTATTAGGACAAGATTGGTATCTAATCATCTGTAAAGTTTAACAAATTCCACCTTTCTTTTAATGTCCTTAGCGCTATCATTTAAATAAATAGCGGAATTTGCATCACTTGCTGACATTTTCCCATTCTTTCCCTGCAATTCAAATAATGTGAAAGCATGTAAGGTGTGGTTTTTAACTAGATATCTTATAACTTTTAATATTCCACTTGCCCTCAGCGCAGGAAAGAATTTTGACTCAATTAGAGCAGGCTTCCTATAGCCTAGCCGAGGTGCAACATCACGAGTCATCCGAAAATACGGATCCTGAACAAAACCAAAAGAAACATTCAGAAAAACTCAAATGATACACACACAAAAAAAAAAAAAGAGATGAATCATCACAAAGTTCCAACGTGAGAAAGCACAACACACCTGGTCAATTGCACAGGGAATCAAGCAACGGAGCTTGTCCATAATACCAGGGAACAAGTCTGGGAATGAGCTAGGAAAAGATGGAACTGCCTGCAAGTGTATAGAAAATACATTATTAGATGCATAATACACGCAAACACGAACAAAAAGACATACCTGCACCATAGGGAAGCTGATTTTTGAAACACAATCTTCTCCGGTAAAGCCGAAAGTAGACCGAATCTAGCCCCAAAAAAAAACAAAAGAGGAGAGATACAAAAAAATGAATGAATCCAACAAAACTATAAGACACATAAAACTGGAGTATGGAGCGTTAAGTAACCTTATTAAGTGTAACACACTTTCCAGCCTCCACCATGTTCTCATAGAAAGAACTACACACAAAGGGTTTCTTACATCATCAGCCAGAAAGAAAACCGTAAATATGTAAACATCAAAAAAAATGTGACTTTATTCTTACCCGCCAACAGTGTCGAAGTTGGAGAAAATAAAAGTCTTTTTGACATCGAAACCGCAAGCAATGATATCTTTCACGTTCTCTCTGCCAAGTCTTTTACTATCCTCCGGCTTTAACTTCTTCCATATGCATTTTTCATCATCCGTAATCTGTATAACAAGAGGAACCTCGAAAGCATCCTGCAAGTATCTACAAATACAATGTCGAGTATATAAAGCACAAGCAGCATTGAACCTTTAAAAAAAAAAAAGGTTTATTATAATGTCACTTACTTGGTAAACAAGAAAGGAATCAAATGCCCTAAATGCAAAGATTCTGATGAAGGTCCTCTCCCAGTGTAGAGATAGAACTTCTCTCCTCTCTCATAACAGTCCAAAATTTTATCAAGATCCCTGTGGGCGTAGAAGAAGCCACGGCGGAGGAAGACGTGAGCTCGACGAGAAGTTAGTCTCTCAACACGATCAATAAGCGACTCGTCTATCTCCTTGCAGCCAAATATTTCGATCATCTTACGGTAATCGATTGTACCGTGGACAGTCCATGGAGTCACAACTTGCTCAGATGATGATTCAGACAAGCTCCGTAACTCATCCAACAACTGACTCATCTTTTGTATGATCGTAGCCTCCTGTGGTGTATGGATTGAGCTGCGTTCCTCGTCGATTAGTTGTTGAATCCTCTCTATCCTCGTCTCTTTCATCTCCATCTTGAAATTGGAGATTTACTTTGTGAGACGTTACAAAACCCTGAAACCCTTTGCTTTCTAGAGAGAGAGGAGTGCTGGTTTTTTATAACCCTACTTTTCTATTTCTGTAAATTACATAACTGCCTTTAACTGTTTAAAAATTACAAAGCACCCTAAAACTTTCGTAATACTCTAATTTAACCTGCTAATGTTTGCATATTTATTATACTGATTAATTAATCCGTTCATGTAATTAACTCTTTTTAGTTGATAAACAAAATTGAAACTTTTACTTGTAGTTGTTGATCGATCAAGAACCATTCACTCTCTCTCCCTTTGCATACTGAAACCAAAACAGACCCCTACCTAATGACAATTACTCATTGCTTGGACTTGTGAGGTGAAGCTCCAGACCTAATGCTAGAACAATGATTCTACCTACTCTCAAGGCTCACTGATGCCAGGCATTGTGATCACAACTTTCTAACCTCTAGCTACCCCCAACCATTGCTAAACAATACTTTTGTGTGTTACCTGATGTTAGCTTGGCTCAATCAAATATGCTCTGACTAGCAAAACACCTAGACTAGCATTATTATTATTCGGCAAAGATTTGGCACACAACTCAAAAATATTATTTATCATTCCAGATTAAAACTAGCTAGAAGTCTGTGTTTGTTATTCAACAAATGAGTCTACTTAGAAAACTATACTAAGGTTATACACAAACAAACTGGTTATTGTTTTCATCACAGTCTTATTCTTCTTCTTCTTCATGTTTCTATCATTCATACACCACTTGGCATCGTCCTTAGCTCGTGCAATGTAGCTCTAATCTGCTCTTGAACCAACTCTAATCTCCTTGAATACACTTCCAGCTCCAGAATCTGTTGCTTCCTCCACCTCTCATCCCTCGCCGCCTTATTTCCTCCTCCTTCTACACCATAACCAAACGCCCGTGTAAAAACAGGGCTACCTCCTCCCATAGCAGCCATCATCATACTCGTTGTCCCATTCATCATCTCCTTAATCAAAGGAGACACACAGTTCTTCACAGTCTCTTCTATCAAACCAATACCAGCAAATGCGGCTTCGTTGAGGTTGACATCAGAGGGAGTGATCACAGGTTTGTTGTCTTCTTCAATCTTCCCTATCCTCGACCGTGATCGTTTCCTCGATCCACTACTCATATTCCTCTCAACTCCGTTCTCAGAATCCATCTCAATAGCATTAGGGATGTTATTACCGTTGGTTTCCTCAAAATCCATTACATTATTGTTATCCTCAAACCCAATGACCTTCCCAGTTCGGTTCCAGATCTTCCTAGAAATCTCAAACGTAGACTGATCATGCGGACTCTTGAAAAAAAACTCTTTACCAGAACCAAACTTGCTCATCACGTTTCTATACTTCTTCTTCAGCCGCCTCAGCTTCTCCACGAGCTGGTTCTTATTAAACTCGAGCTGCAGCTTCGACTTAATCATCTCGTAAAACGGCGCCGTATCCGGCGGATGCGACCCGTTGCTCCTCCTCCCCCCTCTGTGCGTCGTTACGTAGTCTAGAAACCCGCGGAGGAGCTCGATCTCGTCCTCGTCGGTCCATAGCCTCTGGAAGAGACGTCTCGAGTCGTCGATCGCCGGCGGTTGCGGTGGTTGTCGCCGGTGGACGATCTCCGTCGTGTGGCGCCGGGAATCGACGACGGGGACGGCGGAGCCGGATGGAAGCGCGACGGTTACGGTGGATGGAGAATTGAGATCTTCCTCATCGGGATCGTCGTTTGTTTCCGGTACTGCCACGTCATCGTCGGTGTCGGAATCTCCTCCGTCTCCAACACCTCCTCCTTCGTCGGGTTCTGGCGATTCTGTAGAGAAGACAGCGTCGCGATGATCAGATGTCATGTCCGCAAAACGAAACGCAGAGATCACCGGAGGACAGAACAGATCTAGCTTGAGGTCGTGATGATCAGGTTCAGACCAAAAGGACCAGATCTAGATGGGTTCACGAGGATTGGTTGGGTACGCGCGCTTGTGATTGGGTGGTTAGGGGCGTGAGAATGTTAGGCCCAACCAGGGGTAGTTTAGGCTTTTCATGACTTTAAAACGTTTACGTTTTAATGTGGTGTGTGGTCACGCACTTGCGTATTATTCCGGTGTGTTGTGTCTTGACGACTCTCGGTCCGAACGACAGTTCAAACCAATCAAAAGAAGCGGTTTTTAAACATGATTATGTGGTTAATCCCATGCGCTTGTATTTCGAAATGTAACATAAGACCAGTATAAACCGTAACTAACCTTTTCTACATTCGAAAGTATAAAAAAATAAAATAAATTAATAGCATCTTCTTCTACGTAATTCATTTGGTTATTATTAACAAATGAATGTCTTCTTCTTCTACTACGATAAGAGTAGAGTTCAAATTATATTTTGAGCAAACCACTCTAATCGATTAAGACTTTAACCAAAAAGCTCGAGATTTAGTATACATGTCTAGTTGGGAGATTAAAAGAAAAATCTAAAAGTAGACAAATAAAACTTAAAATGACATAACAGGTGATTATGCAGAACAAGCAACGAAAATGGCTGATGCTGTCTTGAGATCTTACTTCTTCTTGGGATCACCTGCCTTGGTCTGTTACATAACGAAAAAAAAAATGATTAAACAGAATCATAGTGTTTATCACTTATGTGTAAAGAGACATTAGTAACAGTAGTCTTACCTTCTTAACACCACGTATCTTCTTGGCACGGTTCTTCCTTTCCTTAATTTGTTTCCTTGATTTCTCTATCTTGGTGTCAAGACCATTCTACAAAAGACATTGAAACATACAATCTTAAAAGAAGTTTTCAGAACAAGGCAGAGACAAACTCCAATGATCAAGAGGTAATGATAATAGTAATATCTAGTTAGTAACTAATGCTAGACTAAAATTATCAATTGTACTGATAGTAGTAGTATCTACTTAGTAACTAATGCTAGACTAGACCAGTTACAAAAAACAAAAAAAACTAATGCTAGTCTAAAATTATGGAGATAACACTTTTGATATATATTTTTTTAACACTTTTGATATTGCCGTCAAGACCATTCTACAAATCCCATATTGAAACATCACATCTCACAAGTTTTCAGAAGAAGGTAGACTACAACTCTAATGATCAATTGTACTGATAGTAGTATCTAGTTAGTAACTAATGATGGACTAATAAGCCGAGAAGATAAGACATTTCAAGAAAGGGAGACATTGTATGAAGAGTAGAAAGAGCATTTACCCTGATAAGTCTGTACTTGGGTTCGAACTTCTTAGCGCTCTCGACATTGTCATAGATCAAACCAAACCCTGAAGATTTACCACCTCCAAAATGGGTTCTGAATTTGAATACAAAGATTGCATTTGGGTCCTTGACCTCATACATCCTTGCTAGCTTCTCCTTCAGCTCAGCCTAGTAGTAACAAGAAGAAAAAAATCTCACCAATTAAAACCCAAACTAGTCCGTATCAAAAGAATGTAAAATAAGCAGTAAAAGAACACACCTTTGAAACATTAGCTCTTCCAGGGTGAAGAACATCAATAACCTACATTCACAAAATCCACCAATACTCTTTTATTACCTTCATTCAAAATATTTTTATTACAGCTAAGTGAATGCAAAAGTAGACAAGAGTTAAAGAAATGGAACTCACGAACTGTTTCCTTGAGAGAAGTCTATTGGTCATGAACTTTCGGGTTCTGATGGTGACTGCCTTCTCCGCCATTGTTGCGATCTCAACGAAGATCTCTCAGCTAGCTTTGAGTTCGTCGCCGGCTAGAGTGAAAGAAAGAGACGCGGAAAGGAAGATGTAACGTTTATATAGTAACAAGGTCTATAGGGTTTTGTTTTCGTTTTCTCTTTCTCTGATTTTTATTGGGCCTTAACTTTGTTAGGCTTGTTAAACCTTACTCTACCAAAGGAAACCCGTTTAAAATTTCAAAGGGAGCTTAGTGGGCTTAAGTATTTATAGCTTAAACAAAAATAATCATTTGTCCATATTATTTGCAAAGTGTGAGAGTATCATTAGTGGGGTGATTTCTCTAGAGGATACCTTATCAATTTAATATTACTATATACCTATTATGTAATTAAAATTTTAATATAAAAGACAAAAGTTAACTATGAGACGATACTTGTAGTTCAAGTCTCTTCAAATGTTTGAGAAATCTCTCCAGAGATATACGTTTTTCTGCTTTTCTATTCCTCTGTTTTTTATTTTTACAATATGTTAATGTTATTTTGTAATAATAAACCATCTATTCGTTTGCTCTAACAATTTGTTAGACAACGTATAGTTTTACAATGAATTTAGACAAATAATCGATTTATAAAAATAAAAAAATAGGATCAGCTTAAATTATTATCACGTGGAAGTTGGATTTCCTCTAAAGTCAATCTTCGAGTCTCAGACACCAATCACCATGTGAATACAATTGTTACCCCACTCATTATAGCGAATATACTAAATGTTCCGGCAATTAGAATTTACTTTTGTAAATTAAAGTTTTATTTGGATCTTAAAATTTATAAATTATATGAAAATCAAAATATATATCTATAACAATTTGATATAGTTAACTTCATCAAATCTTTTACACTATTTGCTTATAATAAGAGGCTAAGTTAAGTTGGTGTGTGGATATATATATATAATACATACATATACATATATATATGTTGTCAAAGTTTGTTTGGTTATATATATAGACCTAAATATAAATTGCATGTGAATCAGGTTTTGTGACAAATCTCTAATTTTGGTTAATAACTATTTAGAGAAAACTAGGTTTAATTAGTGGAATAATATTAATATACATGTTCGACTCCAAATAAGCATAAAATTGAAACAATAATTGATGATCCAACTAGTATACCAATTCGTGATGGCTACTAAACTTCTAGCTACTGCTTTCATTTTCATCGGACATATCTATATAAATGAAACAACTAACATCAATTATAATTAATATGATAGCAAACAAAAAGATTAATATGATAGCATATATTAGGATACAAAAACTGTGCAATTCAATAAACTAAAAACTTTATTTAAGCATTGAGAAAATATAAAGACACATGTGCATGTGGCTGTGGATACCTCAGACATTATAATCCTTGGTAATGCTCCTAGTCCAACAGCATAGATCATATTGAATGCATGTTTGGATCATAAGTGTTTTATTATACTGGATCATGTTAGGAAATTTTCATAGAATCCTTATATATAATACACGCCATAGAAGGAATAACATTATAATCGAAAAATACAGGATGTTATGTTGATCTTAATCAAAGCTGTGACGTCAAATACCGATATCATAAATTAGTTGGATAACACGGTTCATTGACACATGTATTTGCTATAAGGTCGTAATCTTTCAAGCATATTATAAACAGTATATTTTTCAGCGTGGTGGTGTTTAACGTTTTGTAAGATAATATTATGCTAAAATCTTTAGCGTGATATAAACTTGAAAGTTGGTGGAAGTGAAAATGACATTAGGACAAAAAAGAGAGGATATGATAGATTAGATTATCGACAACATGACCATACATATAATTTATTATGGTAGTGAATTCAGAAATTAATTAATGGCTTTATATTGTTTGTGAGCTAGCTGGGATCATCAATTGTCACGTGGAAATTGAATTTCTTCTAACGTCAATCCTCGAGTTTCAGGCACCATGTACCATGCAAATACGATTGTTAATCCACTCATTACGGCGAATATGGCAAAGGTCCCTACCATTAAAATTTTCAAAAATACAACAAGATCACAATTAGTATGATTATCTTAGACTTGAACCTCATATATTAGATATCTTTACAAGATACAAAATATATGTAATGAACTCGAAACATCGATAGACAAATTTCAGAAAAGATTTATATGAAATTTTTTTTTATATGAGAAAGAATAAATTATATAGGTGTGTGAATACAATATATATATATCAAAACTGTATTGTTCAAAAAAAAAAAAAAAAAAAAACTGTAATATGATGTGATAAATAATATTAAATGTACATTGAATTTCAATTTTGTTTTGTAATGAAAGTCTAACTTTGGTTGATAAGCATGTAAAAAGAGAAGAAAAACAAAACTTATATGGAACTAAATTAGCTTCAGTTTATAAAAGTAGGATTAACGTACCGGTGGGGCTCCAAATAAGCATAAAATTGAAACAGTAGCTAACGATCCAACCTGCAAACGAATTTGTTATGGTTACTAAACTCCCAGCTACCACTTTCATATCCATTGGAAATATCTGCATAAATTTGTAATAGAAAATGAATATCAGTTACAATTAAGAAACTGTTTTTTTTTTCTTAAGCATGTGAAAAATAAATATATGTGAATATACCTCGGACATTATAATCCATGGTAACGCTCCTAGTCCAGCAGCGAACATCATAACGTATGTCTGTTTGGAAAATAAATATCACATAGTAAAATTTATATAGCATTTATATATCAAACTGAAATTAACAATATCATATATGTATATATTAATAGCAACAAACTTGAAATTGTTGTTAGGTTGAAATATAAAGCAAGCTAAATGAACAATAGAAAAAAAAAATTATTTTTTTGTGAGAACTATTCAAATAAGTGAGTAGGATATTACTTACCATTATTCCTATAAATGCCATAGTGGGAGTATAATTTACAATGCCAGGAACACCTTTCAATCCAAATGCTAATGCAAGAGTAATACAACTTAAACATATCCCAAAAGCTGATGCCTGCAATTTTGTTTATATAAATTAATCGTATACAAAAAAAAAAAAAAACTAAATTGTAATATATAAAATAAAAGTATTCTAACCATCAGAAGTGGTCGTCTTCCCCATCGATCCACAATGATCAGACCCAAAATAGCTTTTGGTACCTAGCATGCTCATTGGTTACAGTTTATATATATAATATAATCAATCATCGTAAAGACAAAAAGGATGGGAGCTAAGTTATAAATAACAGTGAACAAATCAAACTACTATTCAGTTACAAAAAAATAAATAAAAATCAAACTACTATTTACAGAATTTTAATACTTCAATATTTACATATGTATACGTACCACGACAATAGACAACACCGTCATCCCAATCCGTGAAGGAAATCCTTAAAGAGTGAAAAGTATTTATTTTTATTTTCTTCGTAAGAAACAATTGTTAAAGTACGTAATAATCAGTAAATATAAATTTTACCAGCAAGATCAAATATGCTGCCTGCGTAATAACTTACTCCTGAACTTCCACATAACTGCTGCATAAGCATCACACCTACTCCGATCTAAATATAATTAACCAAAAACAAAACCAATATAAGTAAAATGTAATTTAATAAATTTGTTCGATATTTGTTTTGGTAACGAATAAACCATTTAATTTTCTTACTGTAAGTTGACGAGTATATTTTCTTTTGAAAAGACTTTGCATGCTGATATTCGCAGTAGCATCAACAGAAATCTACAAAGTTGTGGAATTAATTAATACTAATGTATAATGATAATAAAGTTTTTATATGTAATTAAAATAAGCATAATGTTGATATTCATCATTTAGACGTATGTGTACGGTACCATGATTTCACGAGTTTCCTTGACAATATCAGCTTCTGTTCCTCGTAATTGTTGAAGAACAACTTTACACTCTTCATCACGGTTTTCTTTTGCCTAAAATAAATACCTTAATTGTAATACTTGTTAACGTAAAGAATAATTTTATATAAAGTTTCTCTTCTCTGTAATTAGAGAACTGATATGATTCATATGACTAACCAGCCATCTTGGAGACTCGGGGATGAAAAATAACCCCAAAAATTGTATTAAGCATGGGACAATGCCTGAAGATGTAGAAGTCATATAATTAAAAAATTATATAATAAATTATTTAATGATGAATAGTTAATTGATGAGAGAACATTTAATCAAAAATAACCTAACATTAGATTTCAAATTTAGTGATTATTGTTTAGGGTTTAATTAATATTTAGGGGATGTGAGTTGTGCTTATAATTAAACATCTATTAATGTTTTATATATTGTTTAAATATTTATAAGTATTTAGGATAGTTAACTAATTTAATTTTCTTATCACAAATTTAATTTATTTATGAAAATGATTATAATTTAAAGATAAATTTGAAAAATAGTATCAAATGTATGGTAAAATTTAAATTCCCTTTTAATTAATATGGAAAAGGAGCATGCGACAGATAAATTAATAGAAGTTACGAAATATTGTTCTCTTTTACGAAAAAAAGTTACAATATTTATAGTTAGAAAAGGAGAGTACCTATCAAGGCTATGGTTCTCCATGATACGAAGTTTCCAATGTAATATGCGGTTGCGACCCCACAATTTTGCAAAAGCTGTAAGATAACAATTAGTGTATTACTTTGTGTATATATATTTAGCAAAAAGGAAGTTTGTGTATATATACTAAGTTTGATTATAAGGTAGTAATATATACATTACCTGATTGCTAAATGTAAAAGTGCCTCTCACATCTTTAGGAGTTATTTCTGCGATATATACAGGAACCTACATATTTTTATAATAAATAAACTATACTCATTACAAAGTTAGAGATGGTTATTCTATGTAAATTAGAGAATAGTTACCACGTAGCTAACGAGACCAACTCCAGTTCCCACAAAGAATCGTCCAGAGTCTAGCCATATAATATCCTGTGGGAAGATAGATTAATCGAGATTAGTACGTATTCTGTGGGAAGATAGATTAATCGAGATTAGTACGTAAGCTTATTATTAATTAAGATATTAGATGGGTCGTCAAAAAACCTGGGCTAGTGCAATTGCAAGCCATCCACTTATGAAGAATGCCTCGGCTATCCACAACGTCTAAGAAATAATTAGAACGAAAAGGTACAAAGGGTTTAGAGGTTAGGGATTACATTATTACAGATATTGAAATTGTAAGAGAGTGGATCCATAATGAATATTTAACCATTTTACGACCAAAGGCATCTGCAATTGTGGCGCTAAATATTCCACCGATCATTCCTCCAAAAGTCAGTAGCGAACCAAATAATGAAAACTGTGAAAAGTTTTTTTTATTATAAAGATATGAGTAAATTTATATTTGTTAAAACGTATAGACATATAAAATGAGATATATAATGAAATAGAGGCTTACTTGTGCGATAGAAAGATCAAGATCTTCCATAATAGAAGACATTGTACCGGCAGTAAAACCTAACTGTTTTCCATATAGATATTTGAAATACATGAGTTTAAATTAGATTAAATAGAGTTTAAATATATAATATGCAAAATCTACTACTAGCAAAGTAACTTTCTGAGTTTTAAAAACAAGGTTATGTGGAATACATCAAAACAAAGAGAGAAAAATTAGAAAACTGGGTTGATTTTTCAATTTGCGTGGAAGCTTATAAAGCATGGATAACATAACATCTCCATCAAACACATCTCTGGAAACGTGTATAATTCTTTAGATTCTCCACCATCTTCACTTAATAGAATCACATAATTAGAATGATATCTACTCTTGTATAAAAATAAAATGTATATATGTATATGGAGAGAGATTGGAACATACGGCAATACCAAAGCTGTAGGAGGCAGAGACAATGATGAAAGTAGTGAAGATAAGAAGTGGAGTTATCGTAGAGTCAGAGCTTTCTTTCCTCTCTTCCTTATTTACCAGTAATAATCCTTTCTCCATACTATGATTCTCCCCCTCCATTTTCTTCACTCAAAGTCTGTAAACCCCAGAATCGAATGGATGTCAAGAACAAAAGAAGAGAGAGATGCTTTGGAAGCTATATATTCTGTCTTGATATGTATATATACTGTATATACATCTTTTCAGTGAAAATGCTAAGATACTGTATATACTTGATATTTTTAATTGTATATGCACCTTTATATACTCCATCTTTTTTAAAAAAGATTGTCGTCACTTTTACATTTTTCTCTTGTAAAATAAAAAATATTATTTGAGAATTCTAATACAATATATTTTTACTTTCAGCTTAATATTAATTGCAAAATGCATTATCTTATAAATAAGTTTTATCTAAAATACTATTAGTTAAATATGTGACATTACTACAAGTATAAATACACTTCAATCAATTCTTAATCTGTGTGAAATGTGTCTAAGTTATACTTCATCTGTTTCTTCTTACTTGAGATTTAATGTTAATGCATATATATTAAGAAAATGTAAAATTCTATGCAATTGATCTTGGTTAAATATACAAAATATGATATATAAGTTGATGGGAATATTTATAATTTTATTTAGTTTATTTTTATTAATGTGATATATTTTTATTTTAATAATGATATATGAATTATTAATTATTAATAAAATATTTCAAAAGTCTTGAAAAATTAATTATTTATATAGAAATTTTATTTTAATGGTGATATAACAGTTATTAATCATCATCAGTTTAAATTTTGGCAAGAAATATAATTTTTAATAAAAAAATGTATATATTACAATTAGGTTGATGTCATGTCATATTTTTTTAAAAATATATTATTATTTTGTATTGAGAATAAATATGGTGATGACACATAAATAAATCAGTTCGCAAATATTGTTTTGGGAATTTTAAAATAAGTTTTATTGAAAAAGTTAACACGTCTAATGTCTAAATCATATACACAAAGGGTCATCGATACCTGAATAGTCAAGTATTATTCAAATGTGGCTCATCTATATGCAGTTATCCATCAGAAAATATGGTACATATAGTTTGTACGCATTTATGGTCTTTGTCAAAAGATGAGAGATATTATACTAAACAATAAAAAATCGAAAAAAAAAAAATTGACACTAGGGGTATAATGTCTCCGACTCATTGGCATGACTCTTTGGCATGACTATAGTTTGTTGGTAGACGTACAAATAACTGTTTATAAAATCAGAAGTCAAATCAAATAAAGAATCATTTTAAATACTCATTAGTTGTTAATACTAGATTAAAGTTTGTATGAATGAAGCATACACATGCTTGGATGTTACTTTCGTCACTATCCGTGTGATATAGCAGCATTATTTATTACCAAACGAGCAACGTCTTCACGCACGTCTTCCCGTTGATGCTTCAAGTGCAACACAATGAAACAGAAATCTATTCTAAGATATGTGTTCTTCTTAATTAGTCCTTGATAAAACTAATTATGTAATCATTTACTTGTACTAGCACTCCTTTCGTGGTGTTGTTTATTAGCCAAATGGATGTGGAGTGTTGACAGCTATAAGCCTTTTCTAACAGTGTATTTATTTTCCATAAACGGCCATTCCATTTCTTAGATCTGGATCTGGTTTTCAATATAACCTAGAATAGGATTAGGTTCCAGAGATTTCATTTACTATTTCAGAAAATAAGAATTAGAAATTTATAACTATATTAAAATTCACCAAGAGAATTACAAAGCCTGTTATGAAAATGAACAACACTTTCAAAATCTTAATATGAATTTGTTGTGAAAGTGCTTTTTATGTGATTAAATTTACTTTTTTCAAAAAATATAATAATATTATTATTATTCTTATTATTATTATAATTGATATTATATTCTAACGTGCTTAAGCAACTTTAACATAAAACTAAATGAAAACCAAACACCGAAAAACCAACATACATTGATCTGTGCAAGGTGAAAACATATTACTTGTTATATTTAGATTCGCTAAACCTTCTAATGTAGTAAAATAATCATTTGGAGGAAACACGAGGCTCTTTGGTATTTTATCTGATAGTCTCAAACATCCTTTATCTTGATGTTATATAGTGTATCTGGATCCCTCGTGGAGAAAACAAGGAAGCCAGTTTGTTGGCAAAATAGTCAGGCTACGGCACTTTTGTATTCAAGTAAATATATATGTTACGTAAAAAAAAAAAAGGTAAATCTATATGAAAAACTGGTGTTCAATAAAAAGAAAATATAAAAGCCAAGTACGAAAGGCCACGAACCAAACCAACGGAGACTCTCAAGGCATTAAACAATCATCTTTGCCGTTTCATCCATGTTTTTCTTTAATTATGACAGCAGAACTCTAGCTAGTAACATTTATTTACAACTAATGTCGAAAACGAGTAATATATGATTAGGCTGCTAGACACATAATTATTCAGTTATTGTCCAGGTATTGAATAATATGGTTCCGAACTCGCGTGTACTCTAAACGAAATCGAGTGGTAATACTCCCAAAAGTCATAACGCTGTACTTTATTTTCATTTAAACGTGCAAGTTTCTTGTACATACATGAAATGAAAAATGGGATTTTATTTTTTGGAAGGATACAAATTCACGCACGCGGCCTTATTGGAGGTCTAATTGTTAGGAAAGAGCTATCTTGTGTCCTACAAACGAAGATGTGGATGTAATTAATAATTACATGCTTGATCAGCTAACAGGTTTGTTATTTTTTTAATATATATATTCATGCGCTAGAGACGGTATCAGCTTATTATCTATATGTGCGTTATATCTAAAGTGTTTCCTCGGCTTTGTAGGTGAGGAACGCATTTATTTGAGCTCAGATAGTATTGATCCGACCGATAAGAACTCGAAAGATGACGCGGTGTTCAGTCCAGAATTTCTAAATAGTATTAAAACTTCAGGATTACCTAATCATTCTTTGAGATTGAGGATTGGTACACCTGTTATGTTGCTAAGAAATCTAGATCCTACTGAAGGTTTGTGCAATGGAACGAGGCTGCAGATAACCCAAATGGCAGAACATATTTTAGAAGCGAAGTTTATCACCGGAACAAGAATCGGAGAGAAAGTCTTCCTACACCGTATGCTGATTACACCTTCTGATACAAAGCTCCCTTTTAAAATGAGGCGGAGGCAATTTTGTTTGAAAGTGGCTTTTGGGATGACAATAAACAAAAGTCAAGGGCAAACATTGGCAAAAGTAGGATTATATCTTCCTAGACCAGTATTTTCACATGGTCAGTTGTATGTCGCTGTTTCTAGGGTCAAAACAAGGAAAGGACTGAAGATACTAATAACAGACAAAGAAGGGAAACCACAAGAGTCAACAATGAACGTCGTCTTCAAGGAGGTTTTCCAAAATTTGTTTCAAAACAGCTAATTCTTGCATCCTTCCCCTACACCCGAGTGAGTCTTTCTAATAATTTATCACGTCTTTCTTTATACGGTAACAATCTGGTTTTTGCTTATATTCTGAAGCACTTATGTATTTGACAGGGGTGCCTACATCAGTGATACGGTTTCAGAAATATTGGTTCCTTCATCTACGAGATCCGTGCAGGTTAATATAAATTTGAAACCTTTTCCCTTCCATTGAATATAATAACTTATCTGGCATATTAGTCATCTTTTTGTATCTAACAAATACCCTTCTGCAGAATAACATGAACGCATAAATTAGCAGAAGCTAAAGAGGCATGCTATCGTCATCATCAATCTAGGCATACTATCATTACATGTTCACCTCATCTATTCTTATATTCGCAATTGTCAACTCAAAACAAACGTATTATGAACTGCAATACTTTCGTTGGTTTATAGACTTCAGTTGGTTTTTTTTCGTAATTTATAGTCTTATTTTTGTATTTCTTTATTAGATTGTTAAATTGAGCCGTAGTATCACTAACCTTTAAAATTCATTTGGCCCAACTGAAAGTTTAATCCAATAAGACCCGTTTTAACCGTCTCTCGAACGGTTATAATTGGCGATATTGTAGCACATGTATTTGAAATGTGAAAGTCTAATAAATGTTTAAATAAGCTCTCCAAGTTTTAATTGTTCACCAAGCAAAGCAATTCTATTGGATTCAACAATTCGAAAGGATTTAATCAGAATCGTATATGTTTCTATTCTTTGATAACTATTATTAATTTCTTCATTATTATATCTCCGATCATAGGTTAGATTCGGAATGCAAAATATACAGTAATTATATTACATCTCATTATATGTTAGTTTTCGGTTTGTAAAATATTCAGTTATGGTTAGGGCTTTTATAATTACCATAGTTGTAACAATGTTGTACAGGCGGTAAAGAAATAATATTGGCAATTTTCCATAATCTATAAATATAAATCTTCCGTACAATTATAATACCCTATCGAGTAAGTTACGTTCTTATGTACATTTTTTTTGGTACCACAGTAAATTGTATGGATAATTCCGGTAAAAAAATATATCAATTATTATATAGTTGCCTCTAACAAAACACCATAGAGAACTATATAGATAGTCCTATATTCAGGTCATTATTTTTAATTAAGCCTGCCACAACTATGGAATGTAAATATATACGTAATTCATATTTATATATTAAATTTACCATCTTTGTTTTACTTACATATTTATTATCTCTTCAACCTAACTATATATAGATAGATATACGTGCCACTATATATTCTCCATCAAAAACCATAGAATACACTAAAACACTCTTTTTCCCCGCAAATGGCAAGGTTTTCGGTTCTTGAAGAGTTGCATGCAAAGACAGAAGAACATGCAGTACGAGTTAAGATCGTCAGGAAATGGAATACCATGATAAGACAAAGACCGGCAGCTTGTGTGATGATTTTAGGAGATGAGAAAGTAAGTGATAATTTCAGAATATGTTATGTTGCACTTTTAGTTTTAGTGAGGTTAACCATATTGTTTATACCTATGTCTGCAGGGATCTACAATGGAAGCAACTTTGCCGCGTGATGTTGTACTTCCAAAAGGAATCGATCTCGAAGAAGCTGATTGGTTTGAGATATATAATTTCAAATTAATTAGAGTCATCGAGTTGGTAAGACCAACAAGGAGCAAATACGGTATTAAGTTCACTCAGGCAACATCTTTCAGAAAGATTCAACCCATCGTTGATTCTAATTTTCTGGAGCTTGCGAACTTTACAGCAGTTTTGAAAGGACACTCGCATCCAATGTACTGTATTGGTATGTTGTGTATATCTTTGTTTGTATTATTATTAGTCAGTTAAAAACACCTCGAAGATGTTTAACCTTTCAATTTTCATCTTATTTTCATGATTTCTTTAGATCTTTGTGGAGCTATGGTTGCTGTGGGGGAGTTGCAACAACTTCAGGAACTAGGAGCTGGCGAGATATATTCTTATCAGAATACAAGGATGGAGTTCACTTTGGTTAATACAGAGTTCGAACCTCTCATTTTTACTCTTCTTTTAGTTTAGGACGTCATCTTAATTTTGTCCTATACAAACAACATGCTAACTAAACAATGGATTTCAGGCTAAGAAACTTAAGGTGTGTTGCATATGGCAAGGAAGCAGTGACTCTGAGTGAGTACTACCGTAACTCACGTGCTCCAGTGGATGTGTGTGTTTTGAGGGCTTGGAGAATCCATTGGGGAGAAGGTTAGCAATTGAAATGAGAATATATATTGCATGTAAAACTCAAATGCATATTTATTTATTTTGGTAATATTTTTATATTTCATATGTAGGTGGTTTCCGATATGTAACCAACCTCGAAGGCTGTTCTGAAGTCTTATTTGATCATGACATGGAAGAAATAAAAAAATTTAAATCGAAGTAAGTGTTCTATGTTAATAATTGTATTTGTATTTCTGTAGAAGCAAAAAATTAGAGTTCAGAGTATTTATGGTTCTCTTATATTTTGTGCGGTTACAGGATTCCTATCATAGAATAATGAATTCATTATTTCAGAGATGGAGAGTTTATCAGAATTGAAGACTTTTTGCTTTACTTAATATTCTATTTATATTTATAGTTTTTTTTTGGTTTTCAACATCTTGCTGAATAACTATTTATGATAATAACTATTTATGATAACTTTTATAATTATGCATCTCAATAAAAAATAATGCTTTACTTATATAAGTGTTCAATTATTTTATTTTCTGCCACCAAGCATCCGTAAACATAATGTGTATCGTAATATTAAACTGAAATATACACTCCTTTCCTATCTTCTTAATCCCTACCTGGAAGGATTTCGATCTATCTACTTACGTGACTGTGAATATATTGTTAGTCGATCCAGCTCATTATAATTAATTCCAAAGCCTAACAATCTTTTAAAATAGTCTTTAACTTGGGCTACATTAGATAATACATTTATTGTATTTATAGGTCTCAAAATGCTATAAATTCTTCAATATAATAAAACGAACTCAATTTGTATAGCAAATACGATTACAACGGTATAATAAAACCACAAAATCCCCTATAAATGTAATTTCGTATCATGCATGTGTTATATTAAATTTATCGCCCCGTTCTTATATATAGAGATAGAATTTCCAAATATTGAATTTTTTTTTCATGTCAAACATATTTATTTATTAGGTATTTCACCCCGCGCAGGGCGCGGATTATCACCTAGTTACTTGTTATATTTAGATTCGCTAAACCTTCTAATGTAGTAAAATAATCATTTGGAGGAAACACGAGGCTCTTTGGTATTTTATCTGATAGTCTCAAACATCCTTTATCTTGATGTTATATAGTGTATCTGGATCCCTCGTGGAGAAAACAAGGAAGCCAGTTTGTTGGCAAAATAGTCAGGCTACGGCACTTTTGTATTCAAGTAAATATATATGTTACGTAAAAAAAAAAAAGGTAAATCTATATGAAAAACTGGTGTTCAATAAAAAGAAAATATAAAAGCCAAGTACGAAAGGCCACGAACCAAACCAACGGAGACTCTCAAGGCATTAAACAATCATCTTTGCCGTTTCATCCATGTTTTTCTTTAATTATGACAGCAGAACTCTAGCTAGTAACATTTATTTACAACTAATGTCGAAAACGAGTAATATATGATTAGGCTGCTAGACACATAATTATTCAGTTATTGTCCAGGTATTGAATAATATGGTTCCGAACTCGCGTGTACTCTAAACGAAATCGAGTGGTAATACTCCCAAAAGTCATAACGCTGTACTTTATTTTCATTTAAACGTGCAAGTTTCTTGTACATACATGAAATGAAAAATGGGATTTTATTTTTTGGAAGGATACAAATTCACGCACGCGGCCTTATTGGAGGTCTAATTGTTACCTACTTAAATAAGTTGATGATAAAATAGACCAATAAAAATAAAATAGATTATTGGTCTATTTTATTTTATCAAAAAAAAATAGACCAATAATCTATTTAGACCACCTTTATCGTGGAGATCGCTGATTGAGTTTTATAAAAGAAAAAAAAAATTTTAGTTTTAGCTGATTTAAGAAAAAAAAAATTAGAAAGAAATCAATAGCGGGCTGCCACATGTCGTGGGGCCTGCAAATAACAAGCCACGGTTTTTCTTTTCTTTTGGTCCCACCCCAATTTTTTCCTTTGAAATCCCTTCTAAAAGCTTGCGATAAAGATGGTGGTTAATGCTATTGCGTAAACCTAACAAAAATTATCGACAATATATATTTCTGCGTTAATTTCTTTAACAAAAAAACACAAGAACAAAATTTAAGCTGTCCAAAATAAAAAGAACTAATGGGTTGACATAAGTATGAAATATACACGACTTTAACTTTATCGATATATCCATTGCACCTAGAGAATGTAATGCATATTTTAAATTATATAATTATGAAAATACTAAAAACAAGACAAACAGAACGTAACAATTCTTAGACTATTAAAAAAATGTAGAAAATACTAAAAGTACAATATCTTGAACCAACAGAACATTAAAATAAAATGCATTTGCGCGTAAATAAAAATCATACAAATAGAAAAAATTACATCATCATTGCTTGAATCTCTTCCAAGGTTTTGCCTTTGGTTTCAGGAACAAGTTTTGCTATGAAGATAATGGCCAATACACATACCCCGCCATAGACATAAAATGCACCTGAAACCCCAGAAATGGTCAATACTATTTCTTTATCTTGTTATGTATGATAAATTAAAAATATAATTTGTTGTAATACCATGAGGGCTCCATATCATGAGAAAATTGAACGTTAAGGAGACAAACCACGAACTTAGCCAATTTACAACAGTGACAAGTCCTCCAGCAGTTCCTTTTAAATTTATTGGGAATATCTGGAATATATCAGTAAAGATCATGTCAGTGATAAGCATATGTTTGGAATCAAAAGTTTTAAGAAATAAACATATGAAAGTACTATATTAAATGTTTTGATATTTACCTCAGACATTATAACCCATGGGATTGCCCCCATTCCAATCGAAAATGAACCAATATAGACCTGAAAATCGGATTGCAAGTTAGTCAATCAGTAAACCGGACGGGGTAAAACCAAAACCTGATTTCATAGATGCTTACCAAGACACCGCTAACTGCTAGAGCCGGAATGATATCAAGTGCTAACCCATGGGCCTGAATTAACGCCAAACCCAAAATTCAATCGGTTGATTAAGATAAAGGTGTTATAAGTTATAACCAACACTATATACTATAAGCTTTTCTTTTGTTTTTAATATTAGATTGACCTTTAGAAGAAATGAATTTCCGATGAGCAAACATCCAATCAGCATCCCAACAGCTGAAGCCTAAAATATTTCAATATATGATCAGACCGAGTTTAATCCAAATCGGTATTCTTTAGTTTATACCAGAACCATACCATAAGAAGTGGTCTTCGTCCAAGCCGATCAATTAGTAATGTTGCGCCTAGTGCTGTAAGAATGACTTGTTCAATCGAGTATAGAATGCTTCCAAGAGTTGGGGATGCTCCTGGTACACCAAAACCGGAACAAACCGATGAGTAGTCTATAAATTAAACCTGGCTGTTGTAAATCAAAATTAACTAGATGAGTTCAGTTTATAACCTGCTGATACAAATATTTGTTGTGCGTAGAAGATAACCCCATTTATTCCAACAAATTGTTGGAAAAACATTAAACCAACTCCGACCTGGTATAATTACAGCTACAAGATTAATTAAAAACCGACCCGGAACTGTAGTTATCACCAGCTATTTTAATTAGCGATTCTTACAATCACAAAACGTATGTTCTTTTTGTCAATAAGGTCGAGTAGTGTGGTTTTTGGAAGGTGAGCTATAGTTGCTAAGTACTCCTGAGTAAAAAAAATCCAAAACCGAGTTAGAGATAAATGCAATGTTACGTACCGGAATCGGTTTTCTAATTAAGTCTTTGGTTCAAATTGTACTTTGATTTCATCGGCTTCTCTTGCTATATTGGCGTTAGAACCCCTCAGTTTTTGCAACGCAATTTCAAAATCGTGGTGACGGCCAACCATTTCCTTGAAACGCCAAATACATTTGAGTTGCATTGATAAGTTTTCAACCATAAATTCTAAAAGCCTAAACCAAACCGAAGTTTAATTTCAAACTTTAATCATACCAGCCATCTAGGTGATTCGGGGATGATCCAAGTCCCAAAGAATAAAACCACACATGGTGCAACTCCTGAGATTAATTAACCAAACCAGTTTTTAATCAAATGAAATAAAATACCATCTTTGGTGCAATTACTAAAACCAATACTAAATGTTATCAAATGTTTGAGTTTTTTTTTTCTCCAAATGAATTAGCTAGTGCACAAACAAATTTACCGGTTAGTGCAAGAATTCTCCAGTTTACGTAGGCGCCTATGAGGAACATGGAAGCCAATCCGATTACTAAAAAGAGCTGAAGAATTAACAATATCATCAAAAATATTTTATTCTAAGAACGGATTTGTTAAAAAGTTTACACACAACCAGTTGCACACAACAACCCTAATACAACTTTGACCATAAACGAAAGTACTAAACCTAATACAAGCTGGAATAAACCAACACATTTGCTAGTCCTAATCTATTGTAGTCAACAAACATTTGTCATATTGAATCAAATAAAATGCATCACCTGGTTAAGCGTAGCTAATGCTCCTCGTAGTTTTTTCGGACTAATTTCAGCGATGAAAACCGGAACCTAGAGAGAGACAAATGCAAATGCGAATATTAAGTTAAAATTGTGAATTCAATAATCAAGATTTTCATCAAGAAATGGTTTTATTTTTAACAATGTGAGAATGCCATACCACATAAGAAAGAGTACCGCAACCGTAACCCGTGAGAAATCTTCCGAAGTCCAAAGGTATGTCACCCTAGTTAATAATTGAACAAATTTTAATATAAAACGATAATAAATCGCTAATATACTGTATTCTATAAAGTTATTTTAAAATAATGAATAAAAGTTCAGCACACTGAAAAACCTTGGCGAAGTATATAATCATCCAGCCGATGGCAGATATCACTGAAGACAACCTCATGGCCTGTCGTAAAATCCACATGCATGTGACCAAAAAACTATATGGAGTATTTTGTTTTGTTGTTGAATAAAATATAGTAAAATGTAATAATCATAAAATGTTTTTTTTGCTTAAATTTGGTATAAAATGTGTTTGTGTGTGGATTGAGATAAATAATACATAATATATGTATTTGTTTTTTACCCCTTTCCGACCGATAAAATCAGAGATCTTTCCCGATGTTACAGCGCCAAGAACTGCTCCCACATTCAATATAGATCCGAAAACTGAAAACTACATTTCTAAAAACTGGATTAGTAAAAAATCATCGTAAAACATCTCTGAATTTAGATTAGTTGTTATGATTTTAAACCTGGGAATATGATAAACTAAGTTCTTCCATAATCCCGAACTGGGTCGGAGCGGAATACCCCACCTATTAATTAAAAAAAAAGGATATTTTCTCGTATCAATAACAAATCATTCGTTAATCATCATTTTTTCTTGATAACCTTAATTAAAAGATTAATTAAAAAGAAACTTACGCAGGTTCCAAACTCGAAGGAACCACAAACGGCAATGAATGTGCTTAGACAAACCATCCACGACGCTTCTTCTTCATCGGATCCATTCTCCGGAAGCAGCAACGGCTGAGATTTACCGTCCACTTTCTCCATATCGTCTTCTCTTCTTGACATTTTCTTCTTAGTTACCCTTTCAAGTCAACGAATAAGACGTATCAGTTTATTCGTAGAACATGTGAAAGAAACTTTTTTTTTTGTTAGGATATAACTGAACGGATGAGATGAGCTAGACACCACCGTGATTTTAGATCTGTTTTGAGTTTGTTGTTATAAGCCTATATATAGACATATATCTATCAATACATGATTGTATACATTGTGAACATGAAACAATAGCTGGCTGGTTTAGCTAAAACACAAAAGATGATCAATATTTTTGGACAAACTAGACAATTGGCATTAGTTTATTGTGTATACTATGAAAGTTTCAATGAAGTTCAAATGTTGGCATATATTATGAAAGTCCATTGCAGTTTCATATAGATATTATGTCGAGGTTATTCACAATTTTAAGTTACCATATTCATTTATGTATTCAAATTTTCACTAACATTTCTCAAAATGTTGTGTACACTCCTGCAATGTATGACTGGGTTGGTAACATGCATGGTTTGTAATTTTCTAAAACCAGCAATAAAAATAATCCAGTAGTTAAAAAGAAAAACAATAAAAGTAACCATGCATGTTGTTGAGTAGGACAACATGCACAGTGACGTATACTTGAGTCAAAGATACGACCCCTGTTTTTTTCGCAGATCTCGTACGTCTTGCTTTGTTCTTCACCACCGCTAGATCTAATCATCTAAGCTCTGATGGATATTTAACATTTTATAAATTAGCAGATAAAAACTTCTAGAAAATATCAATCACATATGTTTTAGCACCTCAAATACTTGAAAACCAAAGCGATGTTTATTTGGTTGAATTGGTTTATTTGAAAACTATATATATAGTTAAGTCATAATTAATAGCCTTCCAAATTGAATGAAATTACTTGGTCTAAACTGCTTAGTGATTAGATTATGTTCTTAGTCAATGTGAGATTCATAACAAGCTACATTCTGAATTTGGGTGTTTTAGAACCTCATTAAATCGTGTTATTCCATATCATTCTTGGTAAAGATGAAACGCTCATATGCTGGTGAATGGAGAATGGTGATATGTCTTATCTACTCTCAAAAGTTGAACAAACATCGTTGTTTACGATATTCTTTGGTCTTTATTCCCTTCTCTTCATCTTTATATGATCATGACGATTTTAGGAACAACAACTATACACATTGTCGAAAATGATTAAGACACGTCAATTATTAACAACAATTAAGACACAATCATAAAGACACATCAAATAAAACAATTTACATATAATCAAGTTTTTTTGTTTAAACATATAATCAATTTATTCATCATGATGCCTTCTCGGATTGGTAAGGAGAGAGAGTTTGGCGCTCAGACTCAGAGACACGAGTTGCATGGAACTTGGCGATAAAGGCAGAAGCCTTACGGTCGATACCTGGTTCAGCAACACAAGTTACACAATAACGTTTGTCTTCGTCACTAGCCAGTGCTTTGCGAGTGTAAACGGAGTCATCCCAAGAGGCGTCTGCTTCCACTCTGACGTGAGATCCTCGTGGCGTAAAGAAGCTAAAGAGAGACAACCTCTTGCTACTGTGTGTTCTGTTTCCTACCATTAGTATTTTTTCTTGATTTTTGTTGGTTTTGGAATAGAACAAGAAGATACACAAAAGAGACGAGAGAGTTTTTAAATTAGAGATTGTGTTTAATGTGTCGATGATTTAAGTTGAGATGTGGAGTTTGCGCATGTATTTATAAGGAATATGGCTCACCAAAACATTAACGAGTGCACCGATAATATAACAGTTAATTTAACCGGTCAAATTGAGATGGTATTATTTATTCTTTTATATAATTCTTTTTGGAACCAAATCTCTTTTTTTTGTTCTATTACTAGTTTTCATTTAATTGGAAATTTCTCTCACTATTATCAAAATAAAACATACCCTTTCTTTTTCTTTCCTTTTCTCGTCAATCTTAGCAACTATTGCCTAAATAAGACCACGTTCATTTGTCCAAAACATTTTTCATTTTACTAGCTAAATCCTGAACTAGACCTAAATATCTTTTTGACCGAAGAATTATGGGCGGTCAATAATACTTTGGAATGGGAATACACGTTATGATTGGAAAATCATTCTATTTTGGAACCCTATAGCGTTTGAAAAATATTTCTCCAAACACTTAATTATGTTTGCCACAGTCCACGCCACGTTTCAAAACATTTCACCAAAGAACAAAAATCTTTTTTTTTTAACTGTTTCTAAGAACTTCCCTACCAAATTGATTGCACTGAATCTCTCGTAGTTTGTGATTTTTCACTGAGCTTTCTAAAAATCTTAATGGAGTAAATGATAGTTATGTGCAAAGCTATTCAGACAGTTGTATCTCGTATATTGCAAACTATTCTATTGGTGTATGGAATCAAACGTCATATAAATTGTTTTTTGTAAATGTGTCAGAAGTTTAATTTTTTTCTTTTAAAATGTGTCCGAATTTCAACATGATCAACGATAAGAACTACTACATCAGTATGATTTGAATGACTCCTTGAACTCAAGTATCATGTTAAATGACTACATGTATTGTTCAGTGGTATATGTGGATCATGTAACTTGAATTTAACTTAAGTGTGGGAACTTCATCGTTTTTCACAACAGTGTAGAGATTTACTAGTGATTGCATATATTACGTACGTCAGAATGAAATACTATTAGATTCAAGTATAAAAAGTCTAAAAAGGGATGCAGTATTATTAAATAAGATTAAACAATAAAAAACAAAAAAAAAGGTAGAGAAGAGAAGAGTACACAGTCAAACGAGAAGTAAAAAGGAATCTATTTGGAGAAAAAACAACTAAATATTTTATTAAGAAAATAAGAGTTATTCCTTCTTGTGGAAGAATATATGACAATAAGAGTTATATATCCAACAACTCTACAACTAGAAGCTATATATATATATTCAGTAATTAATATATACATAACACCACTTTTATAAGAAAAAATATCCTAATCTTCTATAAACTGCTTTTATTTTAGCTGTAAACAGAGCTTAAGTGCTTCACCTCCATCAGAATTATGATACCTCTAACAAACTCAATAAATTAAGACCGGACATCATCCACCAAAGAAAAAGAAATTAATCAGCTATAATTGATTATTCTAAACGATGTCGTTTCGATATGAACTCAACCGTTCATTTTTTAGCTTCCACTAATACCAGAGAGGCAATAACAAAGCACTAAAGGGAAGCTCCTCTCATGAATTGGGCCAGGTTAAATCATTCTCTTGGGCCCATTAGACTGAAAAGCCTCAACGTAGCGTTATGAGTTTTCTTTTGTGTTGTTTTCATACCTTGAAGGTTTGAAACACTCAACTGATATATTTTTTCTGAATTTCATCACTTCACTGATTATTTCTTAAACAAACAAGTTGATATTTTGAATCGTAAAACATAGAGTATTTGTGACTAATTTCTATAAGATAACATAAAGATTGTAATTTAGCATAGTTGGAATGAATGAATACATAAAATATATGAAGCTTTCATTAGATTAAATAAGAAAAAGAGGAAAATGGTTTTGGACAGGAGCAATCACAAGTTTCTGAGCCTTTGTTCCTTGTTTGGTTTACAAAAGAGTCTTGAGAAAGGAACTTCTTTGATTGGAGAGATGAAGTAAACTCTCATTATTTATCATAATTCTTCTTCTCCAATTCCAATTATAACATTATTAAAATCATGGTATTAGGTGGATGTCTACCAAATATTGTTTTCTTATGTTTAACTAATATTGTTTGACCAACTATACTATAGTTCAAACTATTCTTTTCATCGTCACTGAAAAAACATCCACTGTAGCACCATTAGACCTTACATTAAAAATGAGACTGGGAATGAAATGTTTTAAAAGCAAAACACTTTAATTCAACCAAAACTTTATGGTCTACAAATTTAAAAGAGGGAGAGAACAAAGGACCACAGTAAATATTAAATAGTGGTCACTCTTAAGGTTGGTGGGGGCTGAAGTGTAGTAACTTTGAGCCTTTTGACCTGTTGTTTGCGTCCAAATACATTTACACATAAGGAAAAACAGACAACAGATCTTCGTCTGTTTCTCTTTATTCCTTTTTCTTGTCTGATTCAAAAACCAAACAAGAAAAAGAAACACTAGTTTTGGAGTAAAAAGCAGTTCAACCAATCCCTTGTTCCTCAGATTTTTGTACTCAGAAGGTTGGTCTCTTTCCTTCTCTTATTAATGTTCTTCCACTCTAGTGTGTAATTGTGTATGCATCACCTTCCCTTTTTCCATACCCTTTAATTGATTTATCTTTCTTTTTTTTTGTGCTTTAAAGGTTTGATTTTTAAATTTTCTAGAGTCCCAATATCTCTTTCTCTTTGTGAAAATTCTTATTGATCCATCTTGTATATTCCTATACTTGTTGTCATCTCTCTATCTCAGATCTTTGACTTGTCTCCACAACCTTACATGGTTTTGTCTGAAAAAAACTAGGTTTTGAATCTCTGAAGCTGTTCTTGTCTGTTTTCAAGTTTCAGATTTGAACATCTGGGCCTCCAATTTCACTCCTCCTCAATCATAAAGTAAGTAACTTTCTCCAAATCTGATTCCTGAAATGAAACAATTGCTGGGAATTTAAAATTTTGCCCAATTATGTGTATGTGTTGCAGTTAAAAGAGATCACTTTTTTTTTATAGAAACCATGTTAAGCAAATGAAGGTAAAGTTTGATGAGAGATGGGTTGTGTATTGGGTCGACCCGGATCTCCAGGATCAGTAGTTAGCTCAAGGAACGAGTCTAACCGAAAGGAAGTTAACAATGTGTCCGTGACGAAAACCGAAACCACCACACAGAACACTAGTAGTGTTGTTGTTGTTGCTGCTGCCTCTGCTTCTACTAGTGAGGAGGTTGTGAAGAATCACAAGGAAGAGAACGGCCATGGCCATGGCCTTGTTGTGACAGAAGCCAAGGAGAGGAAACCTAGAGGGGAAAGAAGAAGGTCTAGTAAGCCTGACCCGAGACGTAGTAACCCACCAAAGAACTTGCTAGGTGAGCAAGTTGCAGCTGGATGGCCACCGTGGCTGTCTGAAGTCTGTGGAGAAGCTTTAAACGGTTGGCTTCCAAGAAAAGCTGATTCCTTTGAGAAGATTGAGAAGGTAAAGATTAAAAAGTTTAAAAACTCTGTTTTTGTGTTCTGTTCTTTGGTTTGTTAAAAGTATGTTGCTTTGTCTGTGTGTGTGTGTGTGTAGATTGGATCAGGAACGTATAGTAATGTGTACTAAAAAGACTCTGTTCTTGTGCTCTGTTCTTTGGTTGTTATAGTCTTTTGCTTTGTTTGTGTGTGTAGATTAGATCAGGAACGTATAGTAATGTGTACTAAAAAGACTCTGTTTTTGTGTTCTGTTTTTGGGTTGTTAAAAGTCTGATGCTCTGTGTTTGTGTGTGTGTGTAGATTGGATCAGGAACGTATAGTAATGTGTACAAGGCGAGAGATTCACTGACAGGAAGTATTGTGGCGTTAAAGAAAGTGAGATGTGAAGTTTTGGAACGTGAGAGCTTGAGGTTTATGGCTAGAGAGATTCTGATTTTAAGGAGATTAGATCATCCCAATGTCATTAAACTAGAAGGTTTAGTTACTTCAAGGATGTCTAATAGTTTATACTTGGTGTTTCGTTATATGCATCATGACCTTGCTGGTTTAGCTGCAAGCCCGGACATAACATTCACCGAACAACAGGTCATAACACACAAAACTGTTATTTCTCGTAGTTTGTAATAGCATAATTATCGATCACTGACCGTGTTGGTCATAATTGCTATGTTTTTTTCAGGTTAAATGCTATATGAAGCAACTCCTTTCAGGGCTAGAACACTGCCACAACAGAGGAGTTCTTCACCGTGATATCAAAGGCTCAAACCTTCTTATAGACGACGGAGGAGTCCTTAGAATAGGCGACTTCGGTCTCGCGACTTTTTACGACGCCACGAAAAGGCAAAGGATGACGAACAGAGTTGTTACTTTATGGTATAGAGCACCTGAGCTTCTTCACGGTGTTGAAGAGTATAATGTTGGTGTTGATCTATGGAGCGCAGGGTGCATTTTAGCAGAGTTGTTGTCTGGTAGACCGATCATGCCGGGTCGTAACGAGGTGGAGCAGTTGCATAGGATATATAAGCTGTGTGGATCTCCTTCTGAAGAGTATTGGAGAAAGATTAGGCTTCCTTCTCATCAGAAACATGCTCATCACAAGCCTTTACCTCAGTTCAAAAGAAGAGTAAGAGAGGTTTTTAAAGACTTCTCTCCTCAGGCACTTTCTTTGCTTGATACGCTTTTAGCTATTGATCCTTCTGAGCGTCAGACAGCTACAGATGCGTTGATGAGTGATGTAAGTTTCTTTAGGCGTGAGAATGGTTCAAACTTTCATGGCTGATTTGTTTTTTTTTTGTTATGTATAGTTCTTTAGGACGGAGCCATTTCCATGTGAACCTTCTGATCTACCTAAGTATCCTCCAAGTAAAGAGATTGATGCTAGGAAACGAGATGAAGAGTTTAGGAGGTAAAGTTGTTCTTGTCCCTCTTGTGACTATGTTTTGGTTTTGGTTGCGTGAGAGATTGCATTGATATCTGCAGACAAAGGGAAGCACGTAAGGTTCAAGGAGAGAGCAGAAGAAGAATCAGATTACCACGAGAAAGAGCTCCAAGAGCAATGCCTGCTCCTGAAGCCAATGCTGAGAATCAATCCAACATTGATGTAAGAAATGAAACAATATTGTTGTTTTACTTCTCAGTTCATGTCTGAATCTTTATTTGTTAAAACAGAGGATGCGTATGATCACACATGCGAATGCAAAGAGCAAGAGTGAGAAGTTTCCTCCACCACATCAAGACGGGTCACTTGGTTTTCAAGTGGGATCTTCACGGAGATTTGATCCATCAGAGATACCTTTTAGCACAAACTCGTTCACTGCTTCTTACTCCAAAGAGCCGTTACAGACTTGGTCAGGACCTTTGGCTCCTATTGGAGCGTCTGACTCAAGTGTACAGAGGAGAAAGGATGTTAACAAGGAGAGAAGAATGGCTGCTAAGCTTAAAGGGAAAAGAATCGTTGTTTGATTGATGAGATTATTATTCCTTTTTTCTATAGAGATACTTTGAGAAAAATAGTGCTGTTTTTTTGGTGAGTTATATATGTTTTCTTACTTGTGATATTGTACAAGAGAGCATTGACAATAACATTCAAATGAGGGTATCTTACATTATATGTAAAGCTTTTAGTTTTGCTCAAAAAAAAAAAACATTCAAACGAGGGTACCTTACATTATATGTAAAGCTTTTAGTTTTGCTTCCTTGGCTTCAATTAGTCACTCACAAATGGTGATGAAGAAGGAGCTTCTTAGAGTTTAGGAGACGTGTGGAGTGTATTCTCTTTTTACTTTTGGCTCATGGGTTTGTTATTGTTGATGTTAGTTAGGAACTTGACTTGTGTCTTTCTATTATAGGATCTGATTGTTAATTTATGGGTACTGTTTGGTTAAACTTTGGCCAATGGAGAAGACTGTAATAAATATATGAGAATGATGGGTTGTTGTGACAAGTAAGTACATATTCATGGTATGTTTTGAATAGTGAGTGGCCCTTGTGTGGTCCTGGTCCATGGATTTGAATTCGGTTGGTAAAATGGTTATGACCGGTCTATTTCAATTCAATTAAGAACCGGTTTGACAGGTACACTTTTATTAAACTTGGAATAACCGTATAATGTCAAGTCACTGAATTAATTTTGGCACGTGCATGAGTAACGAGGCCCATGTTTTCTTCGTGGCAACGACGTCGTTTTCGGGTGCACAAAGCTTATAAATGGAACCAGCTACCTTGGGACATCACGCTCTTTGTACACTCCGCCATCTCTCTTGTGAATAACGAAAATGACGACCATCTCCATGCAAGCTACCTCTCTGGTAATAATCTTCTTCTTCTTTTCACAATTGTCACATTATTTTCCAAATCGCTCTAACCGTTACGACGTTATATCATTTATATAAAACTGTGAACGTATGTTAATAATGTGATCCTTTCAATTTAATTTACATTCTGATGCGTTAAAAAGAAAGTTTTGTGTGATTTGAGGCTACGATTTGTTGGATATGGGTCCTATGGAAATGTTGTTTTTGGTTATGGAAATTACAAAACAATAGTCATATGATTAATTGGTGGTTTAATTTGAATGAACATGTTTATTGTACATGTATTAATGAACAACAGGTAACAACAACGAAGATTAGTTTCCGAAAGCCAACGTTGGTTACAAATCATGGAAGGAATAATCTCTCTTTCAACCTAAGCCGCACTCGCCTCTCAATCTCTTGCGCGGTTTGTTATGTATTTTTTTCTGTACACCACTAAACATTTTATCGTGTTTGTTGACATCTTAGTTTTGTCTTTATAGGCCAAACAAGAGACGGTAGAGAAAGTATCTGAGATAGTCAAGAAGCAACTATCACTTAAAGACGATCAAAAAGTCGTTGCAGAAACCAAGTTTGTCGATCTTGGAGCAGATTCTCTCGACACGGTAATTCATCAATCACTCTCCTATGTGAATAACCAAAACTTGTCAAATTCTTGTAATGACTAGCTGAGTATTTTTTTGCATGCAGGTTGAGATAGTGATGGGTTTGGAGGAAGAGTTTGGTATCCAAATGGCAGAAGAGAAAGCTCAGAAGATTGCAACAGTTGAGCAAGCTGCTGAACTCATTGAAGAGCTCATGCAAGCCAATAAGTAATTTTTAGTCTAATTTATCCTTAAAATAAAAACAGAACAGGGCTTTGAGTTTGCTGTTTTCATTATGTTTTTAATGTGTCAAGTGAGTCTTGTCTTTGTCCCATTGGTTTAGTAGTATCTGTATCCACGAGTTTCTATATGTCTCTTGAATCTTTTGGTGACCAAAAATTCAGAATGATTTATCATTTTCAAGAAAGAAGTATGTTGTATTAGGCTGACACTTCTGATCATGTCAACTTATTTTTGGGCTAATTATAGACCCAAAAAAATTAATTGGGCTTCAAATCATTTTCGCTTTTTAGCAAATCTCTCTGTTTATAATAAAACTAGTATTACCCCTGTGCTGCGCACAGGTTTGTTTAGTTTACTGTTTTAAAAATGATTTGACCATTGTCAAAATTTACAATTTTTCTTGGAAATTATTTAAAATATTATATGAACAATGGCACATAATTAGTAGAGGTTTCTGCACTGAAACAAATAAGGGATACAACATATATCATTATGAAATGGATACATGTTTGCAAAAGTTTTTTAAATACCAAAATATAAAATATTGTTAAAAATACTTTATTTGATCCATTAATTTTTGGTGATGGTTTTATAACAACATGTACTTTATTTAATTTATATAAATTCAAGTATTATTTGTACTGTTGAAAACAACTGTTACATTTAATATTTTATGTTTATTTACCGAACATCTTTTTGTAAAAGCACACATTTAAAATGAACCCACATTACTTATTTTGATAGTTTGTTAAATTTATAAGATTAAATTTTACATCTTTACTGTGCTTTTCATTAAATTATAATGAATTGTCTAGCAGTAATTAATGATTAAGTAAAGTAAATTTACCTTTGATTCAGAGATACAACTCCGTGATACATCCAACATTTGTTTTAGGGTTAAACTCAATTGCTGTGAATGCTGAAAAATAATTGATTCAGCAAAGGAATATTTATCCAAAAAAAAAAAATAGAGAGTGAAAAACAGGGAAAACCTTCATTGTTAGGCCAAAACTTAATGCTCCCTTTAGTCCTTTTCACGAGAATAATTTTGGTTGTGCTCCATCCCATCTCTCCAAACCGCGTGACCTACTGTGTCTATAAATCAATTGATATGGGAAGTTTAAAGTTAGATACTGCTGTGATCTGAAATTGAATCTCTTCAAAAATACCATACCAGCATATCTCTTCCCATAATTCCACTCTACTGATCTAAAATTTTGTCGTTTGAATAAATAAAATTCTGAATTGGTACAGAGAAAAAGAAAAAAGACAGGAAGAAATCTGTCGATGTCAAAACTGAAACTTAAGAGATAAAATCTTTTGCTTTGGTAGAGAATATTGAACAAAGAAAAATAAAAAGTAAAATAGTAGATCAAAGCAGTTTGAAAAATCGTGATCATATGATTTTGAACGTGACCTTAGAAAAATTAGGATATATGTGCTGAAATTTAGGAATTGTAGAAACTTTTTAAAATCAATTATATTTGTTTTTTTAATTATTTTATATTTTCCACATGTCGGCTTTTGATTGGCCAGCCGACTTGTGCTTTAGTATATAGAGGATAACGATGCATGTTTTAAATATTTTACACATATAATGCATCATTTTATGATTTTTTTTTATAGTCTTAAACCAATAAAAAATCATTAGATACCATTAGTTTTTTTAAAGTTCATAACTAATTTTTTAAAAATGTAGGAAAATTAAAAAATATATATATATATATATTTTTGTGAAAATATATCAACTGATTTTATTAGTAACTTTTCCAGATTGGTCAATTAATCTCTATTTAAAAACTCAAAACATAATGATTAATTATCTCAACTGCCATGGACAACAAGGCGTGGATCACAATCCTTTATTAGCTTAAGCAACAACTAGTTGTTAACATTCCGACAAAAAAAAATACATATCGTATGTCTGAACATACGCTTCATTTATGCTTACATGACACAACAACAATAACATTAACTGTCCGAACCAAATAAATCAAATACTCAGAAATTCCTAGAAAAATTGTTAATCAAATCCATGAGTTCAGATAACAAACTGCTTCCGAAGCGAATCATCCTCGTCCGTCACGGCGAATCCGAAGGAAACCTCGACACGGCGGCTTACACCACGATCCCCGATCACAAGATCCAGTTAACCGAATCCGGTTTACTTCAGGCGCAAGAAGCAGGAGCGCGTCTCCACTCCTTGCTCTCCTCCAACTCTTCTTCGCCAGAGTGGCGTGTCTACTTCTACGTTTCTCCTTACGACCGGACTCGATCCACGCTCCGTGAGATCGGACGGTCCTTCTCGCGTCGCCGTGTGATCGGTGTGAGAGAGGAATGTCGGATCAGGGAACAGGATTTTGGGAATTTTCAGGTTAAAGAGAGAATGAGAGCGACTAAGAAGGTTAGAGAGAGGTTTGGTCGGTTCTTTTACCGGTTCCCGGAGGGTGAATCTGCCGCCGATGTCTTTGATCGTGTCTCAAGTATGTTTCCACTTCCCTGTTGTTTCTTGTTTTAACTCAGTAATGTTCAAGAAAATGTTTGTAGGTAGTTAGACATTTTACTTAGTATAATGGTAATTAGGCGTTTTACTTAGTATTATGGTAATTAGGCGTTTTACTTAGTATAATGGTAATTATGTGTTTTACTTAGTATTATGGTAATTAGGTGTTTTACATAGTACTATGGTAATTAGGCATTTTACTTAGTTTTATGGTAATTAGGTGTTTTACTTAGTATTATGGTAATTAGGTGTTTTACATAGTACTATGGTAATTAGGCATTTTACTTGGTATTATGGTACTTAGGCGTTTTACTTAGTATTATTGATTAGGTGGGCCCTTAGACCGATTTTTAAAAAAATTGTTTCGTTTAGGTCTGATTGGCCGACTAGGTGGGTGCCTAGGCGTAGACCGATTTTTAGAACACTGAGAGAGATTGATCTGATGTCATGATCTTTAGATGAGTTGCTGTTTTATGTTTGATGTTAAATTATGACCACAGTTTGAATTTGATAGCTCACTGTAATGATACTCTTATCTCTTTGTGAATGAACAACAATAGAGGTTTTTTAAGACTCATGATTCGGTTTTTACAGGTTTTCTTGAGTCTCTATGGAGAGATATTGACATGAACAGACTACACATGAACCCGACTCATGATCTAAACTTTGTGATCGTCTCACATGGGTTAACATCGCGTGTGTTTCTGATGAAATGGTTTAAGTGGACAGTGGAACAGTTTGAGGCACTGAACAATCCCGGGAATAGTGAGATCAGAGTTATGGAGTTGGGACAAGGCGGTGACTACAGCTTGGCGATTCATCATACTGAGGAAGAGTTAGAGAAATGGGGTTTGTCACCAGAGATGATTGCAGATCAGAAATGGCGGGTTAACGCGCATAAAGGCGAATGGAAAGATGATTGTAAATGGTATTTTGGTGATTTCTTTGATCATATGGCGGATTCAGATCAAGAATGCGAGAGTACTGAAGAAGCTGAAACAAAATTGAATGAGGAACTAACCAACTCAGAAGATAACAATATGTAATGGAAATTGTTGCTGATTGTAGTCTTGTACAAACCTGTGTGTGGTCTAATAGGTAGACAGAAACGTTACATGAAACTTGAACAAGATAACTTTTATTGAGTCAGAGCATTTAATATTATGAAAAAAAAGTTATTAAAGAATGCTCTGTTTTATCACACATGAAACCACAAAAGACCCTTTAAAGATTCTGATTTCAAGACGACACTGTCTGGGAATATTTACCAGAGAGAATTTTCTGTGAAACAAACCGATTTGCAGCTTCGGTGTAGTGAACTCCATCCCAGTTAACATATTTGGAACTATCATTACATGCTGTGGCTGTTATTTTCGTACCATTTGAAGATGTCCCTGTCGAACCGCAGTTAATCTGATCATTGTAGTTTAGTGGCGGTCCTCCGGTTCCACAACATACCATTATGGACTGATCAAAACCTGTTACCATACCATACAATACAAGTTTAGTTATATACATATTCTCAGTGTGAAACATTAGTCTATCCTATGATTTTAAGAGTACATACACTATCAAATTATTTTAAAATTATTAAAAAAAAATTCTACTAAATTGATTTTGGTCACGTACCATATTTGGTATGATTCTGGATGAGGTCAGATTTGATGGAGAAGATATCGACGTACGTGAAATTAGCATCACGATATTGTTGAGATAAATTTCTGACAAGACCCTGAAGCTGTAAATTGAAGAGCTTAGCAGCTTCGTTATGGCCAATGACACAACCAAACTCATCAACTTTTGATTTTTCTCTCCCAAATAATGACACCATCTGAGCTAAACACCCAATTGGTCCTGTGTTGTGTATCCAAAAGTTTCTTGCACCCCCTTCCCAATATAGTCTCTATAAAAGAAATAAAAATAATTAGAGAAGAAATGTTTTTTTAATAAGAATGGTAAATAAATGACTCGTCATGTAAATACTGACATTTATTCCATCTTCAAATGTTTTTATGATTGTAGGAATGACAGCAGCAGCTTGATCTACTGTTTTGCCGTAAATTGCACCGGCTATATCATTTTGTCCGATATCAAACATATACAATCCATTTTTGAAATGATCTTCCGACGGTAAGTTTTTTAGAGTTTTATCTGAAAAAATAATATTGGTACAAATGAATAAAACATATGTCTATATGAACTAGACAAGTTTATAATATGTTGATAGTTACCTTGTTGTATTAATTGAAGAACTTTAAATTTGAAGGTGATGAATTGAGCGACTTGAACACCAAAACCAAAAGGACTAATGGATGCAGCATTTGCCTTCTGAATCGTTGATCCACCCGCAGCAAAATTGCAGCCTCTCAGGTAGCTTTGTGTGCTAACCGAATCCAAATAAGGTCTCAAGTAGGGTCGACCAATTGCTTCCACTACATAGAAGACCCAATTTAAACCACGTTGTTTAGAAACTTCTCGTAAGTCATTATTTCCATTACAACAAAATAAACTCTTAGCTTTGAAAATATTGTGAAATCTACAAATTCATGTTTTAGTGGACTAGTTTGGTGTGGTGCATGCAACGCGTTCTGTAAAAAAAATATATGTAGGAACTTAATTTACCACAAAGAAAATATTGCTAAGTCTAGAAAGTCATGGTTTTAGTGGAATAGTTTGATGTGATGCACAACCATAACAAAACTTTCGTGGTACACAGTTTGTGAAAGTATATACGATCGATAATCATACGTTTAAAAGTTGTTTGTACAAAAAAAAATAAGGAAATGGATAGGATTTAGGAATGAATAATTACTTAGAAAATCGACGATGAGACGTCCATCACAGAATCTTCCAGTAGATGGAGGTTTAAAGGCGTAGGATTTTCCATAGGTTGGTTGGAGACGGAATCCAAGACCAGATGTGAGTTCTCCGGTGTCGGAGTTAGAGTCTCCGAAGTTGAAAACCGCCGGAAAGTTAGGAGAAATCGGAAAAGAACCGGCGAGAAGAATCTGAGTATGAGAGATCGCTACGAATGATAACAATGTGAGAAGAGTGTGAAAAAAGGTTCCCATTGCTTAATGTGTTTTTTCACCTTTTCATTAATGCATATATTTATATATTTATATACAAATACAAATATATACACATGCGTATGTATGCATAAGAAAATAGGAATTTCTTTGAAATATGGAAATAAAGAGTATGAGCGTGTTCCTCCCGTAACACTTTTTTATTTTATCTTTTTGGGGTGTAACGGGATTCACATCTATATCGTTGTGTCATAGTGTTAATCATCGATATCATTTTGTTAATCATCAAAATAATTGTGTTATTATGTTAATCAAAGACCCATGTTTTTGGGTAGGTGAACTAGTGAAGACTGAGTCGTACATAAGTCAGAAAATGAGGCTTCATTTTTGTTAGAAGTTGTTGCTTAACAACCTGTTATATTTCTTTTGTAAATAGATAATATTGTTACTCAAAAATAATTCCAAACAAGTTTCACGAATATAAGGTGTTCTATAAGTATTTTTGTTTCAAAATATGAATTATTTTCATATTTCTATATTTTGATGTAATTGTTATCTTTTTAAATATTGTGTAACCAATTATATTTTGATGGGTTTTTTTAGTTAGTCAAATTATATTTTATATATTAAATGATATTTATTTTAATTTACTTGTTTTGAGGTAAAATATAGGGATATATATAGAGTTATTGCACTCTATAACGTAAAAGAAAAGTTTAATTAGGTGACTACCCACAACATTTTTGTATTTAACCAACTAACTATACGGTGGAAAATACATGACGATAATAACCTTAAGCAAAACGATTTGATCGCCTAGAGTCAGGAGATAGAGTCAGAACTTACAGACCTAGTGGGCCACTATTAATGTAGGTTAGATGCAATTGTGTATTTTTGGTATAGTTATTTGCAAATTAAATCTTTGCCTTTCATTAACTAATTTATAAGCTAAAATATAACCAAAGTCTTTTTTTTTTAGATTTGCAAATTGAATTTTAGCGTGTTTCATTAATAATTTACATCGGTGGCTAAATCCCCTCTCGATGACACCATAAACAGCAATGGTAATAATGAATTTTCTTACTATCCCACCTAACCGGCCGTAAACAGCAAGTAGGAAGAAAGTTAAAAAAAGTTTCTTCTGATTATCAACATTGCTAAGCAATAAACTGCCCTCTTCACCTTGTTATGTATTCCGAATAATGTTTTATATTAGCAAGAGATCATTTAACTTAACATTTTTACTTGTTTCAAGTCTATCTATAAAGATCTTGATTTATTTAAAGCAACTTAACAATCACCCAAGTAGCGGTGAAACACGTTGTTATTTGAGTCTTAATGCCAAAGACATAAAGAGATTAAGTTTTTAGTGAAAGTACAATTGTAACGGTCGCGATTAGAAACCCACACCATGTCAGAGCAAACATACGACGGACGGCCTTCCCATTCGCTCCATTTTCCTGCCGTACAGTGTTTGAACTTGTTCAAAGTCCACGAGTGGAGCAGTGACTGCAGAGGGCCGAAGTGAAGTGATATCCTCCCTAGCTTCTCGCAAAGTCTTTTACAACGCCTCGATTTCTCTCTTAAAACGACGAATTTGGTTTTTTGCGTCTTTTAGACTTGCTTTCTTCCAGATTCTGGGAAAAAAAGAAATCCGGTTTCAGTGTTATATCCGGTTTAAAACGTATCAAATTACTGATTTTTAATTTTTAATGTTATAGAACTGGTTTTTAATTAGTTTGTTATTAAATTGACCCATATTTATACTCAAACATATAGAATTGCACGCATGATTTTCATCACAGGTTTCAGAGCTATATAATCACATATTAACAATATAACAACCACCACCTATTTTTACTCAACTTGCTACTCAATTCCGGTTTCGTAGATATGTAACCGGGTTCAATGCTATATCCGGTTTAAAATGCATCAAATTACTGGTTTTAATACTATATAACCGGTTTTTAATTAGTTTGTTATTAACTCGACTCATACTTATACTCAAACATATTGAAATGCACACATGATTTTCATTACCGATTTCAGATCTATATAATCACTTATTAACAATATAAAAATCACCACCTATTTTTACTCAACTTGCTACTCATTTTCCGTTTCACAGATATGTAACTGGATTCTACACCAAATTATCTGGATTTTGTTTTTGAAAACCAGATATCTTACCTTTACTATCTTGGGATATTCTTCCTTCTCCTCGGTCAACTGACAAGGTCTCATAGTGTGTGGACCTCCTCTGCAGAGCCTCGCCGACGGCGTGTGTATCTTGACGACAATAGTTGACGGAGCTATGATCTAGTTTGGATACTTAAATTTGTGAACTTGCGATTTTCGCCAGGATCTTCGCTGGTGTTCATCAGAGGATGAATCTCAGCTTCCTCCACGGTCTTTTCACTCTTGCTGATCCTCTTAGTGAATTGTTTTCGCTTTGTTGTTCTATTCTCTTTCTCGGTAACCTAGGGTCACTGTTTCTGACCGGTTAACTGGAATTGTATCATTTCGAACTCTCATTCTCACGAATTAGTTTAAGTAATATAATTACCAGAAAACAAAAAAAAAAATGGATCTGGTAATTTGTGGAGAAATCTTTAGAGATAAGAACAATGAGCTGATTGTGATATTTGTATTAAATGAATCATTTAAGATTGACGCTGTAAAGTATTTGTATTAACAATTGCTTCTGTAGACGTTTTTTGCATGGAATGGATGATTGTATCTGTTGTCTACAGTGCTTCGACATAGTTTTATTATTATATTCAGTAACCTAAGCTGACACTGTCTCAGCTTTTGTCCTTCTTCTTCGTAGGGGCACTACAGGCAATTTAATATACTGTTTGTCATGAAAACCGTATATGGTCAGACACCTAATATATCTTTTGTTCATGGTTATTGAGCTAAATAGCTCTAAAATATAAGAAACAAAAGAAGTTGATGAACATACTAAATATATATTTTTAAAATATAATTAGGTTTGAATGTGGATGAAGAGTGTTGTAAATTTTCTCTACTGCGGGTCCAAAGATGTAAGAAAAGTTGGTCAGATTTCGTGAACCAATTGTGTGTACTCTATCGTTTTTTTTTATTTATCGCAAACTTGATGTGAGATTACTGTTCATGTGAATATTAAACTCATCATGTGAATACTGACCTTTATTCCATCTTGAAATTTATATTGCTTTTAGGAATGATACCAAAAGCTAGATCTAGTGTCTTGTTGAAAGATGCACCGGAAGATCAGTTTGTCCGATATCAAACATAAACAATCCATTTTTGAAAAAAACATATTCTGACGGTAAGTATCGCTTCATCTGAAAAACAATTAAAAAAACATTGGTACATTACTATACGTTTCAAACAACTTTATGTAACGTTGATGAATCAAATGAACAACTTTGAATTTGAAGGCGATGAACTGAGAGACTTGCACACCTAAACGAAAAGGGGCTATGGATGCAGCATTTGCCTTCCAAACAATCTTCATCGCTGAAGCCTTAGAAGAGTTTTTTATTATAATTATTTTTTATCTGATTTAAAAAAAATTAAAAAGGGAATTAATAGATGATCGCTACGTGTCGGTGGGATCCGCAAACAGTACAAAAAACTTTCAATAATCGATCCTTAATTGGTAACTTTGATTACCTGTTTTTAGTGTTTTGTGGGTCTCATTACCTTAAGAAACCCACTAATACTCCCGGATAATCCTGCCCTGAAACGATGTTCCAGTCACTGCAAAATAGCATCTAGGTAATTTTGTGTGCTTACCGAATCCAAATAAGGCCTCAAGTAGGCTGACCAATTGCTTCAACTACATAAAAGCCCAATTTTAAGTACATTGTTTAAAGCACAACAGAATCTCTCATCTTTGATCTTATAAACAGAAGTTAGTTATGTCTCTTTCTTTTTGTTTTTGAAAAAGTTAGTTGTCTTTACATAGTCTTTTAAGTTTAATACTTCATTGACCTAGTTAATCATATAGCCTTCAAGGAAAAAATGTTATATCTAGCTTTTCATAGCACTACTTGATGATATTCACACTCGGGCTGTACAGAGCAATACAATACACATTTATTTATCATTATTTGAATAATTTTATATATAATTCTATATAAGAATTGTTATAAAGGATTTTTCAGTTTTTTCTTAGATCTCTAAAGAGGTAAGCACGACACTGTCATTGTGTATAGTTTAACGAAAACTAGAACAGAGTTTGCTTGGAAATATGGAAAGAAACAATATGATTGTGTTGTTCTCGTGATACTCTCTTGTTTTTTTTTTTGCCTAGACTTAGAGATGACTTTGTCGATATTATTAGATATTTAATCGACTGAAAAAGAATATAAAGGGTGGGAACTGTTAATTATCAATATTACTAGATATAAGTGTGAAGATGAGAAAATTGTCAGTAATCAATGTTGTTTTACAGGACGGAATATGAAGAAAGTTACTAAATTTGAAAATAATGTACATCGATTTTCACAACCTGTAACAAAAGAGCATATTATTGTGACTAAAGAATTTTTGTTAATGGTTAAGTAAGAAGACCTCCTGAAAATTTCATCAGAAACTTTAGCTATGAGTTACAAACAAGAAACCAAAAGATTGCTGCTTCCACTTAGTGAATGTCATAGATTCAGGTGCAATACGTTAAGAGGATGCTTTTTTCGTAACCTAAAAAGACTATACGTACCGGGCTTAGTTCTCCCATAGTTCCTGTTGTCCATACCTAAAATAACAACATTATTTAGCATACAAATGATAATGACTCTGAAGAAAATTATCATAATTTGTATGCTAAATAACCTCATCTGCTGTATGAAATTCCGAGAGACTGATTCTTCTTTCTTCTAAGATGAGATTCTCTTTAACCACAAGTTCCATGACCTTGAAAGATTATAGAAAAGATGAAAAATGGTTAATATCATATATTACTGAGATGTTTTCAACAAAAGTATGTGTTTTTTTTTACCCTTACGGTAGCTATCTTGTTGTTATTCCAGGGAGACAGTAATTTGCATGGGGAGTAAGAACACGTCCTCTTCACCATAAACTGTATGAGAATTTTGAACAAAAAAAAAAACTGTATGAGAATATAAATATATTAACAACATGATCTTCTCTGGAAACTAAAACTCTATCAAAGACTTACTTACAATGTTTGTTGCATTGGTTTCAGATACATAACCATTTTTGTCAAGCATAATGGCATCCGCAGCATTCGCACTGTTACGTTCAATCTGTTTTTTTTTCTCAACTACAAAGAAAATTAATCTCACAAAACAATGTCAATTCCTTAACTTTATTGATTAGAAAACAGTACCTTCACAAAGTATTATTGATGAGAAACATTACACATCGGAAATATAAGAACTAATCTACTACTATATAAAGGGTTGGAGCCAATCCACTTATCACCAATTGGTTTTAAGTTGGAAGCTCATATTAAACCCGAATCTAACATGGTATCAGAGCCATAAGATCCTTTGACCTAATTCACTACAACTACTACTACTATACCGATGTTGGGCCCTCTGTGGATGTTATTCCCACATTGTCCACGCTTCAGACCTAGATATCTGAGCGTGAGGGAGAGTATTGATGAGAAACATTCCACATCAGAAATATAAGAACTAATCTACTACTATATAAAGGGTTGGAGCCAATTCACTTATCTCCAATTGGTTTTAAGTTGGAAGCCCATATTAAACCCGAATCTAACAAGTATCTCGTTAATAACTCAACACCTTTTAGTCTAATTCAAGTTATGTATTTACATATTATCTTTTAAAATGCACTTCACAAAGTAACTCGTTATGTTTGCTCCGCATATTAACATACTTACAAGAAACTGACAGAGGATTCAGGTGTGCCAATACCCACATACCAAGAACTCTGAAATACCAAAAACAAATGGTAAATTTAAGAAGTGCGTGCTGTTTTTACTTCTCGAAAGTCGCTTGCAGACTGAGTCAACATTATAAGTACAGCGTTTTTTTTTCTTCCTTTTTGAAACTTAAGTTCAGCGTTCCTTTGTTTGACCCAACGTGAGAAGTATGACCACTAATAAAAAATATGAAGCGACCACGTCTCGAGACTTCACGGTCTTGAGATATATTTTTGCATTTCATTTATGGAAATTAGTAAAGAGTTAATCATTCATTCACGTGAAGGATTCACGAGATAAATAAATACTACTACTAGTACTTAGCTTCGATATTATTCAAAAGTTCATCTCATTCATGAGATAAACACAGGCTAATGTTGATCTTTTCTCGAATAATTCAGTATTTTAAACCATATGTTTAGCTCAATCATCAAAAAAGAACACTATATGAGTATATACGCATCAGCTTTCTATTATCTTAAATCCTATGTTATGTAATCACTAAATTTAGGAAGTTATGGACATTTATAACGCCAGAACTTTTAATTACTTTTGAAGATTATTTATTATAGTATTAACTTGGTAGGTTGAATTGCGATATATGTTTGAATGCGTTTTATTTAGGTCACATTTCAGAAAGGTCCAACACATTCGTTGAAGTCAATTATGCTCGGTGTTTATGATTTAACAAAAGCTGATGGCCTTTCGTTTTATTTCTATTAATAGTGGAACCTATTCGTTAGGATTTTAAAATTTGTGTCCTCCCTTTCCATTATTTTACTGGAGTGGCAAGTTGATTTTTGGCTATTGTTTGTTGATAAACTTGATGGAAATAGCTTTTAATAAGAAAACATCCAAATAATTTATGAAAACGAGTCCATATTATGAATATAGCATATATATATAACAGATTCTTAATAACAGATGGAACTTTAAACTGGAACAAAAAGTCCAAAAAACTATTTATGTGACATCCAATGAAACACAAACATATAACAAAATGTAACATAGTAGCTCAACAAGAAAACACAAGTACAAAAGCTGTCCGATTTGTTATCCAAGACATAGTCAACTCTTTCTCGTTATGTAATGCCTTGAAATGATTAGCTATAAATCTAAGGTTAAATTTCAAAACTGTAATCTGAAAACGTAGTATGATCTTTGATTCCGTTGAAAAAAATGTTTATTCATCATTTGATTGGACCACGCGTATACCGCCACGTGGAACTCAGAACTGACACAGTTGCTCACGTCACTACAAGAACGCTATAATAATAAAACTCACTTTCGTCTCCTCGAAGAGGCAAAACACACACAACACAAAGAACCATGACAAGATCCGATCAAGCGACTTTTTCCGGCCTTGTGCCGATTTTTTTCTTGCTAATATTATCAGCGGCGGCTCAAGGACCGCCGCCTGATCACAGAGAGGGAATGTATAACAACTACGGCAGGGTAAGTCCCGCCTTGGCGGTGATCGTGGTGATCCTAGTCGCTGCTCTCTTCTTCATGGGCTTCTTCTCCATCTACTTCCGCACGTGCTCCGGCGTAGCCGACCCAGGCGCTGTGCCTTCTGGTGGTGGTGGGGTTAGATCCACAGGAACAGTCAACGCAGCGGCGCGTGGACTTGACGTCTCGGTGGTGGAGACTTTCCCTACGTTTGTCTACTCGGAGGTGAAGACGCAGAAGCTCGGGAAAGGGGAGTTGGAGTGTGCTATCTGTCTGAACGAGTTCGAAGACGACGAAACGCTGCGTTTGCTGCCTAAATGTGATCATGTCTTTCACCCTAACTGCATCGACGCGTGGCTTGAGGATCACGTTACTTGCCCTGTTTGTAGAGCGAATCTTGCTGAGCAGGTAACTGAACCGGTCGAACCGGATGTTGAATTGCAGCAAGTGGTTGTGAATCCTGAACCGGTGGTTACTGCTCCGGTTATGGCTGAAGTCGATTCGAGGAGATTACCTGGAGTACCGGTGGAGATTAAGCGAGTTAAGTTCTCTAGGTCGCATACGACGGGGCACTCGGTGGTTCAACCGGGAGAGTGTACCGAGCGGTTTACTCTCCGGTTACCGGAAGATGTAAGGAAGAGGGTGATGGAGAATTGGAAACTAAACCGGTCGGGTAGTGTTGTGGGGAGTTCAAGGAGAGGTAAACCGATTGACCGGTCAAGGGCTCGGTCTGATCGTTGGTTGTTCCGTAAAACGCCGTCGTTTATGTGGAGGAGCAGAGATGCTGGTTCGATTAGGCTTGGTTCTACCGGTAGTATTCGAGCCAATGATTCCACACGGTCGGACCGGTGGGGTTTTCTTAGAAACGGGTCGTTATTGTGGAGGAACTCTTCAGTGCATAAGGGAGGAGTCAACAAGGACGGCGAAGGAACTTCGGTTAAACCGACCGGTTTAGTTGGGTCAACTAGTGGTTCGGTGAGATTACCCGTTTAGTTGACTTATCTTTTCTGGATGTACCTATATTTTTCATTTTTTGTTTTGTATGGGATTGTTTATAAACACGCAATACATTTTCTTTGATACTTTTTTATTGTTAGTTTTGTATTCTTTAGTTTATGTAACGTGCATGTAAATCAAAGTCAAATCCAGATAAGAGATCTACTTTTATAAAAAAATGTATAAAAAGCTTTAAAACAGGTAGATAACCATAAACAACAGATAGTGGTGTGCTGAGGTGCGGTGTGGTGCAGGTAGGTTTCTGGGTTCATGAAATATAAAAAGGTTTTATTCGACGACAAAGAATATAAAGCTCTACAAGATAAAAAAAAAAGAATAGAACCTAACACTCATGTACAAAAAATAGTACTCAAGGAGAAAAGCATAGATGAACTATTTGTTTGGTTTATAGCCAGAGTTTTCTTGGTAGTTACTTTATTTACGAAAATGCTTCATGAGCAACACAAAACGTTATGTTAATTTGATTCCTCTCCAAAAGAAATGATTATATTATTACAGATAACTCCACATATTTTTTTGATATTAGGTGAATAGTATTATTGACCGCCACTAGGCCTCCGGTCAGATCACGGACTCTCATCGCGTATGAATAATCATTAGTCAATGTTAATCTAGAAGGACTTGATTAAATATTCGGAGTTAAAGCACAATGCTATCTTTTAAACATGTGCTTATGCGCAACAAATGCATATATTAGAACCCCACAAATTATTTTTACAAACGACAAACAAAAACAATTAATGTTTGCACGCTGTGACGACTAGACTTGTCTAAGAGCCTTTTTAAATGTGGTTAAGTGTGACATGCGAGGCTTAAGAGCATCTCTAAATGTGGTTAATTTTTTTTTTTTTGTTTAAAAAAAAAAAAAAAAATCGGACAAATGGGGGCCGCCACGTGGCGAACCCCATGTGAACCAGGTTCACCACCAAGAACTTTTGAGAGAGAGGTTCACCAAAATAATATTATTTTATTTTATTTTTTTCTTGGAAAAGGGGTGAACTCTCCCTAAGAACCTCCAATGGAGATGCTCTAAGAGTTGTAAAAGTATGGAGAAGTTCATACAAAACTCTTCACGTATGATACCATGTGACTAAAGGAGACAACATTTGAAAAGTCCATCACCATTATTACTAGTCTACCATTTACTGGGCTTTAAACTTGTACAATTAAAGCCCAATGAAGCTAACAGACCCAAAACCCAGATCCTAATTGGCTTTTGCTCGATACTCGAATAGACTCAGCAAGAAAAATGAGAAAGATACAACAACAGAGTCAGATGCTGAAACCCCTGAAGATTAACATGATTTGCTCTGAGTGAGTTGATCAACATTACCAATGTAGTTTACTCGTGAATTAGTTGAGTAAGAATAATACGATAGATTCGTATGTTTAGCTTAGTTTGGTTTGATTGGGTTTGCTATGTCTAGAAACATAAAGTGCGTGTTAAATAATAAAATATGCAATTCGACCGTTTAGCAGGTTTTTACAATTAGATATTTTGAATTGAAGTTTTGTTGACATGTTTGAAAATGCTTTATAGTCAATGTCTTGTCGAACATAAACACAAACACTTGAACTTTGTGCACACCACTTAACGAATTATTGTCCATTTATTCTCCTTTTCCTCTTATACATTTAAAGAAAACCTTTCGGTGTAAATGGTTTTAGATGACAATCGACACAAAAAGTAAAGTTGCAGAAGACTGGTACCGTAAAAGAAAAGTGTTTGAAGTGTAAGTAAAACGGGTCTTGAGAGACATTGGGTAAACAGGTAAATAACATAACCTCAAAAGTAAAAGTTCAATTTTTCACAAGAGAAAACTTAATAAAAATGTTTTGATCAGCCAAAAAAGATTGCTGGCCCATTCGGTTCTATACTAAAGCTAAACAATTTACAAACAAGTTTGTAACAAACATCTTATGATCTAATTGTGATGGTGCATATGTATAGATGAGATATTTTATTATTGTCTACATCTAAAGTAAATCAAGTAATTGAAAAATGTTGTACGATGATGAGGGGGACAAAAGTGAAAGTCTATGATGGAGGAAAACAGAGATCAGTCATATTTTAAAAAACATGAAACTGCATACAACTATACAAGGGGTTATTATTATTACATAACAGTAAGTTTATACATGAATGTGTGTGTCCGTAGACCAATATAGGTGCAGTTCAGGGAATCTAACTTCCCTCTTTTTCGGACCAAAGCAGATGTTTTCAATCTGCTTCATGTCTTGTCAACCCCAACCAATAAAGCATTTTCCTCTCACTGCTCTTTTTCTTTCTTGATCCTTGGGATTTTCTATATTTCGATTTTACCCCCACTACTCTTCCTTTTCTTACTTAAAGCTCGAAGAACATGATGATTTGATTTGTGTGTTAAGTTTGTCTTAACATTGAAGCGGTCTAGCTTTTTCATCACCTAACTTCCATGCTATTGCTCGTTTCAAACCAAATGTATGGGCTTTTAACTCCTGTATTGATAATATAGAATTTAAATAGCACGATATATTATTTTGTCGTTTATAAAAATTGTTAACAAATCATGTCTAGTGCCATAGTGGTTTGAGTCTTTTTAATTTACTCGATAAAGTAGAAACAGAATTAAGATTAAAGAACAGAAAAGAAAACAACAAGAACCACACTGAACTCATAATCTTATCATCAACAAAATTGAGTCATTTGATATGTAGATATTTTAAGTATTTTGTCATTTAGGTTTGTGCAAACAAGGTTATATATGTCTATTTCACATATGTACATACATATAAATTTAAAGTTGGTTGTATTTGTACCTACCAAAACAATACAAAAGCGTTCTTAAATAATGCATAGACACATTGGTAGATACCATATAATTAATGTACTGACAGTGTCAACCAGTTTTGGATATGAAATCCAAAGAGTCCAGCTCTGGACATCCTTATAAGTTACACTACATCTTTGCTTATTGCGAATATTAATCATATCAGTTCAAAGAAGTTATGTTAACTTAACTCCATCGAAAAATAAAGCTACTGATGAATATCATTTAGGTTTTTTTTTTTTTTTAATTCAACCCGAAAGACGGGAATTCAATTTCAGTTACAAGCTCGATTTGAACAATAGTTTTTAAGTCAAACTATTACATTCTGGTTTCGCCCACCCACTAGATCCGGCACGTTTCACTAGTCTGATTTTCAAAATCCTTAAAAATCGGTTGCTATTCTCAATCATTTAGGTTTATGAATATAACACATGCAACGAAGACTCATTTATTTCAAAAATGTACCAATTTCATATAAGAGTAAACGGAGCTAATAAAGTTTACTACACAAGATTTGAATCGAGGAGATGAGGTCCATATATCGTCCAAAACGCCAAAACAACAGTTTGCACTCATCGGCATGTGCTTTAAAAAGACCCCACATCCTCTAATGAGTCCAAATATTTATAATTTTATTGATTAGTCAAGTGTGTATAGAAGAAGTGGTACTAAAAGCAACTGAAAATATCATTTTATGATAATTTTTATGGTAAAGATAAAGGGAAAGTAAAGCCTACTTACATAAATAAAAGAAATTCAACTATAGAAACATTGTAGCCAAAGCGCTATGATCCTTTCAGTTTTATCAGTATTTTATAACTAATGCTACTAATCTGTGTCATTTTGTATCTTCGTTTTTATTTGATAATATATATTTCATGTAAATACTACAAGCTGGACTTTCTATCTTTCTATAAAAGGAGTTTTACATGCAAAAGTAATTTAACCCCACGTAACGTAACAATTATTTATTTTTTGATTGAGCTACATTACAAATTCGCTTAACAAGTTCCCAAGTCTCTCTTAACAATAGTGAATTCAAAATATCAGAAATAGAAGCGATAAGGGTGAAAAAAAATTAAAAATAAAACAAACTGACAAATAAAACTTAAGCTGACAACAATGTTCGTCACGAGGTTAGTTTTCTTTGTATATAGAGGACGAAAAACAACAGAGAAAGTTAATAATTTATCTAGAAAAACAAGGATCTAAAATATCTCATGAAAATGATTGATCAAATCCATTAAGACAGTTTTATTATTATCTCATATTTTCTTTTTAGTTTTCTTATAGCTTTTCTGCATTTTTATATTTTCTTTGTTCGGAAAATATCATTGACTTTAGACTCTGAGGTTGCCAACTTGCCATGGACCAACCTCCGACGTACATGGTTCTATCTATATAGTAACCGTAGGTCCCTGGACTAACGTAAGTTGTAACTTACATCTAAACGTTAGTTAAGGTCGAACCTACACGTGTATATATCTATAATCTACGGTTAGTATGGTGATTATTTTAATGAAACACAGTCAAAGTTATGCTTAGTTTAAAAATGCACGATGTGAATTAAATAACACATAACTATTGATAGTTATTTGTTTATCCTTCATGGTGTGTATTAGTGTATATAACTATTGTGGATTTGTTTGAGGAAAACCACTTACTATTATGATACTATCTTCACTGAAGTGGTGCACATGCGTCACATGCACTAGCAAATTAAGTCAAGTTTTATTTCTAGCACAGAATCTTAAGATATTTCAACTAGCTAATTAAGTAGTTCATTAATAATTTATCTAATTTCAGACTTGTTGGTGGTTGAAAGCTGGCTTAAGAGAGCTCTATTCACAGCAAAGAATGGACTCGACCTACATACTCATGACCCAGTAAAGCTCATAAACATTATTGTTCTTCCATTTTTTTTCTTTGTGTGTCATGTATACATATCAATAACATATATTTTTTTATGTTGTGGCATTGAATTTGCTATGACCAATCCATGAAAAAACATATGGCGAGAAAACTCTGAGTTATAAGTATAAAGATATACTCCCTCCGTATTTAAATGTATGATGTTCTAGATTTTTATTTTCTATATACAAAAGCTTGATATTTTAAAGTATAACTAATGCAATTGTTTTTAAAATTAAACAGAAACTAAAAAGTAAAATTATGAATGGTTGAATTTTATTGATAAAACCAAAACTAATAATTAAAAGAGTTGATTTCTAGTTTTTAATATATGTGTAAAATATTAAACATTATACTTTTAAATCCAGAGGAAGTATATTTTTATTTATGTATAAATATCTTCGACGATAAAAGTTACCAAATCAAGTTTTCAGTGGTTTCAAACATAAAATTAGAATCAGATAAATTTATTATTGTTTTTTTCTTAATAGCTTTCAAAAAAAATTGATTGATACTACGAGAATATTATACTGAATTATGTGATTTTTAGTTGATTGAGCCAACCAAGATATGTTGACAATCCAACAGTTTGATATGAAGTACTATATATTAGTATACACGTAAGATCTAGATCGCATAATTTACCACTAATAGGAGTCTTAATTATTGTTTGAATTTCAACAGATTTCTTGCTTGCGAATGGATTCAAAACCTTCTCGTCAACGATCATTAAAATCATTGATCTCAAATCATTATTGTGATCCTGAAAATTTGTATGTTAGTACTTAGTATCAGTATCATAAACAAATCATTGTAGTCTAATTCGTTTACAAGGAAATGAAATATCCCATAACCATTAAGATGGAAACTTAAGATCTAAAACTTGTTGTCATTAGTCGAACATGGATAATCACTTAACACGTAGCCTATTTATGAAAAATACAAAATATAAATGAAATTACGAATAAAAGTAACTTCAATTATAGAAAAAACGAATACAGCTAAATAATGTAGTTAAAGAAACAAAAATATTCGAATTGTGCGTTAATCAATCGTATTCCACTGAGATGAATACAGCTAAGTACAGTGACGAAGCGAGGCTGTACTTTCTTCTGCTAAATTGAAAGAAGCTGCCTTCAAGCTTCTTCTTTCTTTTAACTCTGTACCAGAAGAAAAAGTACGAAACGTTATAATTTAAATTTTTATAACACAAAACAATAATAATTAAGAAAATAGTAAAATAATGAGAATTAAAATAAGATTTATTTGCAAAATCAAAAAGAAAGTCTATCCTTGCTTCTTGTGCCAACACCGCTCTCTTTTACAGACATAGAAATAAGAAACCCTGAAACAGAGATAAAAACAAGACACAAGTATTCAGTGTGTTTTTAATTACTCTCTCTCTATCTATCTCTGTCCTTGAGCAGCAACAACCGCCTTTATTACACAACATACCCTCTGCTTATAATCTCTATCGACCATCTCTTCTCTTCTCTTTCAAAGAAAGAAGAGTCTGAGACAGAAACTCTCTCTCTCTCTATAACAATAGTTTTTTCTGTGAAAACCCAAAAATCTAAAGAGAAGTTATGAATAAACAAGATGTTATGAAGCTTCAGGTATACGTTTCCTTCACTTCTTGTCTCTCCCTTCAAGATTGTGTGTGTATATAATACTGTACTAACTCTGTTTACTGGGATTTGATTTTTTGTTTGCAGACTTGTGTTCTGAAAGTGAACGTACACTGTGAAGGATGTAAGCATAAAGTGAAGAAACATCTGCAGAAAATCGAAGGTGTGTTCTTTCTTTCTCTGAAGCAAATAGATCTATGATTATTGAAGTATTAAAACAATTATCAAGCTCAAATATATTAATATATATTTTTTAAGTTACTCATTTTCCATAAAAATGGAGTCCAAAGTTTTGAGACTTACTCTGTTTATATATGTTAACTTTATAAATTCAACTATGGAGTTCAAAGCTTTGAGATTAAAGTATTAGGGAAGAATCTGACATGGTTTTATTTTTTTTTATTTTTAGGTGTGTACTCTGTGAAAGCAGATGTAGAACAGGGGAAAGTCACTGTTACAGGGAACGTTGACCCAGCTATCCTGGTTAAGAAACTGAGCAAGTCAGGGAAACATGCAGAGATTATAGGTGGTGGTGGCGGTGGAGGAGGAGGAAAAGGGTTACCTAATATGAATGGGCAGTTTGGTAATCTCAGTATGAATGGAAACGGTAAGGCCAAAGGTGGAAAAGAGAGCAACCAAGTAAAGGGGAAAGGTAACGGTGGTGGTGGTCAGAATCAAGGACATGGTCAACCCATGCAGTTGACTCCTCAGCAAATACAACAGATGATGATGATGAAGGCTGCTCAAGGTGGTGGTGGTGGTGGTGGGAAGATGATGCCTCCTGTGGCGTCTAAGGATCAGAAGAAGTCTGTTAAGTTTGCGGAAGAAGATGATGAGTTTAGTGAGGATGATTATGATGATGAGTTCAGTGAAGATGATTATGATGATGATGAGTTTGATGATGAGGATGGTGAGATGGGAGGACATGGTCATGGTGGAGGAGGAAACCATCACATGCCTCCAAATAAGATGATGATGCCTAACAAGATGCCTCAAATGGGTCAGCATGGTGGTGGTGGTGGTGGACCTAAGGGGCCTAATGAGATTATGATGATGATGAATGGTTTCAAAGCCGGTGGTGGTGGAGCAGGAGGAGCAGGGAAGAAAGGTGGAGGAGGAGGTGGTGGCTTTGAGATTCCAGTGCAAATGAAGGGAATGAGTGAAGGTAAAATGGGGAAAGAGGGTAAAAAAGGAGGAGAGAAAGGTAAAAAAGAAGGGAAAAATAATAAAGGAGGTGGGGGTAAAACAGAAAAAACAGATGCCAAAAGTGGTAGTGGTGGTGGCCTTCTAGGGTTTTTCAAAAATGTTAAAAGTGGAAAAGGAGATGAGAAGAAGGGAGGTGGTAAGAAAGAAGGTGGTGGTGATAAGGTAAAATCTCCCAGTGGTGGGGGAGGAGGTGTTCATCATTATGATAGTGGGCCTAAAAAGGCAGGAGGTAAATCGAAAGGAGGAGCCCATGGGGCCCATGATATGGATGATCTCATGAAACACAACAAAGCAGGCGGAGGAGGTAACAAGGGTAATCATAGCACCAAGGGGAAGGGTGGCCCCATGGGTCAAGGTGGTCCGATGAGTATGATGGGTCAAGGTGGTCCAATGGGCATGATGGGTCAAGGTATGGGTATGATGGGTCAAGGCGGTCAAATGGGATACCAAGGCGGTTCCTACCCGGCGGTACAAGGCTTGCCGATGAGTGGAGGAGGAGGAGGTTATTATCCACCACAACCTCAGGCAAATCATCAAATGAACCAGCAACAGTACATGCAAATGATGATGCACCAGCAGCAGCAGCAACAACAACAACAAGCTGCAGCTCATGGAGGATATGGGGGTGGTCACGGTGGAGACATGTACCATCCGATGATGTATGCTCGGCCATATCCAGCAGTGAACTATGCTCATCCACCTCCAATGCCGTCTCCACACTCGGGTCCTTATACTGATATGTTCAGCGATGAGAATCCAGCTGGTTGTAGTATCATGTGATCTTTTTGTAATGTTAAAGTAGACAAAATGAATCTGTTTATCTTAGAAGTCATGTGTTATTTTCTTTTTTTTTGGGAGCTGTCATTTTCTTTTCTAACTCTGCCTAGGATATGAATATATATTTTTGGTGGCATGATGTTTATAATATCTCGAGTTTGATGGTTACAAAGTAAGTTAATTATTTTGAAGACACAATAGGGAAGAGCAGAGTCTGTATTGTATAATTTTGTAAACTTAATTGTATAGCAATATTTATTAATATTATCACCAACATTTAATCATAATCAAACATAATTTATTAAAATCATTTTTAGTACAAAATTTACTTAAATTTAATATAATATTTATTTATATTTTCATTAATTTTTATTTATATTTTATATGATTTTATTAAAGTTTATATGTCCACATACTTTATACTTTATGTTTATTTGATAACAATAATACTATTCGTAAAAACATTAGTCTTGTAGGCATTGTTGTTTTGATTTTTGAGCCGTTTTGTCAAAGATTGTGATGATCGCAAGAAGTTACGGCTTGGTTAATTCAGAAGATGATATCTTGTATGATTTTTTTTTTTGAAGAGGTCTTCGATATTAGAAAATGATTGATTTATATTTATTTTGATATATATATATATATATATATATACATATTTAGAGTGTGGCTGTGTATTTTTAAAAATACTAAAGATGTTAATTAGTATAGATATTATTTATCAGAAATTTCAATCTTTTCGTAGGGGTTAAACCCAAATATTTCAATATAAATTAGAAAATATGATATTTTTTTTGTTTTAATGTGTAGTTGCATCAAAAACTGACATAGTGTGAAAATTAAAGAAGTTTGAGACCTTAGGTATTTCAATTTTTCCAAAAAATAGAGATTTTATAGAGATTAGTGCATTAATTAGGTCGTAAATGAAGTTTAAAAAAATTACTCGTTAAAAAATTAAAATGATGCCCATGTACCATGGAAATATGCTTAGAATACATTAATATACATTTGGAGTATGATTAGATATTTTTAAAAAATAATAATGAGGCTAAACTTTAGTAATATATAGAATTTATTTGAAAAAACTCTATCTTTTTGTAAGATAAAAGAGAAAATATGAAATTTGTTTTAATGCATAACTTCATAATACACTGTTATGTGATGGAAATTAAAGAGATCTTAGACTTTATTTGTCCATGTTTCTCCTGAACTTATAAATTTTATAATGGTTAGTCCATTAAATTATGTAGAATATGAAGTTTTTATGACGAAAATAAGTTGAACATACATTAATATAAATGTTTAATGTGATTAGGTATTTTTTTTTAATCCTCAAGAAAAAACTTAAATTTTAGTATATAGCATTTGTCAGAAAATTCGATTCCTTTGTATTGGTTATCACATCACATATATAAGATGAAAATCAAAGATTTCTCATACCTTTGTTATCTTAATTTCTCTAAAATATTGAAATTTTATAGGATTTATTTCTTTGATTTACGTAACATATGAAGTTTTATATTATAAAAAAAACATTACTAATATAAGAGTATATAATATGAGAAGACTAAATATTAATTTCTTCTTCCGTTTCGTTTTAGAGAAAAGATTTCATTTCAAAATAAATATCGTTTATTAGTTTTATCCACCTTTCCATTTTTCTATTGTTTGAAATGCGATTAAACGTACATATAATTGTGTATTTATTTTTAAAATATGTAAAATTAAATGATTTTTTAATGTGTGCAAAAACAACTAAAATGAAAGGAGTACTATTTAAATGTCAATTATGTATGCAATCATCCTCGAAGTTAGTATTACACTCATTCCTAAAGTAAATCATCGAAGGTAAGTAAAAGTAAATGAATGGGAATCCTTGGAGTTCAGTTTCCATACAGTACACAAAAATTGGTAAAATCTGAGGAGAGTACGTTTATGGATGAATCTATATAGATTATCAGAAAACACATTACCTTTTAGTTTATAAGAACAAATTTTCTAAAACCCTTTTAAGGATCATACGGTGACAGTGAACAGATAGAGCTTCAGCACAACCGCAAGCCCTAGCTGCAAAAGAAAGATGCTTGCAATTATCAGGATAGATCTCTCTCCAGCTGAATTGATATGCGCTTTGAGGTTCAGAGCCACAAATGTTGCAGACATGAACCCTGCTACACCCGCGATGACCCATCTAAAGATCTCCACTGGCACAACCGAGAGGCACTGACACAGAAACAGATGAAAATATTGTCAAAAAGTCTCGTTCATCACATTCAGATGTTTCAGAAGGAGCAATATGGTGTACCAATGCAGGGATGAAGATGAACAGGGAATAGCCGTAGAGACAGAAGAGTTGGACTAGCCCTGAAGGAGCAGAGAAGTACTTGAGAACCACATATAACGCGAGAGGAACAAGCGTGACATAGCCATAGAACACTCCTGCAGACCAAGTCACCAGATTGATGTCATAGTTCCATTCTTGTTTCTTCCATTTGTGTGCTACGTATGTGACAAACGTGCCGATAGATGCTGCCACGAATATCAAAGTCGTGCATATCCAGAACGGACCATACCTACAAAATACAAAATCAACCGAGTTACTTACATAGGAGAAGAAGTCAAAAAAGAAAGACTACAAAACACATACAAGTCAGGCTTATCAGCAGTCTTCTCTGTAAAAGTTCCACGGAACGGGAAGAGAGATTCTTTAAGTCTGTCTACAACATCAGAAGTGTCGACATCAAAGAACGGCTTGTAAGCACCAACAGTGAATTTATGAAGCCAGCCACCAGACTGTGGTTCATCTGTACTACCGTTACCAGGTCCAGAAAATGTATCTGCACCAATGTTCAACTTTTATACTATAAGCCATACCATACACCAACTTATAAAGACTAGCAAGGGTAAATCAACATGAAGCAGATGATGATCTGAACACGAGAGGGTCATACCGTCAGCATCACGAGGGGGATTACTACCACCAGAGATCTTCCCCTGAGTAGCAGATGGAGGAAAGGTTTGAAGATTTGATTCTGCAAGACAACAATTCATCATCCTTCAATCAAAGTTTGATCACATATCAGATCAAAACACTAATCTGTTTAATCACTTTGACCCCAAAAATGAAAAAGACAGTTCAGGTGACCAAAAACTATTCGGATTTTCAATTTGTTTGTTGGTAACCGAATTCTCTAGACTGAACCCAAAACTAAACGTGAGGCTCATGTATTTCAAGATTTGGCATGAACCAGGTTTACTACTTATTTGTTCCGGTCATACATGTCATCACCCAACCTACTTCATACAAGATTTTACCATATGATATCACAGTTATAACTCTATCAGGCCGATCAAGCCCCAAGAAAATAATCAAATTAGTGGATTTTAGCTGGGGAGACGAAGGAAGAACACTAATACTGAACTTACTATCCATCATTAAAAAGCTAAGGAACGGATCATCATAACACCATATCTACTGTATTAAAATGCATCAGATTCAGTGCACCAAAAGTCTCAGCCACACTCCAAGGATACTCAAATAATGTGTTGAGTTGAAATGGTTGCAGACACATTTCAATCAACATATATATTATCTAACTATGCGTCGTGTACACATAACGCAGCAAGCAATTTTAGAATCTACAAGCTCAATTCTCTAGTTCTCTTATATGTATTATCACTAGAATCTAAATCCATCTGTAAAAGCCTCCTAAAACGCAGCGATAAACCCTAATCTGTTTGCACCAGAGATTCTATCAATAATCCAAAACATTTCCTTAAATTTATCTCTTCATTAGCTAAATTTTCGAAGCAATTCGTTCTAACGTAAAGGAAACTGCAAGCAATCGAATGTTTTACCTGCGAATTTGACGGTGGTATGGCCTGGATCTGGAACAGACTGCGATCAAAACACAAATTAGATCAGATCGGAAGAAGTAAACACTTAGATAAAAATCGAGATCGAAGGAACTTACAGGTACGGATCCAGAGACTTTCTGGCTATCGATCGTCGTGTAGTTCCCGCCGGTCATCATCTTGCTCTCTCCTTGTCGATCTCACGGTTCGTTAATTTGAATCGGAGAAGAAACTCGCCTTTGTAACAGACGTTAGGCCTAAAGCAGATGGTTGGTAACCTTCTTTCTCGTTTAGAAGCTTCGTTCCACTTGATGTTTATATACCTTTTATTTTATTTTATAAAAAATACAGAAATTGTATATTTATCAGATACTAATAATTATGATTATTTTGGTAAGTGATTTGAAATAATATTTTTGGTAAAAAATTTAAATGGGTTAAATGAAAAGTATATATTATAAGATTAAACGCGTTTCCGAATTAATTGTTATTTATTTTTTTAATTTTTTTGGGCATCTGTTATTTATTTATTTGTATAGTTAAAATGTAATAAAAAATAGCATGATACATGGTTAAACTGTAATAATGGTTTTGTAACACGAATGCTATGTTCTATTCAACACGAATTCTTGAATTTTCTAATAAAATTAAATGTTAACAAGGAAAGGATTCTGTATTCACTAATAGGGTATTCAAATTAATGTCAAGTAATTAAAAGCTTTGAACCTCCAAAAAATGTAATACCATAACAGAAACAAGAAAACCAGTTGTATCCACGTCAAGATATTCAATCTCGTCCGTTGATCCTTTCCCACAAACGCTAATATATCACCGTTAAAAGCAAATCTATTCACTAAGAAGTGTGACACATGGCTAAGTTACTAGAAATGCTACTTGGAAATCAACCAGTAATATAAATAGAGATGAAAATGCTACTTTGAATTCTCATCTTTCATAAGCTTTGTTACCATATAACAAGATATTTATATGTTTAATCTGAAAAGTAGTTTTGATGTTTGTTTGCAGAATAAGATGACGAGTGACTCTTATGGTTCGACAAGACCGGTACGAATCGTTGTGGTTGGTGAGAAAGGAACTTGGAAATCAAGTTTGATCATGGCTGCAGTAACTGATCATTACCATCATGATCCTAACATCCCTCCTCTGTTGCCTTATACCAATTTACCTTCTGAAAAATGCTCTGAAGATGTTCCCACTATCCTCATCGACACTTCTTCAAAGTAATATATTTCTTATAATTTGTGAATATGAGATGCATATAATATTTATTTTCTATTGATATCTTTGTTAATAATAACATTTGCAGACCAGAAGACAAGGGAGATGTCATTAGAGAAGTCATGGAAGCAGATGCAATAGTTTTCACTTTTGCAATGGATAGACAAGAGACTTTAGACTCTTTAAGTGAATATTGGCTTCCTCTGTTTCGACAATTAGAGGTTTAGTTTCATTCTTTCTTCATCTTCATTGTAACGTTTCTTATTAAAATGTTTTTTTGTCTTGTGACCCTTTTATTACACAGGTGAGAGTCCCTATCGTAGTAGCAGGGCACAGGGTTATAAAAGAGGAACATAACCCAGTCAGCATTGAAGAAATAGCAACACCTATAAGACAACAATGTCAAGAGATAGAGATATGCATTGAATGGTCTGCTCCGAGGCTATCTGATGTCAATTGGCTTGTGCGTGAGATCTTACACTTTTAAATCATTTCAAGAACATTAACATTGTGTCTGAAAAATGACCATACTAATTAACTTATGCAGGCTCAAATGGTTTTTGTGCAAGCGCAAGTAGCGGCTATGTACCCAATAGGACCAGTATATGATCAAGTAACCAATTCACTGAAGCCTTGTTGTGTTGCTGCCTTAAAACGTATGTTTGAAATCTACGCGCGTGACAACGATTACATTATCAATGACGATGGGTTAAACGATCTTAATGTTCATTGCTTCGGTATACCATTGATGCATTCTCAAAGTAGAGCATTAATAGAATATGTCCAAGAACTGTGTCAAGAAGGAGTCCAAGAAAACGGACTCACAATAGATGGCTTCTTGGTTTTAATAACCACAAAGCTTATCAAAGATGGAAAACTCAAAACGTTATGGACTATGCTTAGGGCATTCGGATACAATAAAGATTTAAGACTTGTAGATGAGATGATTCCTTATTCATCATTCAAACGCATGCCTGATCAGGTAAACACATCTGCATGAATATAAATAAATAGTGATTATTTGCTTCTGTTTCTGATTTGTATTTTTATTTTTGTCATTGTGGAGAGTGTTGAGCTGACAGATGAAGCTATTGGATACTTAAGGAGAGCCTATCACCGTTTTGATAACTTGGGACCTCAAATGATGGAATCTCTCTTTGAAACTGCACCTGGAAAGTAACTTTTTTTTACTTTTGAAAAGAGCGCTAAATTTGAATATAATGTAGTCTTTGTATCTGCTTCTGTGTGATTCCATTGGTTTGATTCATTAATAACAGTCCTTGGAATGAAGCTCCTTATAAAGATGCTGCAGAGGTAACTACTAATGGAGTATTATCACTTGAAGCTTTCCTCTCATTGGTAATCAAAACTATGTCGTTTAACGTTTTCAATAGGATCAAATGTTTACAATTTGCCCTAAATATTTAAAAACTATTTCTATCTTTTGCAGTGGTCATTGATGACACTACTAGATCCAGCTAGGAGTCTTGAATATTTCATTTACATTTGCCACCCTGAGGATCCATCTTCAGCAGTTCGTGTTACTAGGAGTAGAGAGCTAGACCGCAAGGAGAAAAATTCTGAAAGGAATGTTGTTCAGTGTTTTGTCTTTGGACCCAAGAATGCTGGAAAATCTGCACTGCTCAGTGGGTTTATTGGAAGGTTTGTCCGTTTATAAAACTCAGGTCAAGAAAATTAATAGTACATAGAATAAACTTAGAACAATATGTTTGTCTAATTGTGTGATTAGGCCATATGATGATGACAATAGAAATGGATTAGGTGAGGAACGTTATGGAGTTAAAATGGTTGGAAACTCTAATGTAACTGGAGATACAAAGAAAACTCTAGTGATGAAGGAAATTCCATATCAAGAAGATGGGTTATCATTATCAGATGAATCATTGGCTTCTTGTGATGTAGCAGTCTTTGTTTATGATTCTTCTGATGAGTCTTCTTGGAAGAGAGCCATTGATATGCTTGGTGAGGTTGCAACCATTAGTGAAGACGCTGGTTTTGAGTTTCCTTGTCTAATGGTTGCAGCTAAAATGGATCTTGATTCATTCCCAATGGCAATTCAAGAATCCACAAAGATAATAGTACTGATCTTTCTTTTCTTTTTTTTTTGTGTTCATCTAGTAGTGATCTTTCTTATTGTAATCATAAACATAAGTTAGTATTTTTAATGTACATGATTTTCTTGCAGGCTACACAAGATATAGGTATTGAAGCTCCAATACCAATCAGTTCGAAACTTGGAAATTTCGATGACTTGTTTTGCAAGATATTAACAGTAGCCCAGAATCCTCATTTGTGTATTCCAGAGACCGAGTCAAAGCAGAAAAGAAGCCTCAAGCTAATCAATTCTTGGATTCCAGACTGTTTGGTCAAATGTTTATGTATCTCATCATAAAGAAAGATTTAAACCTGCAGACTCTATTGTAATGGAGAGATTGTCTTTTAAGTGTATTTTTCATGGATGCTTGTTTAAGAAGTAAGCGATTGTTTTCTATAGATTTCATTTTGTTTAGTCACAAAAATTACCAGTAGAAGACAGAACTGAAGAAAAAAAAATGATGGAAAGAAGATCTAAGCATCTACACAACTTTGTACCACAAAAATAAAAGAATTGTATAAAAAGACCAAAACCTAACTCTAATGTGTTAACTTCACTCACTTGAACAAGAAACAAAACTAGAACCATAGCTAATAGCTTCCAAGCTAGAATGAGACATATTCGTCATCCATCTCCTTGGAACTCCCTTTGAATTTAAGAGTGGCTCTGAATTTAAGAGTTAATCCGAGTTTTGAGGAATAATATCAAATAATATATTATCTTGAAATTCATCCCTTGAAACCTCAGTTTGCAAGATTATAAGCAGTGGTCTCATCGAGTTATAACTTATCCCTTGAAACTTCCTAAACTAATATCTCACTATCATAACCTAGAAGAGTTACATCTTACTTTCAAGATAATATATTATTTGGATATGAGGAAGTTTCGAGGGATGAATCATAAGTTTTGAGGAATAATAATTTCACCATTATTTTTTTTGTCTAAAGTGTAATCACCAATTGAAGCTTAATGTTGCGCCTATTCAATATATAATTTTCTAATAAGTCATAACATTTATCCACTATTCTCACACAAAAATTCGATAGTATTCGTTCGCTATCCATAGCCATCAAAAACACAATAACACCACTGTAAAAGCTACTTTAGGATAAAAATAGTTTTTGTAATTATGCAAAGTGTTATTAATTGCAAGATTCATATATCCATTGTACAATAATAGTACATTATTTATTATTGACTTTGATTGTTTGTCCATCTTGTTCAACAATAACGATCTTTTAATCTCGTAAAAATCCTTGTTTTGCTTCTTAGAGAAACGGTGGCGCCGGGATAGTGAAAGCTAGCGTGGTAGATAAAGAGCAAGCTGGTGGCTCCGTGAAGTTAAAGATGAAGTTTGGTGGTGTTGTTATACACTTAAAACCCTAATTTTAACTCATTTTTCCTCCTTTAAAGGTGAAGTTTGGTGGTGTTGCTAGCGGTTTAACCGCCTTTCCTCCTCTCAACGGTCGGTGTATTCATTTATTTATTTTCTTTTGTTTGTACTTGAAACCCTATTTGAACCCATTTTTAAACCCTAAGGTTAAGTCCGGTGCTAGTGGTGCTAGTGGTTCCGGTGCTGTGTCTAGCGCTTCCGTTCCTATCCAGGTCGGTTTATTCATTTATTTATTTTTTTTTTGTTTATGCTTAAAACCCTATCTTAATTTCTTTTGTTTTTATGCTTAAAACACTATTCAGGTGAAGTCCGGTGCGAGTGGTGCGACTGGTGGTAGCGGATGTGGGGTTGTTTGTAGCGGATATGGTTGCAAAGTGGTTTGCAACTACAATCCGCTCTTTCCCACGTTAGGAGTCGGTGTCAACCTGTGGCCTCATCGGGTTGCAATATGGAGTATGGTCTCTGCATTCTCAACCAAAATTTTGGTTGAGAATGCAGAGATCTGTGAGATGATGATTAGGATCTGTGATCCTAATCTCATCTAGGGAGGGAGAGAGGAGAGTCTACTCTATTAGGGTTTATGTTATCTCAGTCTAATCTATGTAGAGAGTCTATATCTTTTTGTTGTTTATGTGTTAATCTTCTTGTTTTGGAACAAAATATGCTAAATAAAATAATTGTTAACTATGTTTTTTATAATCTCTCACTAACATAGAACAATAAAAAATCATAGAATTTATGTTAATCTCAGTCCATCGGAATTGTCTTGTTTTGTTCATTTTTTGTTCATTTTTGTTTGTATGAAATGAACAAAATATTTTGATAATGCTAAATAAAATAATGATTAAAATGGTTAACTACTTTTTATGATACCAAAGTACGTTAAGAACAAGAATCTCTCACTAACATAGAACAATAAAAAATGGAAAAGTAAAAAAAAATGAAATAACACCTTCTTGGAGACAAGATTTGTCGGAATCTTAAGGTTTGATCACGTCTTAGCTTTTAGCTTTGTTCAGATGTTACAAAGAAAAAAACTTTGGTTTTTGCTTGAGAAAATTGAAAATGTTGGTTTTATGTTAATACATATTCATGAAGAAGAGATACTTAATTAGTAACACGGATTAACTCTAAAACTTCATAGCCAGTCTACATGTTTGCTTGAAGACTCAGGTTGTTTCTTCTTTGGTTTCATGTACCGGTTGTTCTCAAACTGAGCTTTGACTATAAGAGCATAGAGCAACTCTGCCTCCGCAGAACAATCATAAGGTTTGTCCAAAATACTGTAGAAATGTGACTAGATAAGTTAGTGAACATCCACAAGCACATAGACTTTCTCAAAAGGGGTAGAGAATCAGTAACCTGTCTAATAACTCTTCTAGAATAATTCTCTGTGAAGGTGTGACATAATGTATACAATTTCTAGGGCACAGATTAACTGCAGATTGTACACGGTAATCTTCTCCATGCCCTGGTCATATTCATAACTATATTACAAGCTATATGTAGAAGGCGGATACAGAGGAACAAAAGGAGGACACACACACACACCTTGAGACATTGCTCGAGCTGTTCCAGTTGAATCACATGAAAAGACATGAGATGCTGTCTTAAAACATGGGTATGAACATCCTAAAAAAATGGACAGAAGAAACACATGTTCAAGGAAGAAACAGAGCAAGTAAAAAAAAAGAAGCTCAAAATCCAAGGGAAAGTTTTGTACTTTTTCCGAAGCAGAGGACCTCATTAACAAACACATCAAGTGCCTCACACTCTGGATGATCAAAAGGGTCCAAACATTCTCTGCCGATGCAATTCACAAGAAAACAAAACATTAATTGTTCTGTTTTTATATAAAGAGAACGTTGCTGAAAGTATAATTATGAGTGTTTACACTTCAATAATAATCTCTGCTCTGCTAGAGTTTGTTAACATCTGCAAATGAATCCATTAGTAAGAGATACTGTAAGTGATGACGAAATCTAGAGCCTATAGAATAAAGTTTAGTACCTCATAAGCCTGGATAATGCGACGGATCATAACATCAGAGCTGCTTCCTTGTCTGTTTACATCAGGATGGTATTGTTTCACCTTTTACAAAAGCTCAAAGTAAGTCAGCACAAAACAACACATGAAAACCCTAAAAGAAAAGATGTGTGATTCTTGGATTCATACTTTGGCACGAAAAGCTGCCTTTATCTCGAGAGGTGAGCAGTTTGGCTCCACACCGAGTATAGAGTATGGTGAAGAAGAGGTGGAGAGTTGATCCTCTCTGCTTCTCTCTCTGCAACTTGGGATGATGAAATGCCGAGAAGTTGAGGAGTTTCTTGAGTTGGAGAAGAAACAGAGTTTGGGAATCGAAGCAGAGACACGGAAGCATTCCATTGTCTCTCTTACACTCTCTGTCCTCTCAATAATAAACTTTGAGACTTTTAGATGCGTTAACTAATGACCAGACAAATGTCAAAAGAGACGAAACCGTAACCCTCTGTTTCGTCTAGAGAGTCTTCACTACCAAAACAAAAACAATATTAGCCTCTGCATTGTCAGGAATAGGATTTTTATTATAAGGTCTCTAACCTTCATTTACTATAACAGAAAACAATTCAGATATAACATCATATATAGCCTCTGCTTGTGGATACAATTTGACAGTATACATGTAAGAGTAACAACAAGAGAAGGTGTTCAACAAACACTTTTAGTTACTATTAGTAAAATAATATCATTCTCTTAATTATCAAAATGTACAAATGTGAGTTTATATACAGACTCAACAATAAAGTAAACCGATCCTAACCGTAATATACACGACTCTATTTACCTCTGGTTTACATCATACCAGATCACAATGACTCAATGTACAGAGTAAGTATATACACTAAGAGTCCCCCTCAAGATGAGACGAATATATTTCTGAGACTCATCTTGCCATAAAGCCGCCGGAAAGGTGCTGGATACAAAGCCTTGGTAAAAGGATCAGCAAGCTGTAAATCCGTTCTGACATGAAGCAACTTGAACAGACCAGCAACAAGTCTTTCACGTACACTATGACAATCAATCTCAATAGTCTTTGTACGCTCATGAAAGACCGCATTGTGAGCAATATGGATTGCAGCAGTATTGTCACAGAAGAGCAGAGTAGGTTTAACGAGTGGTATACGAAGTTCTTTAAGAAAATTAGTAAGCCATACCAACTCGTCAGACGCAACAGAAAGGCTGCGATATTCAGCCTCAGCAGAGCTTTTAGAGACAACTTGCTGCTTTTTAGAACGCCACATAATAAGAGATGTGCCAAGAAAGATGCATAAACCTGATGTGGAACGTCTAGTATCTTTGCAAGAGCCCCAATCTGCGTCCGAGAAAGCTTGAATTTGTAACTCCGATTTTGAAGAGTAAAACAAGCCCTGGCCTATAGTGCCTTTGATATAGTGAAGGATCTTCATAACCCCTTGTTGATGACTTTCACGAGGAGCAGAGGAGTACTGGCTTAGTTTATTGACAGCAAATGTAATATCAGGACGGGTGATTTGAAGATACATCAAACGACCAATGAGACGTCTATAAGCACCAGCATCCACAAGCTCACCACCAGTTTCAAGAGAGTACTTAACAGAAGGGTCCATAGGAACAGAAGAAGGTTTGCAACCAAGTAACCCTGTTTCATCAAGCAAATCAAGGGCATACTTCCGTTGACAAACATGAATACCATCAGAAGAACGAGCAATCTCAAGGCCTAAAAAATATTTCATAGGACCGAGATCACGAAGCTTGAAGTTATGTTTCAACTGAGATTTCAAGATGTCAACGGCAGTGTCATTGTTACTAGCAATTATGATATCGTCAACATAGACAATGACACAAAGAAACAGGGTCTCCGTAGTCTTAAGGAAGCACGTATGATCAGAAGAGGTCTGAAGGAAACCAAGGGTTCGAAGAGTAGAAGAAAACTTCAGAAACCATTGCCTGGAAGCTTGCTTAAGGCCATACAAGGACTTCTGTAGTTTACACACAGCATTAGGAGGAAGAGAGTCCCCCTTTCTAGAAGCGTATCCAGGAGGCAAAGTCATATATATCTCCTCATCTAACTCTCCATTCAGAAACGCATTAGAAATGTCAAGCTGATGCAGTGTAAAACCATAGATAGCAGAAAGTATCAAGATACTGTATTAAGCTTGACAACCGGTGAGAAAGTATCATGATAGTCTACACCTTCCTGCTGTGTATAACCCTTAGCAACTAGCCGAGCTTTATATCGTTCAACAGTACCATCTGCGTGAAACTTAACTTTGTAAACCCAGCGACACCCAATAGGAGTTTTATCAGGAGGCAATGTACAGATCATCCAAGTACCTGTCCCTTCTAAAGCAGTAATCTCTTCATCCATAGGATCATCCCACACAAGTAGCCGCTTAGCCTCAGCATAGGTTTTGGGTTCTTTAACTTTGTCAATAGCAACTAAAAAAGAAAGATAAAGAGGAGAAAGCTTGTTGTAATCAAGAAAAGAAGAAATTTCATGAATGGTTGAAGATCCTATTGCATTGCAATAGTAATCTTGAAGATAAGCAGGCTTCTTTTGTTTCCTGTGTGATGACTGAACAGAAGGTTCAGTAGCATCAACTGTAGGAGGTGCAGTGGGCACACTCTCTACGGAAGAAGGTTGAGATAAAGACCCAACCTCCGGAGCAATAGGAAACACAGGAACAGTTGGAGTAATATCAGGAAAGAAATCATATATTGTATCATCAAGATCTACTCCAACAAAAGGGAAAAGCTCTTCATGAAAGGTTACATGTCGTGAGACAATGATAGAGTTAGTTTGAAGATCTAATAATTTGTAACCTTTGACACCAGCTGGATATCCAAGAAGGACACAAGCACGAGCTCGAGGTTGAAATTTTGTTCTACCCTTGGGTGAAGTTGATGCATAGCAAAGACAACCAAAAGTCTTAAGAAAAGAGTAATCAGGAAGTTTATTGGTAAGAACTTCAAAAGGACTTTTGTTGTTCAAAATAGGAGCAGGAAGACGATTGATTAGATGAACTGCAGTGAGAATGCAGTCACCCCAATATGGAAGAGGAATATGAGATTGAAATAAAAGAGAACGAGCAACGTTAAGAATATGTTGATGTTTTCTCTCAACAACAGAATTCTGTTGAGGAGTTTCAGGACAAGAATGGAAAGAAAGAATGCCTTTAGATTGATAAAGAGAAGTGAAACTGAGCTCAGGTGCATTGTCAGATCTAACCCCCTTAATTCTCTTACCAAACTGGGTCTCTACCATTTCTATATAACCCGGGAAAATGGTTAAAACATCAGACTTAGCCCGTAACAGATAAACCCATGTGGCCCTAGAATGGTCATCAACAATGGTTAAAAAATATTTATAACCATCATGAGTAGGTGTAGAAAAGGGGCCCCAGACATCAATGTGGACTAAATCGAATGGTTCAGGACTAAGATTGTTATTGGATATAAAGGGTAAATGCTTTTGTTTAGAAAGATGACACACACGACAATGAGATTCTGTTTTATTTGATTGTTTTGGAAAAGATAAAACAGACTGCATCAGATGAAGTTTAGACAAGGAAGGGTGACCTAACCTCTTATGCCAAAGATCTTGACTTAATACAGACGCAACAAATGGTTGTTGAACAGATGAGACTTCTCGAGATGTAATTGACTCAATATCCAAGAAATAAAGGTTGGCAACCTCTCTACCCATTCCAATCATTGATCCCTGTGTAGGCTCCTGGATACCACAAGAAAACTCATCAAACCAGACTCTACAATGCATTCGTTTGGTCAGACAACTAACACTAAGGAGATTAAATTTGAACTGAGGGATATACAGGACATCAGTTAGGGTAATCAGATTTCCTAAAGTAATATCACCTAACCCGACAATGTTCACCTGAACTCCATTAGGAAGAGTAACATTAGTGTTAGGAAGAGTTTTAAAAGAAGTGAAAGAAGAGCGTTGATGAGAAATGTGATTAGTGGCACCAGAATCAATCACCCAAGCATTGATAGCAGCTATATTGCTATTGGTAGAACAAACGAAAGGCCTATCAATCCCGGTAAAAGAACAAAGGATAGAAGGGGAGAAAGTACCGGAGATTGGGCAAGTAGTTGATGAGGAAGGTATGGAAGCTAAGACTGAGTGAACTTCAGGTGTGGGATGATCAGCCGGAGTTTGTAGTTTACTGCTTAGGAAGGAAACAAGTTGTTGAATCTGATCTGGAGAGAGATCATCCGTTGAAGGAGTATCAATTGTCATGTTGGCCAAAACAGGAGTAGTAGACTTATCAGAACGCTGATTAGGCTTGAAGCTATTCGGATAACCATACTTCTTATAGCATTTGTCAATCAAATGACCAACCTTGTGACAGAAAGTGCAAAAGGGACGATCTTTTCTCACATAACCACCAACTTGTCCATGTGAAGAATGCTGAGATTGAGAAGACTTGACATGACCTTGTGACTGAGACTGATTCTGAGACACTTGAAAAGCAGTAGGAGTAGCCTCAGTAGGTGGAATGACACGAGCATCTTTCTGACTTTCTTCTTGATCTAAAAGATTGTAGACCTCAGAAAGGGATGGTAAAACCTTCTTCATTAAGATTCTACTGCGAATACTCTCATAGTTGTCATTCAACCCCATCAAGAAATCAATCACACGGTTTGTCTCTTTCTCAGCTAACAGATCTTCAACAGTAGTAGCAGGAGACTGAATACTGATCAATTCTTCCCACAGAGCCTGAGTTTGAGTATGATAAGATGAGAGGTCAAGACTACCTTGACGAAGAGAATGAATCTGATGTCGAAGCTTGTAGAGACGAGGAAGATTGGACTTGTGAAAACGAGTATGTAGGTCCTTCCAGATATCTGAAGCATGTTTGATATACAGAATACTCGTGTAAATCTTCTTCGAAACACTATTCAGCAGCCAAGATTTAACCATACTGTTGCAACGACACCAAATCTTGAAGTATTGATCATCCTCCGAAGGTTTAGGAATAGATCCATCTAGAAAACCTAACTTGTTCTTAGCCTCTAGACTAGTCGTCATTGCTATCAGCCATATACCATAGTTATTGCCATCTAAAGGTTCCGAGACTAGAACTAAGCCAGGGTGATCTGAATTATGGAGATAATACGGAGAATGAATACTATCAGGACTAGTTGATACCTCAAAGCGAGCAACGGGAGGTGCTGCTTGAGATCGTTGAGGAATGAAAGGAGCAGCGTCGGCAGAGAGAGGAGACGGTAACTCCGATTGTCGACGAGCTGAGCGTGAATGAGAAGCTTCGCCCTGAATCATCGGAGACGGTGAATCGATGATCGGAGAAGCCGGAGCGGAGGCGCGATACTTCGATTTGCAGTTTCTCTTTCCCATTGAGATCGATTCAGCTGAATAGGAGCTTGAATCGCACAGGAAAGTGAGGAGTATTACGAATCGAAGCTGTTGAGAGGATCGATGAGCTAATTCCGGCGAGATTCCGGTGAGAATCCGTCGAAGAAACGATGAAAGTGACGGTTACAGAGTGTCAGTTAGAGAATGTATAGCTCTGATACCATATTAGTAAAATAATATCATTCTCTTAATTATCAAAATGTACAAATGTGAGTTTATATACAGACTCAACAATAAAGTAAACCGATCCTAACCGTAATATACACGACTCTATTTACCTCTGGTTTACATCATACCAGATCACAATGACTCAATGTACAGAGTAAGTATATACACTAAGAGTTACTACTATGTTACGTTTGCGTGAAGCGAATATATGTCTGATCACAAATCCACAAAAGACACCGGGTCCAAAGGCTATTACTGCTGCTATCCAGTTAACCGGTTCCTCTTCCTCCTCAGATTCCTCTAATACAGGATTCTTGACATGAGTTTCTTCTCCACATATATCTTCAAGACCATATAGTTTAAGGTTGTCCATGAAAGAAGAACAACTCTGGCCTTGAAACTGTGTGCTTTTAGGCACTGGTCCTTCAAGAAGATTGTGAGAGAAGTTCATTGTTGACATAAACGAAAGACTACCCAGTTTTTGAGGGATTTGACCAGACAACTGATTCTTTGACAAGTCTAATGACTCAAGCTTTCTCAAATCTCCCAATGACTGTGGTATGTTCCCTGTGAATCCATTTCCAGACAAGTTGAGATGACGCAGCTCCTTCAACAATCCAATAGATACTGGAATGTTCCCATAAAACCTGTTTCCAGAAAAGTCTATGGTCTTGTAGTCTTGGTTGATCCTCTTAAACTCCATCTCTACTCCTTTATTAACTATCTCCATTGAGCTAATGTAGAAGGCAGTAGCGTTCAGAACCTTCCCCATGTAAGGAACGTTAGAGATCATGAAGCTATCATCTTCAACGCTCAATGTTTTCATTTCAAACCACTCAGAGAAATAGAAAGGTGGTAACGTTCCAGTGAACTCGTTATGTGAGATATCAATGACTCTTAAGCTTTGAAACTTTGTAGATACGTGTGGTCCGTGAAACTTGTTTGATCTGAGGATGAGGACATGTAGTGACGGTAAAGCTCCCAACCAATGTGGAAACATGTCTTTGATTCTGTTGCTTCTCACGTTCAAAAGCTCAAGATTAGTACAATGGATCAAGGACTTTGGAAGCTCTCCTTCTAGCTGGTTGCGGCTAACGTCAAGTGATATTAACTTGGTGGCGTTGAAAAATATATCCGGAAGCATCCCACTGAAACTATTGTTACGTAGAACCAAATCTGTAAGAGAAGTTGTAGAGTTCTTTAGACATTGAGGGATTGAGCCGTTGAATAGATTGTTGGATAATATCAAGATCTCTAACGATGTAAGTTTGCAGATCCAATGAGGCAACGGTCCATGGAAACCATTCGAGCTTAGATCCAACCATTTGATTTGTGTTTCATCGACAACTTGTGATGATGTTCCAAAATTGTTGAAAGAGTTGTTAGAAAGTGCTACCATAGTCAATCTCCATATCCAACTTGGTACCTCTCCTTCCATGTTGTTGTTGGTAAGACAAAAGTATTCTAGTTTGAATAGCTTTGATAGAGACTTTGGTATTGAACCATTGAGATTGTTGAAACTAAGGTGTAGCTCTTCTAGGTTATGGTATTGAGATATCAGTTCAGGGATTGGACCATCTAAGTTGTTTTGAGCAAGGTTTATAAACTGAAGCCTAGATGATGAAGTTATATTCCAAAACTTGATAGGTCCCTTGAAATGATTTCTCTCTAGATTAGCATATATTAAAGAAGGTCTTGTGAATAAAGATGTAGGGAACAATCCAATAAATGAGTTTTCACTCACATCAAAGTACTCTAAGTTGTGTAATCCACTCATGTCAGGAAGCGTGGAGTCCAAGGAATTGTTTTGAAAGTAGAGTTCACGTAGTTTTGTTAAATTGGCAAAGGAAATAGGAATATTGCCATATAAATTATTATGAGAAAGGATCAAGTATCTTAGTTGGGTTAGGTTTCCTAGTGAAACTGGAACTTGACCTACTAAACTATTACCCGAAAGATCAAGAACTGTGAGATGAGAAAGGTTTCCTATTGAAGGTGGAACTTGACCTAATAAATGATTATGGGAAAGGTCAAGAACTGTGAGTTGTAAAAAGTTTCCTAATGAAGAAGGAATCTCTCCATGGAGACTACAGTTTCTGAGTGATAGGTTATGGAGATGATGAAGTTTGAAAAGACTACTATTTGGTTTCAAAGAGTTGTTTAAAGAGATTGTATTAAGGTAAAGTAAATTCACCTTTCCAGATTTAACATCACATGTGACACCTTTCCAAGAACAGCAATCTCTACTCTTGTTCCATGAACTCAGCGATGGACTTGAGTTCAAGTCATCTACATGAAACTTGAACTCAAGAAGAGCATCTCTCTGGCTGTGACGGCAATGATGGAACGTAGGAGAAGCAAGAGTGTGTAGAACAAGGGAAAACAAGAAGAAGAAATACAAAGAAACAATGCTAGAATAGCTATAAGATTGGCTAGGAATCATCATCATTGCCATTTTTTGTGGTTTGTTACAGTTTGTGTGGTAAGTAATAGGTTATGATGATTATAAGGGGGTAAAAAAAAAACAAAGATTGTATTTGACTTTTGCAAGTCTTGCGTCAACTCGTATGGACTCTATGGAGCTGATTTGTTCAACTCTTACAACTTCTACGGTTTGTGCCATTTGCCACAGACTTGTCCACAAAAAAACAATATTGACTCGTTCCTTCCACCACATATTAATAGTCAGTCCATCACACATTCTCTTCTTCATAGAGTTTTTGATTTCACACTTGCTTATTTGGTAACCAAGACAGTCTTATTACTTATAATAATTTATAAACATCACTTCCCAAATTATTAGTGAAGGTGTGAGAGAAGTGATTAATTAATTAATGAAAATTCGAGGGTCTCTGGACTTGTTTGCAACCAAATAGATTATCGTCTTCCTCTTGGCTCTCTGAACTTCAGGTCGGATATTTGAATACTGAAGATGGGCCTTAATGGGCTTCGTATTTGACATTGCACAAGAACAATTGAACAAAATAAGAAAAAATGACAAAATAGGAGAGTTCTGATTGGCTGTTCAAGTTTCGCGGCAACAACAATATCACACTCTCTCTCTCCTCTTTTTTTTTTGGTTTGTTAATAATTACTTATTTATCTCACTCTAAAAAAACCCTCGGGGGTTTCAAATTTATAATTCGATCTCTCTTTTTGAAAGAAAAGGCTCTCTCTATGTGTTTGGCCGTCTATTCATTTCTCCAAGTCACCTAATTGGTGAGTGAATCGTCGTCACTGGATCTGCTTCAATTAGGGTTTTACAAAGGTTTTTCCTTTTTTTCTTCTCCGTTTTGAATTTTCTTCGTTTAATTGATGAGAAACTAAATGTTTGGATTCTATGTACTTTTGTCTCATTTTAAAAGCTGCGTCGTTTTGAAATCTACTTCCTTTTTTTCTTTGATCGGAGTTTTTTCTTATCGGTTTCAGATTTGTGGAGTTTTGATTCAATTTGAATTTCTCAAACGCATTTCCTTCGGAAATTTACATTTCAAGCTTTCTGACTTTTTTTTATATTCCTTTGTGAATGATTTATCAGTTTAGTTGTCTGTAAAGTTGTTGTCTCTTTTACAATTCCATTTCTATGTTTCTAACTAATTGAGTTTCTTTGGTCAGATTTGTGAAAGTTTGAATTCTTCATTTTTAAAAGCTGCGTCGTTTTGAATCCACTTCCTTTTTTTTTATTCCTGAGAGAATCGGTTTTCAATTTAAATTTCTCAAAACACATTTCTTTGTCAAATTTGGCTTCAAACCTCCTGAATTTTGTATTCCTTTGTGAATGATTTATCAATTAAAGTTACAATTGTGTTTCTAACTATTTTTGAGTTTGTTTTGTTTTTGGGGTCAGAGAAACGTGGAGAATGGCACCGACGGTTAGGAAGTCGAGGAGTGTGAACAAGCGTTTCACTAACGAACCCTCCTCTTCGCCAAGAAAAGACACTGCAAGCGTTTCCAAAAGAAATAAGCAGCGTGTGAGTCTTGAATGTTGAATGACTTGCCATATGTGTTTATTATTATTAATTAACTATGGTAGTTTTGGTGTTTTGCTTATTGTTTAGAAGATGAAACTTTCTGACAAGCTGGGACCTCAGTGGACCAAACCTGAGCTTGAGCGTTTCTATGACGCTTATCGAAAGTACGGACTGGACTGGAGAAAGGTACAATTTAACTCTGTCTCTCACTCTCACTTACATGAGTTTATCAGACTACTTAAAATACTATTTTGTTTTGTCCAGGTGGCTGCCGCAATTCGGAATAGCAGGTCTGTTGAGATGGTTGAAGCTCTTTTTAATATGAATCGGGTACGACTCTAGACATCTTGTTTGTATCTCTGTGAGAACTTTGCATTCATAAAGATTGGCTTCTTCTTATTCCAGGCATATTTATCTCTTCCGGAGGGAACTGCCTCTGTAGCTGGCCTTATTGCTATGATGACGGATCATTACAGTGTCATGGTGAGAACTCTATTTAACTGCGGCTGGCACTCTGTGAAGTGACTATAGATGATAAAATGAAATCTCCCGGTTGAAAATGGGGGGTGGTTGGTGAAATAACCTATGTTACCAGTCTGTTGGGTCAGTTTTTTTTTATATTTGAGAAAGTTATGTGGACTGGTTTGTATCTCATTCTTATGATATATTTCTTTTAGGAAGGGAGTGGCAGTGAAGGAGAAGGCCCTGATGTTTCACAAGTTCCAAAGAAAGAGAAAAAACGCAAACGTGCAAAACCTCAGCTTAGTGATTCTCGAGAGGAGGTTGATAGAGGACATCCAGTTGCGTCGTCCACTGACGGATGTCTCAAGTTTTTGAAGCAAGCACGAGATAATGGTAAAGTGCCTAACTCATCATTCTCCTAAGTATTATCCTCGTCTGAAGAAGCCAAATCAATACGTTCAAGAATAAGTGTAAATTTGATTCTTAATTTATGTAGAAACTCATCGACGTGCCACTGGCAAACGTACACCTCGTGTTCCTGTACAAACTTCAAGAGATAACGGGGAAGGCTCTACTCCACCAAGTAAAAGAGCCAGAAAGCAACTTGCTGTTAATGATGATGTTGAACATTATTTAGAATTAGCATTAGCAGAAGCAGAAGCATCCAGAAGGAGAGGGTCGTCTCCAAAAGTTTCTGAATCACCTAAGAGAATAACAGAACTCAGCGACGACTCGCCAATAAAGAACTGGGGGAAAATGGTAACTCTTAAACTCTAAAATATCATTTTATTCATCTGCTGCCTAATCTTGATTTACTGGCAAAAAAAAAAAACTACCTAACTTTGTGCATTAACAAGTCACGGACGAGAAAAGCTCAATCATGGGTGGGAAGTAGCAGAGAAAAGAAGCTTGAAAGTAGGGAAGAGGTTGAGGAAATGGAGGTTCCACGGAAGGAGAAAAGGGTTTACAAGAAAAGAGTAAAAGTCGAAGAAGCAGAGGGTAATTCTTCTGATGACAATGGAGGAGCAAGCAGTGCTACCGAGGAGAGCAGAATTAAATCAAAGAGACGAAAGGCTGGTCTTGAAGCCTCAAGAGGGACATATTCACCGCGCAGCCCAAAGAAAAGAGATAGTAAACTGACTTCCGGAGGTAAAATAGTTCAACTTGAGGCCTGATTACAACTTCCAAAAATATGTCAGTGTTTATAGACAAAAACATTTTGAAAAATTGTTTCTGCCTAAATCGATTTTTAGAACACTGGTTATCTCTTTTTGTCAGGAAAGCTGGTAGTATTTATCATCTCTTATAGGCTGTTACATAGTTTTCGTTTACAGCTTTACTATTGTGAGATTTGAATACTTATTTATCCTGCATTGTCCATTTTATAATAAGTATCTTCTTCTTCAGAATCTGAAAGTTATCGCCTGTATTATCATGTGTAGATGAATTTGATGCTCTGCAAGCTTTGGCGGAATTGTCAGCTTCATTTCTTCCCACATCATTGATGGAATCAGGTGAGCCTGAATATACCTGAATTTTTATGTGTTTTTGCTTCTATATTTTCTCAATGAGTATATAGATTGGGTTTGAAAGAAGAGCTTGCCATTACTTTTAACTCTGTAGCTCTTTGACCGTTACTTTTATTAATTTTTACTACATTGCGTTGGGTTCCAGAATCATCTCCTCAGGTGAAGGAAGAGAGAATAGAAAACGGCATGGACGAAAAATCTAGCTCACCAGAAGCGACGTCCACCAGCAGTCATGGGGAAAAAGCAAATTCAGAATCAGATGATACTCTGCTACATGCTATTTCTGCAATTGGGAATGCTGTTTACAATAGAAAACCAAAACCTTCAACGCAAGCTTCCACTGATTGTAATGCTGGGAATCTACAGCCGGAACCCACTAGTGGTAGTTTAAGAAGAAAACGCAAACCAAAGGTTAGCTAGATAGTTCTCTTAACTCCCTATTCACTTTCTTCTAGGCATCTTTTAGCTAAACATATAAATTGCGTCTAATTTTCAGAAGCTAGGGGATGAATCTCCTACTGATTCTACTCAGAAAAAATCCATAAACAAGAAGGTATTATCTATGTATGGTGAATTAGTTGAAACCCGTCTTAACCTCTATATTACTTTATTTGTTCATTAACTCTTGATCTTAGTTAGTCTCTGTGATTACTCACCTTTGAATCAAGTTAGAGTTTCTTGACATATATTTGGTTTATTGTGTTGCAGGAATTGGCTCAAGAAGGCCATAATATGAAGTCTTATCATAGAACAAAACGCACTGGTCAAGTTCCTTCTCAGTCAAAACAGTTGAAAACTGTCAAGGAGTTGGAGGAATCTACTACAATGAGCGATAAGAAAAAGTCTGCCATGGAAGATGTAGTAGTGTCAACCAAAAACGATTCTGATTCTGGTCCAGCCATTTCACCACAGAAACCTCCAAACAGGCGTAAAGTGAGTCTGAAGAAAAGCTTACAAGAAAGAGCTAAATCTTCTGAAACCATTCATAAAGTTCCGCGTAGTTCAAGATCTCTTTCAGAACATGAGTTGTTATTAAAGGTGGAGCCCTCTAACTTCACTTCTCTTATGAAAAACATTCAACAAAATCTGGTTCTGATATTTGTTTATTCCAATTTTCAGGATACGATTTCTACTTATATGTCGTATCCCTTGGCACGTCGAAGGTGCATATTTGAATGGTTTTATAGTGCTATCGACCATCCCTGGTTTGCGAAGATGGAGTTTGTCGATTACTTAAATCACGTAGGACTTGGTCACATTCCTAGACTCACTCGTCTTGAATGGAGCGTCATTAAAAGCTCTCTTGGTAGAGCTCGAAGATTCTCTGAGAGATTTTTACAGGAAGAGAGGGAGAAACTCAAACAATACCGTGAATCTGTGAGGAAGCATTACACAGAGCTTCGAACTGGTGCTAGGGAAGGACTTCCTACAGATTTGGCTAAGCCATTAGCAGTTGGGAATAGAGTCATTGCTATCCATCCCATAACACGAGAGATTCATGATGGGAAAATTCTCACTGTTGACCATAGCCAATGCAATGTTCTTTTCGATGACTTAGGCGTTGAGTTAGTTAAGGTAATTCAAATACTATAACTCACAATCCAATCTTTTATGATAAGGTCTCAGTCGTTCATCTTTTTTCCAACAGGACATTGATTGCATGCCTTCAAATCCATTGGAATACATGCCAGAAGGTCTAAGGAGGCAAATTGATAAGTGCTTGTCCATGAAGAAAGAAACACATCAAAGCGGGAATTCAAACCTTGGTTTGTCTGTTATATTCCCTCCATGCGGACTTGAAAATGCAGACTTTTCCATGAGTCCTTCTCTGAATCAGGTAGAGAAGGATGGATTTGACTATTTCTATTGAGATGATGCTCTGTAAATTTAATGCCTAATCCCTTAATTGTGTCTACAGGGTGATATGATTGCTCCCATTCTGCATGGAAAAGTATCAACCAACACTAGTAGCCCACATCAAACTAATCAGTCATGTATAATAGATTATAGCAAAGTACGAGAAGCTGAGATTCAAAGAGCACTTGCACTGCAGCAAGCTTTAGATGAAAAGGTAATGCGCTTCAGATGTCTAATTGTTCATATCGGTTGATATTGAGTTAGCTTATATTTGTGCTGTGTGACAGGAAATGGAGCCAGAGATGCTAGAAATTGTCAAGGTTTCAAAGACAAGAGCGAAAGCAATGGTGGATGCAGCCATAAAGGTATTGATTCAGTTTCAAAATTCTCTTTTTGTATACGCATGTTTTGCTAAGTTGTAGTCACTCTGTGAAGGCTGCATCATCTGTGAAGGATGGAGAAGATGCCATCAAGATGATCCAAGAAGCCTTAGACATGATTGGCAAACCTCAGCCGTTAGTACGCAGCTCTATAGTCAAACAGGAAGAGCATGCAAATGGCAGCATTGAGCAGCATCACAACCCATCTCCCTCAGACGCATCAAAGCCGATGGCTAACAACGGTGTGATCTCACAAGATGATGGTTCAGAGAAAAACGAGGCTCAAATGCCTTCAGAGCTAATCACCTCCTGTGTTGCCACTTGGATCATGATTCAGGTAGTCAGAAAATTGCTTGGAAGTATCACTCATCCTAAAACTGCATTGCCATAGTAATACATTGAACTTTGCTTCCTTGTGACTTGCAGATGTGCACAGAGAGGCAGTACCCTCCAGCTGATGTGGCACAGCTTATAGACACAGCAGTCACAAGCTTGCAGCCTCTATGCCCTCAGAACCTACCAATCTACAGAGAAATCCAGATGTGTATGGGACGAATCAAGACTCAAATCATGTCTCTAGTACCAAGTTGAAAAGGCCAATTCATTTTGGGTTTAGGGTTTTCTTTTTGTTTCCTTCTCCTTTTAACTTTAGAGTAGATGCGATTAAATTAGTGGAGACTGTAACTATTCATAATTTAGTATCCTACTGAAAGGAATCCCTAAGAAAATCCTTAATATATGTTTATGCTCGTATTATTTAACATTGTTAATCTCTGTTATTTAAAAAGATATTTGTAAATCAGTTAAGGAATTTGTAAACCATGAAAGAAATAAGTGAAAATTCAGAAATTTAGGTCTGTAAATTGCAGAGGAAGTTGAAGATAAGTTTATAAAAGAAACCAACCACGGCCTATAACATCTTCATCGGAAATAGATAAGATATATAATCTTATATAACTAATATCCTACATATTTATTAATGATATTTAGTTTTCTCCACAGCTTATCTGCAAATACAGATATATCATTTTTTTTGAATGAACATAGATCTATCTCTCTGCACGTAAATATATTGTAGCTTTTGTGCCTTTAATCTTTTCCTTTTGACTTCAATGTTCTCTCAAACTTCACTTTCCTTTTCGGTTTGAAATTGGAACACATGATTTGAGTTAACAAATTTTTCCCGGATCTAAGTTATTAATTATAGGGTTCTAGATTCAGGTTAATTGGTCCATTTATGTCGGGTTAAAATTTTTAATCAGGTCGCTTGGGTTAAATTAGGTTAATCATTGGTTAACATTTTAATCAAAAGTTAGTTAACCAACAATAAACCGCATTGTGTTGATTTTAGATCGTATTGAAGACTTTTATTCTTTTATCCATTTGTTAAATAGTAAGTATTGAAGATTGTTGACCTCTAATAAGAATTGTGTTCAGTATAAACGCATGAAAACATTAAATCAATCAGCTTTATTATGAAAACTTAAAATCAAGTATAATAAAATTCCAGTGTTTAAAATAAAAAAGACATCCAAGAAGAGTTTCATCAATTGATTAAATCCTTAGGTATTTAGAAAGACCAGTGGCTACTACAAGCATGACTCGTCGTCTCAAAGTTCACCGTCTTCTCATCACCAGTCTCTTGGTCGCAGCCAAATTCTAGGATCGCAAGTTAATATCTTCTTAGCTAGACCTAAAATTTGATGACTATTATATTTGATTGTAATTAACAAAAGATTTTTATGGAGTTTAGGTGTTATAACAATGCTTATTATGCAAAAAACGGAGGTGTAAGCACTGAAGAGATGAATAGGCTCAAGAAAGCATTCTTGTTCGATCTAGATTTCAGATTAAATATTACAGCAGAGATCTTAGAAAAATATTGTCTCATGTTGCAGAGACAAACGATGCCTTGTGGTTCAAGAAAACTTAGAAAAATTATCAAAGAGATAAGATAACTTGTGGTTGCCAAGTGATCTAGCAAAAATACAAAGTCCATAAGATTTGTTTAAAGATCTTATTTTCTTCAATACTACATTTTCAAACTACTATACTTTTTCGTGATTATTTGAAGAAATAGATCAATGTTGATATAATTAAGTTTGGAATCAAAACTTTTCTTTTCCTAATTGAAGTGTTCATTAAAAACAACTACTAGTTTGAGGAATCAAAGCGTTTTTTTCTTAACATTGATTCATTGAAAATTATGGCGATGAAAAATTAAATTCAGCCTACAAATGTTGGTCGGACTTATGTTCCTTATTCTATTGTTAGGCCCAACATGATCCAAAGATTATGAGTAATTATTGATAAAAAAACCTTATAAACAAGATGGACAAACATTCAAAGTCAATAGCAAATACTGTACTATTATTGTACTATGGAAGAGGAGGAAACGGTGGCGACGGTGGTGGAACGGATGGCAGTGGCAATGGTGGAACGGACAGCGGCGGCTGCGACTGCAAAGATGAGGTTTTATTGGCTCCTTGACTAAGTACTTGAGTGAGATTTTGGAGATCAATGAGTTTGAAGAATTTATGGAGTTGGTGGTTCAAGTATGCGATCCAGATCTCCTCTAGGTCTATCTTTTTTTTTACGCTATCGTTTTATGTTAATTTCCCTAAAAGCCGTTTACTACCACGGTTAGTACTTATTTTAGTTTTTATGGTTTGTGTTTACTACCACGGTTAATACTTATTTTAGTTTTTTTTGGGTTTATGATGATGTGGTTTGTACACACACAAACAGTATGTAAGAAAAAAGCAAAAAAAGCAATCAATGCAAATATATTCGAAAATCTCCTCTCCCTCTTTCCTCTCTTTTGTCTTCTTCTCTTTTCTCTCTCACGATCCTTGGTCACATTCTCTCTCCCTGTCATCTTCGATCCTTCTTTATCTTCTTCACAACTCTTCAAACAAATTTTTTTTTTAAAATAATTTAATAATGTTTAAGGACTCCAATGATAGTAACACCATTGGAGATGCTCTTAGGATTCTTTGTCTGGATGTTCCGTACATTAACGCGGTTACCAAATGATTAATTAAGCCTTCTGGAAATGTTTAGTGGTGGCTTATCATCACTTACCTTAGCACATATTTTTGAACTTTTCAATGAATAAACTTTTTTTTTTTTTTAAACCATTTTCAATGAATAAACAATCCTCTCAACCATGCTCAATATATACATAATTCGTAAAAAAGCAATACTAATTTTTTTTTTCTGTCAACAAACCAAATACTACTTGGATTATCCATTTTATATTTAGTACTATCATTATTATATCTTTTAAAACATTTTCTTATGTGTTTGCTCTATTTGTTTGTGTCATATCTTGAGTTAAATATTAATCATAGTGGAGTGGAACCAATTATGAGATCCGTCATCACTGTATATTAGTAATTAAATGAATATTGAGTTGTGTTTATGATTCCATTAAGGAATTCACTCGATCTAAAGTGTGTGAAAACAATTTCATTTTTGTAAGTATGCCGTTACACTGACGAATAAGTATTTCTCTCTTTCTTAAATTAAACTAGATTTTGACCCGCGCTTAAAAGCGCGGAAATTTTTATGATTTAAAATTTATATAATTGAATTTTGTCTTAATTAAACAAATATTTTAATATAAAATCAATTTACAAAAATTTATGGTGATGATTGTTTTTCATTAGTTTTTAGTTTCACCTTTTATTTTTAGATTTGGTTTTTAGATTTTGGTTTTTTGTTTTTAGTTTTTAAGTTTCTACTTTTCATTTTCAGTTTTTGGTTTGGATTTTTAATTTTTAAACCCGCTGAGTTAGTTCGAACTGATATTACCAACAAACAAATCTCAAATAATCAAACATCTAATTAAAACTGAAAAGATGAAAATTTTTTTTTTAAAAAATTGAAATAGTTTATTTTGTAAACAAACAAAGCAAAAAAAAATATAATATGTGTTTTCAGTTTTTTGTTTGGGATTTTGGTTTTTAGATTTGGTTTTTGGTTTTGCTTTACATTTTTTTAATCAGTAAATTATTTTAGAAAAATAAAACAATAAATTATTTAAAAGTTACAGTTGAGATTTATCAAAACAAAGTGATTGTTATTTAAAATAGAAAAATATATTAACATGTTTTAAAGTATATGATTTGTGGAAGCCCCTTTGGTCCAGTGGTTTGACTAAGGGTTCATTAATGCTTCTACACCTGGAGGTCTGGGGTTCAAACCCCAGAAAACACCAAATTATGCAGATTATGGAGAAGCAAGTTACAAGAGATCTTCAGCTTGGTGCATGACGTACCATTGAACATGGATCTCATAGGATGGCTCGGAGTGATGCAGTCAGGCGTGTATTCTCACAAGGTGGTAGAATTGTTGGCTGTAAAATCTTCTATGTAATATTCTCATCGTTGTAATAGCATAATTATCAGACGTTAAAAAAAAAGTATATGATTTAAGTAAATGATTAATAATAGATAATTTTTTTAAAAAAAAAATATCAAATACCTTGTGAGTCTGAAAATAATAATTGATTTTTGATCTTTTAAGGTGAAAATTTTATTCAATTTTTTTTTGGAGTTTTTTTAATACTAAGCCCAAAAACTAAACTATATAATTTGTTCAAAAAATAAAAGTAAGCCCAAGACTATATTCCATAAATAACCACTGGTTTAATTTAAGTATAATTAGTAGATTTCCATATTCTATATTTTTATGATATATATTTTTTTAGAACATTCCATATTTGTAGGAGAAAATATGTGTTTTCGGTATACATATAGATATCTGCCATATTTTGAAGGTAGTTTACATTAAGATCGGTTTTTTTACATTAATTGTGTTGGTTTAATTTAAGTAATACGGTTAAATCATTTATATGATTTATATTATTTATAACATTATAGAAAGGGTCCAAATTTAAATCACAACTTGTATCAGTAGATAAAAAGAATGACTCTATTTTAATAGAATAGATTATAAAATATTGCATCCATACTTATGAATATTCTACAAGTTAGGGTTTGGAAAAGGATTTGCCTTAAAACCGATGTGAGCGTGATAAAATGGCTTCATTACTTCTTCCTAAAGAAACTTCTTCATCTCTTTTTTTGCTTACGTCTTTGCTCTTGTCCATCTCTTTTGCCATCTTCTCTAACTTGTCATACAAGTCATCCATCTTCTGAAGGACTTCATCAATGCCATCACGTAAGGCTTTTAGGTCGAATCCTTCGTTGTTGTTGTTGACTTCTTTGATTGTGTAGATATTGCCGCAAATGGTCTTCGTTGTGCAAGAAGTAACCTGCAGAGTGGAATCTATAGAGACATGAGAGGCTCACAGTGATCACTAGTAACCCTAATATCACTTGTAGTCCTGACACTAGTCTTCCTAATCGCCATAAACATGTTCTCCCCATTTCTCTAATCAGTGATTGACTCTAATCTTGACCTGAGTAATCAAACAGAGAAAATCATAGAGACAAAGCCTTGTTCCTATCTAAGAATATAAGAAAGAATGTGGAGAACAAAGTGATAGGTGAAGAAAAAACATTATTATCAGATAAAAAAGAGATATGTTTTGATGGAAACTTTTCCTCCCTGGTGTCTCCACGAAAAGTCATGAGTTTGCTTACACAACCTCAAAGTTAAAAACACACTATTTGAGAGATCCGAGAGCTGCGGTGGAGGAAAGTGTGTTGTGTTTGGTGTCTGCTTGAAGCATTAAGGAGCTGAAGATACTTAAAGCTGAAGCCTAAAGTTGACTAGTTTTAGGACAAAACCCAATCACTCTCTTTCACCAAAATCACCATCGTGCTTAACTAACCTGCATCTCCGGTCTCTGAGTAGGTCAACCATGAGTACAATGTACACTGATGGACATCAAATAGCATTTCAAATATTTGCCAGATAAGAAAAGTTGTAAAGCTTGTAGCATGATTATTATGAGTTTTTTAATTGTGGAGTTCTTCGCGGGACTAAGAAACCATCTCTTAACTTTTAACTAAAAAAAATTAAGAATCAGTTCTTACTTCTTTATCATCGTAAGAAATTCATGGTTTCTGTTCAAATGACCTAAACTATATTTAACCAGTAACTAGTAGTGAGGTTAGGTATAATGTCATGTCGATTTATGCATTACCAGAAAACGTAACCAAAGAAATCACATTTTAAGCCAACTAATTGTCTATGTGTTTGTAGACTATTATGTCAATTGTGTATATCGATTATCGACCATCACGATGTCGTCTTCTTGATCGTGGCGCTATTATAAACACTGCATCTACCGCCATCACAATTTTCTCCATTTAATTAAATGTTGATTTCTTAATTAATTATTCTTATTTTTCAACGATTCCTTAATTAATTAAAAAATGTCTTTAACACTATAGAAAACGCCTCTCTGTTTCTCAATCTCCGATCAAAATCCGCGGGTGGAAGTCGACACACGAAATGGCTCTGGCTAGGGCAACGTCTGGCCCCGCTTACCCGGAGAGATTCTACGCCGCCGCAGCTTACGTCGGCTTCGACGGATCTGATTCCTCGGCGAAACACGTCAGCTCCAAATTCTCCGACGATACTTCTCTAATTCTCTACGCGCTCTACCAGCAGGTCACACTCACTCACTCACATTGCACAACCTCGCGAATTTTGGATTTCACGAGATCTGTGTGTGTTTGATTCAAAAATGAAATCGAACATTGTCTGAGATTTGATTATCAAATGTTATATCAGTAACTGCTTAGCTGATACGGTATTGGAATACGGTTTTTGATCAAATCGATAATCAAATCTCAGACAAAGTTTAGCTAATTAATTATACGTCTCATCCAAAAATGTTATTATCAGTAACTGCTTAGCTAAACGTTGCCTGAGATTTGATTATCGATTTGATCGAAAACTGTATTCTAATACCTTTTTTTATTAATCAGATCTCACGGAATCATACATCCTTGAATCAATGAATCGTAGTTTACTTTTATATCTTTGATTGGTTCTGTGACTTTAATATGTGACTATAAATGTTATAACATTAGGCTTTTTTGTAACTGATTAGTTAAATGTTGTCTGAGATTTGATTATCGATTTGATCAAAAACGAGATTGTAATCAGATCTCATGGAATCATCCGTCCTTGAATCGTAGTTTACTAAGATTTTGATTGGTTCTGTAACTTTAATATGTGACTATAAATGTTAGAACATTAGCCTCTCCATGAGATATTAGTCAAGATTAGTGTTGTTGTAGAGTAGTTTATTATGCATGGTGCTGAGACTGGTTGTTTCCTCATCCCTGGGATAGATATTAGGCTCAGTGTTGATGAATGATCTTTTGGTTTTAATTTGTAAACAGGCGACTATTGGACCGTGCAACACTCCGAAACCTAGTGCATGGAGACCAGTGGAGCGAAGCAAGTGGAAAAGGTTTTGATTCTGTTCTGCCTCTGCCAAATACTTATCTACACAGTTAACATTTACGCATCTTATGCCTGAGTTTTGGAATCATAATTCTAGGAAGAAGCTTGTTGGTAAAATATAATTAGGAGATTCCCTTAGATTTCATCAATTATTAGAGTATAAGATACCCCATGAGAATCAGGGAGGCGGGAAAGGAGTATTCTAGATGTAAGCTGCATAGATAAAGACTCGAAAGGCAGGATTTTTTTTTTTTTTTGCATAGTTGGGGTAGGAAAAAAACTAATTGCTTACCTATGATTTGATATGTATACAAAAAAACGTGTGAAATGTTGTTGATATAGTCAAGGGCATATCATGTTACTATGCAAATAGAATTCTACGTCACCTTTCTTGTCATTGCTTATTATCGTTTTGAAAAAAAAAACAGGCATAGAACGTTATTCTACATCACCGAGGTGGTTCTAAATCATTTACATATTTGCGTAGTTGGCAGGGGCTTGGAACCATGCCCACCATTGAGGCAATGCGTCTGTTTGTGAAAATTCTGGAGGTAAACGACAGAGCCTAATGACTATGCCTAATTTTTCATACTTGACAGGAGCAGAAGCTTACTTTCTTTCCTATTGCTCACTTTATATTAGGAAGAGAAACCTAGCTGGTATTCGAGTGCATCTAATGATATTCCAGATCCTGCCGTAGATGTACAAATCAGTGTGAGTTTTGTATCCCATGGAATTCTGTATCCAATTCATGGGAAATATTACACATATTCTTTCCTTAGGGAAGAAAAGTATTTGAGCCTTTTAGTGAAATCATTCTCTGTAGCAGACAACAAAAGATGAGCCTGTTGTTGAGATTGAGAATGGGAACTCAGTTAGCGAGACAAAGACAATCCCTGCTGAGAATGGGCATTTGGCTGAAACCCAAGATAAAGATGTAGTCTCGGAAGACCCAAATACTGTTTTTGTATATAACCAGTGGACTGCACCCCAAACATCAGGTCAGCGGCCAAAACCCCGTTATGAGGTAATATATTTTCTCTCAGTTCTGGAAGAAAAGTAAATGGTCATGTCATTCATGTGTCATCTGCACTTTCTAACTCTTGATTATCATATTTGTTTCAGCATGGCGCAGCAGTTATTCAAGATAAGATGTATATATATGGTGGAAATCACAATGGCCGTTACCTTGGTGATCTTCATGTAAGCAACTCATATGATTCTAAACAAAAGCTGATGATATAATTGAAGTATTTAATTTCAGTTTAGTTCGCGCTAACAGTCTTCTGTGGAATGTATACAGGTTCTAGATTTGAAAAATTGGAGTTGGTCAAGAGTTGAAACGAAGGTTGCAACTGAATCAGAGGAAACATCTCCAACACTACTATCTCCTTGTGCTGGTCATTCTTTGGTAAGTTTTTAACTTCCTTGCGTTTTGTATTGGTTTCTGCCTTTACGACTAGAAATATTCAGGAAAGCGGTTTCATCTAAAGGAAAGTTGACTCTTTACGAAATCCATTTACTCTATTATTTTTACATGCCTTCTTTGTTTGTTTTGTAGATACCATGGGACAACAAATTGCTGTCTATTGGTGGTCATACTAAGAATCCCTCAGAATCTATGCAAGGTAAGCGTTTATATACCTTCGAAGACGGTTATTTGCAAATATATATATATGAGTTTTCTGTGATCTTTATTATGACAATCAATTTTCTACTGTTTCCCTGTCACAGTGAGGGTCTTTGATACCCATACCTGTACATGGTCAACGTTGAAAACATATGGGAAACCCCCGGTATCTCTTCGCTTCTCTCATAGTCTCATGTTATTTCAATTTTTCACATTTAGTTGCATGGAATCTTCCATTCTTGTGAACAAATTTGTTTGGTTTCTTGAATTGAAATTTTGTTTGTCAATTTCTCTTGCTTTTAGGTTTCACGTGGAGGCCAATCAGTCACAGTCGTGGGTAAAACCTTGGTGATATTTGGTGGGCAAGATGCAAAGAGATCACTTCTTAACGATTTGCATGTACTTGATCTAGACACTATGACCTGGGATGAGATAGATTCCATGTAAGATTTTATGATGTTATGATTAGATATATAACCAGCATACTTTAGAAATCCACCAACTTACTCCTTTAGTATTGTTAATGAAAGATTTGCAATCAGAGTTTAAACTGTTGTAAACTTGCAGAGGTGTATCTCCGTCTCCGAGGTCTGATCATGCTGCTGCAGTGCATGCAGAGCGCTACCTTCTTATATTTGGCGGAGGTTCACATGCTGTATGTTTCGATGATCTACATGTCCTTGATTTGCAGACTGTAAGTTGCGCTTATCGTCTATTGTTTCAGCATCCTTTGAAACATTCTTGGTCAGTGTCTAACATAACTATCATATACAGATGGAGTGGTCAAGACCAGCACAACAAGGTGAGAAACCAACTCCCCGATCTGGACATGCTGGCGTGGCAATTGGGGAGAACTGGTTTATCGTTGGTGGCGGTGATAACAAAAGTGGTAGGTTTACGTATTTTTCTTTGGAGATTCTCTCTTTTCAACCCTGTCTTGACTGTGCTGACTGATTGTGCTGCAACCTGATAAACCATTGCAGGAGCATCTGAAAGTGTTGTACTAAACATGTCAACTCTTACATGGTCGGTCATTGCTTCTGTTCAAGGACGTGTTCCTCTAGCTAGCGAGGTAGTTTAATCAAATAGGCTTTATCGATATTAATTTCCTGATAATTAAAGTGCCAAAACTACATTTTCTTTTTTCTACTGCCAGGGATTAAGTTTAGTGGCGAGTTCATACAATGGGGAAGATGTATTAGTTGCTTTTGGTGGATACAATGGACGTTACAACAACGAGGTAGGGAACTATATGTGTTGTAAACCCCATTCTCTTGATTTTGCATTCACTTCTGCTTCTAATTATTCCTCTGTCGTTAGGTTAATCTCCTTAAACCAAGCCACAAATCAACACTGCAACAAAAGACTGTAGAAGCTCCCTTGCCAGGTAGTCTTTCTGCTGTTAACGCCACAACCAGAGAAATCGAGTCAGAGGTTGACGTAAGCCAAGAAAGCAGAATACGAGAAATTGCCGTGGACAATGTTAACACTGGATCAAAGGTATCTTCTTGTCAGAAAAATTTCCTCCTTAATCTTATAACCGTGGTAGTGGTTCTATGTATCATCACGGGGTATAGTCACCCAAGTTGAGATCATCACCATCTCTTTGCCTTATTTAAATTTTTGGGTTCTGATTAATGAATCTCCTTCAGGTTGAAGGAAGCAACGAACACATTATTGCGACTCTTAAATCGGAGAAGGAAGAATTGGAGGCATCACTGAACAAGGAGAAGATGCAGACTCAACAACTAAGGCAAGAGTTATCAGAAGGAGAATCACGATATACAGATTTGCAAAAGGTAATAATAAATAACTTTTTTCACCTTCTTGGAACATAAGCCATTGTTGTTGTTGACATTTTGTGCTGACATTTTTATAGGAACTTCAGTCTGTTCGTGGCCAGCTTCAAGCGGAACAATCAAGATGTTTTAAACTTGAGGTAACTAATTCCATCGCCTAGCTCTGTGTCATACAAACTAAAAGCAAAACAAAAACCTAACTCGATCTCCTTACCTTTGAATGTGCAGGTTGATGTTGCAGAGCTAAGACAAAAGCTTCAAAGTCTGGAAACACTACAGAAGGAACTTGAACTCCTCAAGCGACAAAAGGCTGCCTCTGAACAAGCCGCAATGAACTCTAAACGACAAAGCTCAGGTGGCGTCTGGGGCTGGCTCGCTGGAACCCCTCAGGAGAAGGATGATGATTCTCCCTAATTTGTTTTTTTTTTTTGTCTGAGTCTCTCGCAATGGTTTCTTCTTCCAGTAAGATATTTTTCATTACCCTTCCTTTTTGAGCTTATATTACTATCGATGTTTAGTATAGATTACTTATGATTCGTGTTAGTATCTGTGTATTTTGTAAGAAAATATTTCTTTTGTACAACTTTCTTTTTTCAAACAAACATATGTTTTGGTATTGCTGAAATATTTTACTCTTGGTAAAGCATACAGATAATGAATAGGCAATATTGAAAATTTTCTGATATTGCTGAAATTTTGGCTTGAAAACTAATACAAAAATAAAAATTACATAATAAATAAATAAATACTATTGGAAAACTAATTATATCACATAACTAAAGCGATAAATTCTACAATGATTTAATCCAACAAAAATAAAATACCCAAAAGCTTTTTAGTTTCGAAGCAAATCCTTTAAGCGATATACATAAGATTCATTGTTAAAGGATAAATCCTAATCCACTAAAGAATCAAAACAACCATTATTATAACAAATCGTAAATTTATTAATTCCTCAAATCTATGTTTTTTACTAAGTATTATTGTCTCTCTTTTCTTCTGTTGGTTCTTCACACCAACGATGATCGATTACTACCAACCAGTAGAGATTAACATTGTCTCGGCTCAAGATCTCGACTCCGTAAACCTTTTGTTCAGACCAACAGTCTATGTTTCCGTCTCGGTAACACGTGGTTCACGTGACAAGCAAGTCACACCAGCTGCCGTTTGCGGTAAGAAGCTCTTACGATGGAACTATAGCATGAAATTCTATATAGAAGACGACAAGATTCAGAGGAATGAGTCAGTGTTTGTGTTTCAAATCAAGGTTAAGAAGTTTTACGGGTCCAAAGAAGTCGTTGGAAAACTTTACGTACCGGTGAAGCAATTGCTTCACTTGAATGAAGAGAAGACTATAACTGAGCATACGAAAATAGATTATCAGGTGATAACTGAGTCTGGAAAACCAAAGGGTTGCATATGTTTAGGGTTTAGTTTTGGGAGTGTTTTTAAGGGACAAATCACAGGTTGTGATTCGGATAGTAATGCTAGGGTTCGTGAGGATTGTAGATTAGGAGTTTGGGGAACTATTAGAGGTGTGCCATCTGCTCCTTGTGAAGACGATATATATGCTTGAGAAATCATTTTTCTATAATACTTCCATATCTTGTTATTGTGTACTTATTTTCTAAGTATACTAGGATATGATCCGCTCCTTGCGCGAGATGAAGTTATTATTTTTATTATGTTTTGGAAAATGAAACAAAAGTTCGGTTTCATCTAGATTAAGGATGTTCAATCTGGATATCGGGTTTCAGTATTTTGGTTATTAAAATATAACTACTATTCTAAATCCATATTTACTTCAGTTTGATTTGGTTTATATATTGGTTTTCAGTTTATTCAATTTTATACCAAAATACATCACTATTTAGTTTGAAATCATATTATATATTATAAAAATAAATAATACGATCATATTTAGAGTCATATTGTCAAAAAGTATTTTACTAAAAAAAATATTATATATTTAACTAAAAGAATAAAAAACAAAAAAGGTTTCTATGATCTAATAAAATGATCAAATCTAGAATTAATATCAAATCTTGAAAAATAAAAACAAAACAAAAGCATGAAAGAAAAGTTTTTATATTCTTCAATATTTAGTGTTCATCAAATTAATATGTCTTCGATTGAACACAACTCTGTTTGTTTAAAGATTAAAAAAAATTGTAAAGAATTTCAACTAATTGTTGTCCATCAAATTTATAATTTTTACTTCAATTTATTTTTATTAAAAAAAAAGAAAAAAGGATAAAAAAAAGACGAAGAAAATAAGAAGCCTCAGTTGCATTAAATTGTTAGTTAATTATATTTCAAGTGATTTAAAAATCATAATTATAGTTCAACTCATGTAACAAATAGATATACATATTTACATGTTTCAGTTTAATTGATTATAAATCAAACCATATCCAAATCTTACGGTTTTTATAAAATCACATACATTCGGTTTGTATGGTTTATACCAAAATAACCATATTATCGATTGTGTTAATATCTTTAAAAAATAGAAAATTAAAAAAAGAACTAATATATTTAAATCATTGGTAACAAAAATTTTCAATGTGAAAAATTTAATACGTTTATAATTTATAAATGTTCTTGAAAATTCATTGAAATTTTTGAAATTAAAATAAGTATGTAATCTTATATGGTATATAGTTTAATCTATATATATATATATATATATATTTTATTATTGAATGATACTTTTTACTCATATGGTTTTAAAATCATGTGTATCTTTTTATAATAAAAATGTTAAACTATTGATCATTAATTTCTAACATAATAATTTTAATAGTTTTAGTCATTTATTCTTGGTTTTTAAATTCAAAATATAACATATACAAAAAAATCTAAAGTTTAATTTTATAGCTAATTTGATTGTTTGATTTATTTTAATAATATAAAATTAAAGAAAAATGATGGAGGAGATACAAATTGTTATCAAATATTTATTATTAGAAACATTAATTGTCATATATATATATATATAAATATATTTGTCATTTATGGTAATTTTGTAGCTTTTATTTAAGGAAAGAAAATAAAATAGTAATTATATCTAGGAGGACAATCATAAATGCTTATATCATAAATATCATATCATATAGTTTGACCAACAAATATATCTAGCGACATATAAAAATCGAATGTGGACCTACTTATTTTTCAATTGAATGTAATTGAGTACCTAATTGAGTGACACGTAAGAATGAGCTCTTTTTTAATTATTACAAAATTGAGGTTACAATTTTTCAAATGTTTCTCAATTAATATATAGGGGATTTCTAGCCTGTGATGCTTTGTTATACTAAATTACTAGCTTTATTTTGATAATAGGCAAAACACCAACTAAACAATATATGAGGGTCTGAAAAATCAATATTGGTGCAGTTACTATTCGAAAACTCAGTTGCAATAGTCAACTAGATTCTGATCCGCGTTAAAATGCGGATATATTTTATTTGATTTGATTTATAAATTCGGAAATAAAATTATTGTGTGAATGTTAAGCATAACTCTTAGATTAGATGTTTGTTTGTTTGGACTTGTGTTATTAATGTAGTGATTGGTCATATCCAATATTATTACTTATGTAATGAACGTAGAATTATAAGATACCAAGATTTAATAGAAGTAGATTTATATGGGAACATATAAATGCATCTCAGGGGAAGACGTTTAAGGACATGTCAGTACATTTTGAAAAAATTGGGTTTGTGTAGAGATATCTGGGGGGGGGGTTGACATTATAAGTTAAGTTACTTATAAATGATATGGATTTAGGGCATCATGATCAGATCAGGAAGGACTGATGGATCTGATTGTGGGCTTATTGTTAATTGTGGGCCTCATTGTTGTGGACAGCTTGATTGTTGACTGTGGGCCTGATTATCGTGGACTGCTTGAACTGATTGTGGGCCTTGTGGGCTAAAGAATTTATTGCCGTAGAGGCGGAAGTTCTTGCCGGGGCGGAGGAAGTGGAAGTAGAGGGAGGTGAGGAGGGTGAGGGTGAAATTGAGGAGGAGGAGGAGGAGGTATGCGGGTTGAGATTTGAAGTAAGTGCAAATCTCCATTGGAGGAAGATTGAGGAAATGGGTTTGGAGAACAAACAAACAAAAAATTGTAGATCTGAAAAAAGAGTTGAAAAAAATTTGAAAAAAATAAATGGAGACTGTAAGATTCGTACTTTTTTTTGTAGTAGACCTAGAGTTTAGGTCTCTGACCGAAAAACAGAAAAGTAACACGTATATATAATCTGGTAATAGACTAGTTTTCAATAAATCGTTTGCAATAAAAAAGTTAGAATTTAGCTTGACGTTTAAATAAAAATAAAAAGTAAACATTAATGATAATCTTTGACTTAAATTTATGGATGTGTATAGAGAGGCTTCTTTAATCATCAACTCAATTTCTCTTTGACGTGGTTATCTTATTCGAATTCAACATTTCACTCATTCATGAGCCATAACATTTGAAAATGAAATAAAACCAAAAGTCAGTTGTCTTTTTATAGAACACATCTCACCTAGCTTATGTTAATATATTAGTTGTGTTCTATCTTATATGAGAATTAATTATGGTTTGTACACATGTTGCACTGTAATAGTTCTATTAAGAAAAAAAGAAAACTACTAAAAATATCAATCTAGTTTCATGAAGAAATTTATCTCTTGCCAAAGAAAATAAGTATTACGCTTCAACTCATATACACATATTCTAATTTCATGAAAAATCTATCTCTGCGATTATCATCAATCAAAAATGAGATGTCATCTGACTTAATGAATAGGTAATTGAAGATTAGATATATGAATAGGTAATTGTAGATTACATATCTTGAAAGTTGAACTATATTTGATGATATGACACAATCTTAGAAAAAAATTGGTAACACAAAGCAATTGCCTTGGGAGCCCAACTTGTTTGTCAAATCTTCTACAACAATGATGTGAGACTCCAAGCAAAAATCACTGATCCATTTGGTTTTCACTGGGTTTTACTTTCTCTCTGGACCAAGTTAAAATAATAGTTATATAGTGTTATACATTTGAAACTTTAAATATAATTAAGATACATATTATTTATATAGTGTCGAATCGAAAAGGATATTCGCTTTCCAAAATTTTAATATTTATATTTGTTTTCAATTTAATCAAATATTAATTTTTAATATTGATTTATTTCATAAGTTTACGAATATCTAAAATTTACAATCAAAACGGATGACAAATTGAATCTTAGTCAAATTTAATCGAGTCCAACCTACTTTATATAACTAGTAGTATCTCTCTATCTGACACTTCTGGAATGTTCTTATTTTATTAATTTTTCTTGGAACCATAGAAAAAAAATTATTTAATTTTCTTTTCTTAGCTACATACGATTACTTAACTCACAAGTGTCAACGGCCCATAGAATCTAAATGTTTACGAAACCGACCCAATCGGAAGACACGCTTGCACGCGTAATCTACATCACTCACACGTGCGAAAAACCACTGCTATAAATAAACAAATCTAGGGTGCGCTTCAATTCCTCATCACCATCCAATTACATCGTTTTCTTCGTCAAAAAAATTCAATTCTCTTAAAAAACTCTCAACAAGAATCTTCTTCTCTTCTTCAATCGAACGCCCAGCGATCATGGCTCAAACAGATCTCAATCAGCCCAAACTCGACATGGTAATTGGAACCTTCTTATCGATTTTTTTCGTCTCAAATCTTCGGTTCTTTGATTTGATTGTTGTTTGTTATTGGGAAACATGTGCATTAGCAGTGACATTAGCAGTAGAGAACAATCTGTGATTTGATTTGTTAATCAAAGATATTTATTGATTAAATTTTGTATATAATATGGTGTTTGCTTAATTTATGTGTTGGCTAATTTGCATGTGTTTTTTTTTTGAATATTTTGTGCAGACTAAGGAGGAGAAAGAGAGGTTGAAGTATTTGGAGTTCGTGCAAGCAGCTGCTGTTGAAGCAGTGCTTCGCTTTGCTCTGATTTACGCGAAGGCGAAGGACAAGTCTGGTCCTTTGAAGCCAGGTGTTGAATCCGTTGAAGGAGCTGTCAAGACTGTTGTTGGTCCTGTGTACAACAAGTACCATGACGTCCCTGTTGAGGTTCTTAAATACATGGACCAGAAGGTACTTTTAGATCTCCCTAGTTCTGTAGATTGCTGATACTTTCATTGTTTATATGTGTTCTTGATTGATGATGAAGCTGCTGGAGATAAAATAGTGTCTAGTGTAGCTGTGTGGATCATATTAAACTTGCATGTAGACATAAAGCTACAGCTTTTGGTGATTTCAAACTATACAACTTAGAATATGATCGTATCACTTCTTCTTCTTGTTTATAATTTGAATGGTCCATATATTATTAACTTTTCTAGTGTAGTAGTGTTGACCATATTCAACTAGCATTTAGACATAAGCTACAGCTAGTGGTTGCTTCTTGTTGTTTATAATTGAATGGTCAATATATTATTAACTTATCTAGTGTAGTAGTGTTCACCATATTCAACTAGCATTTAGACATTAAGGTACATCTAGTGGTGATTTTAAACTATAACTTAGATATGATCGTTGATCGTATCATCATCTATTATAAACTACCTGTTATTAGATCAAGTTTACACGCTAAGTAGAAGGTTTTGGTTAATGTTGTTCATATTTACCTCCGTGGAAGCTGACAATAATCGTCTGTGTCATTACAGGTTGACATGTCTGTGACTGAACTCGACCGCCGTGTCCCACCAGTGGTCAAACAAGTCTCTGCCCACGCCATCTCAGCTGCTCAGATAGCACCCGTCGTGGCACGTGCCTTGGCCTCTGAGGTTCGACGTGCTGGCGTTGTGGAAACCGCCTCTGGGATGGCTAAATCCGTCTACACCAAGTACGAGCCTGCAGCTAAGGAGCTGTACGCAAGCTACGAGCCAAAAGCAGAGCAGTGTGCCGTGTCGGCTTGGAAGAAGCTGAACCAGCTTCCTCTGTTCCCAAGGTTGGCTCAAGTCGCTGTGCCAACAGCTGCTTTCTGCTCTGAGAAGTATAATGATACGGTGGTGAAGGCTGCGGAGAAAGGGTACAGGGTTTCATCGTACATGCCTTTGGTTCCAACGGAGAGGATCTCGAAGATCTTCTCTGAGGAGAAGACTGAGACCGCCAAGCCTGTGGAGTTTCAGCCACTTGATTGATTTCGGGGTGTTTGATAGTGTGTTGTTTGGTTTGATGTGAACCGGATCTTGGTTAGCGAGTGGTTCTGGTTCTTTTGTGTCTTCTGTCTTTCTATTTCGTTTTTGTTTCTTTGAATTCTCGTTTTTAATAACACAAAACTAATGTAAAACCACGTTGGGATGATTGTATAAAGCTTCCTTTAATTCGTTTACATGTGTTAGAAAAAATGTGATCAAGATTACATATAAAGAATACCAACCCTTAAACGACACCGTTTGAATTATATCAACCACTGAACGACACCCGTTTAAATGATGTCAACCAGTAAAACGACTCCGTTTGAATAATCTTCTAATTAACCGCTTAAATGACACCGTATAGGTCTCATCGTCACAAAACAACGGTCAAGATTTAATCTCGATCCCACTCATTAAAGTTTGAGAATATTACATTCAGAGTCACTTTCTGAGAATTAATATCATAATGGGTCACAAGTTTATACTAGAGCACTTATTAGTAACCATTCTCTCTTTTTATTAGTTTACTAGTTGAAACCAAACTATATTATAACTAGTGGGTCCCTTTCTCTCTTATCATCTTTCTTTCTTCTCAACTTTTACAGATCTCAACACTATCTCTATCTCTCTTCTTCTTTATTTTGTTCTTCGTTATCTATGCCATCAAATTAGCTTCAATTTTTTCTTTCTCACACCACACAACCTCATTAACTATACCGTTGTGTGATTCTCATGATTGAAATTCCTGTAAATCTATCACCCTTGGAGGCAAAATAATTAGCAATAGAGAGTTGGCGATAAAGCGACGGTAATTCTGGTGTCTCCACCACCGTTCTCTGCATCTCTGTTACTATCTCACTTTCTTGAGATTATTTGCAATCTCACCATCATTTTATTCAGTGGATACTGTTTGAATTTCTAATAATTACCAAAGCTCTCAACTTTAGTCTATTTAATTATGTGCTGGTTTGTTTTAATCTTTTTATTGATAAATTTGTAATCTTTTTCTTGATGTTGTTCCTTATAGTATTCTGCTTGTTGAAGTGACTTTTGTACCATGTTTTCACCACCATCTCGAAAAGCTCCAACCTTTCATCAACGCCTATTATAGCGTATATGTGTACATCAATGTACCCAAATGTACACAATGTTTGTGTGTACACCAAAATCAGAAGAGAGTGTACATGTGTACACAATGTGAATGTACATGTGTACACAATGTGATAACGTGGAAAAAAATATAAAAATTATGAAAGGTGCAAGTGTAAATATTTATAAACCAACATACATATGGCTAATATGGTGTACATGTAGATTTTATGGCTCCATGGACATATGTATAATGCAACATATGTGCACATAATGCACATGTAGCTGAACAAGAAATTTTGTAACTCGTGTATATGTATATATATTTAGTAACCAGTGTACATGTGGATATTTACGATAATGTGTACATATGAGTGATTGAACAATTTAACTGGTGTACATGAAAATCGTTGTACACGTGGATAACAACTTAACTTAACTTAATGAAGGGTATAATAGTAATTTTGATGTCATCTTCTTTCTAATCTAATCTCTGTAACAATGACGCCTCCATTTGTTTCAAGATTTTTTCACTCATTTACACATGATTTCATTCATTTTATAATTCAATCTTTTCATATTTTTAGAGATCCTCATAAATACACACGTTTTTAACACAAAATGAATGGCTGAGGTTCATCGGCGGTCACAGCTGAGGACCAGACATCGTGGTAAAACAGAGTTTTGATATGGTGCATCACTATGATTTTTAAAAAAAATGTGTTTTTGTTTGTTTATCAAATCAATTTCTTGAAAAAAATAAGATTGAGAAAGAAGAGAGAGAACTGTATAAGAAAAAGAAAGAGAAACGTGAAAATTAAAAAAGGAAGAGGAAGAAGAAAGAAGAGAAATGAAAAGTAGGCCCTACAGATTATGATTTAGTTATTGTTTAGTTGAAATGGAATGAGATACGTTAAAATAAGTGTTCTAGGAGCTGAAAGTGACTTATAGAGTAAGACAAACTCATAAAGTGACTTGAAATGTTATTCTCTCTTAAAGTTTTATCAACGAAATGACGAATATAACCCCGTCAGTTTAAAGCCGGCGACGATCTCCTCCTCTCCGTCTTCCTTAGCTTAGAGAGATAGAAAGCTATGGCGGACGAAGAAGACGAGTCACCAGAGACGGAACTAAGTTACGATCAGAAGAAAGAAATCGCGAAATGGTTTCTCCTCAACGCTCCCGCTGGCGAAATCAATTACGTCGCCAAAGGTACTCTCTCACTCATACACACATTTACATTGACGCGAATGTTCTTTTGATCGTTGATTGATTGATCCTGTGAGGAGGAGGATCATTGTTCGTGATTTGATATATTGTTTTTTGAGCTTTTGGTAGATTTAAAGGCGGTTTTGAGCGATGAGGAAGTTTACAACGAGGCGGCCATGGAGGCGTTTCCAGTGTATAACAAGTCTCACATGATTTGCCTTGAGATGCCTAATAGGGCAGGTGATGTGAGTTATCTATCTTAATCTGAGTTGAATTGTGTAGGTGTACTGACTTCTGGCTCTATACTAGTTTGTTGGATTAGGTTTTTTGCATGATTTAACTTTTCAAATGAAAGCTCTAACAACTTTGAAATTTACACTAATTGGATCATAATTAGAAAATGTTATGTATCAACACGAATGTAGTTAAAATAAATGATTACAACTGATTTAACTTTGCAAATGAAAGGTCTATCAACTTTGAAATTTTACACTAATTGTGATAGTTAGTCTCTTTGCTATGGTTTTTTCTTCTTTTAGCTCCAGAGAAACTGGAGTTCAGTGATGTTAAAAAAAAAAATTAGTGGTTTTAGATCTCTCAGGAGTTCTGAGGAGATGTTAGTTGTTTGAAATTAGTACTTTTTGTATTTGCTAGAGAGTTCTCATGAACTTACGCTTGATAATTTTTAAGTTACTTGCAATACTTCTTTGTCCTGCATGTTCTTTTCGTGTTTTATTGAAAATGTTTTTGTAAAACCATTTGTGTTGTTGTTGTCTCAGGTGATTGTTTCATCGTACAGTGAAATTACTGAGAATGAGTACCTTGATCCAAGAACTGCTCAGGTTGCCATTGTTGATCACGTTAAACAGGTTCTATGACTGATTGTATATGTGCTTTAGTTATAGCGTGATGTGATTTGTGAATGTAATACTTAGCTTGCGTTTCTTTTCTGATTATTAGATATGTACAAACGTACGGCCTGCTGACGATGAAGAGCTTCCTTCTTCGTATATTGAAGAATTCAGGTATATGATTTTTACACCTAGCTGGAGGATTTTTAGGATTAGTATAGTTAATGCGTCATTATCACTTCTGAATGTTCTTTGTGGTTGCAGATGAAAAATATTAGAAGCACTGTATATAGTAAAATGTTGTAGCTTATTCCTGAGATACGCGCATTTGTTTCATATATTTCAATCTAGCTTAAGTTCTTATGGCTGCAGATGAAAATATTAGAAGCACTTTGAAACTGTCTGTTGTCTCTATCTGCTAAATATAATATATGCTGATAAGTTTGTTTTGCGCATTACAGATGTGCTCTTGATGCTGAAATCCAGAGATACGTTGGTGAATCTTACCCGAAAGGTGTGTCTGCCGTTAACTGTGTGAAAGGCAAAGATGCTGATGGTCCAGGGACGGACTTTGAGCTTGTCGTTATAATCGCGGCCATGAAACTCAGTCCTCAGAACTTCTGGTGTGTACGAAATGACCTTCTTCTACTTATTTATCTCTACGATTTTCTTTGTTCAGAGAGAGAGAACACCCAACTTAAGAAAGACAAACGTTTGCCTGAAATAATTTTGGTTGTGCAGTAATGGAAGTTGGAGATCTGTATGGAACATTGACTTTCAGGAGGAATCGCAGGTGCTGGACATAAAAGGGAAATTGCAGGTAACACTCGCCGCTCACTTATTCTCTCTGTAAAGTTGGATGCAACTTATTCAAAGCCAATGGTTGAGATTAGTAAGCTTTTTCTAAGTATAACTATCATAACTTTCTCTTCAGGTAGGAGCCCATTATTTCGAAGAGGGAAATGTGGAATTAGATGCGAAAAAGGAGTTCCAAGATTCGACAATATTTCAGGTACCTACACATCCAGTATTCACAAGAAGCCAAGGCTAGCTTGTACTATATAATGTAGTCCCTACAGTAAACTTGTGGTTGTGTTCTTGTTTGCATTTTTCAGTCAGCGGATGACTGCGCGATTGCCATAGCCAATATCATCCGGCATCATGAGACAGAGTACCTTGCAGCTCTAGAGGTCTCCAAATGGCTACTCATTATTATTTTTTCTTGTTGTTTTACCGTTGTTTCTTGTGTGGCTAATCTTGCTTCCGACCCAATCATTAGGTGGCGTATTCTAAATTACCGGATAACACTTTCAAGGTAATCTTTCTGTTCCAAATCTAACGGTTACAATGGCTGCACCTTACATCCGGAAAGAGCTCATAATGAGATCCTGGAGGTGGTGTGTATTTAACTCATCCATCTGGATTTGGGATTATTGCAGGACCTGAGGAGGAAACTTCCAGTGACAAGAACTCTGTTTCCATGGCAGAACACTTTACAGTTCAGCCTAACAAGAGAAGTCGAGAAAGAACTTGGACTTGGCAAGTGAGACTAGTTCATCAAATCCCAGCCTCGTCTTATTCCATATTGTTGCCAAGTTTTTCTGTCATTCCATTATGTAAGTTAAGAGGTTAAATATCATCCTTTGCTGTTTCTGTTGCGTCGTGTATTTGTCCCTTCTTTTGGGGTAATGTAATGTACAAACAAACTGCATGCAAGTGTTGAATCATCAATATATTTGGTAAAAGTTCAGTTTGCTGATATCAACTAACCCATAGTCCGCGTATCTTTAGTTCTTAAAGGCATCACACACATGTTCTGATATATATATATTGGATTTTCAAAAGTGCAAAAAAGCTCCGATGCCGGGAATCGAACCCGGGTCTCCTGGGTGAAAGCCAGATATCCTAACCGCTGGACGACATCGGATTTGTTGTTAGCTAAGATACAAACCTTTAGACGGCGTTTCAATTTTATTTTGAATAAATCATCAGCCCAACAAACGATTCCCCTGAGCTAAACATTCGTCTCTGCCTTCCTTTTCATGCTTATCTAATCTCCGTTTGAAAATGTATATACTCTTGGTCCGTTGCAGATCGTGCTGGACTCGAAAAACTTCCTACTTCGAAAAGATTGTAAAACTGCTGTAATTTTTTATTTGTGTCTAATGGTTTGCTTCTATACAAATTGCTAACATTCTCTTCTGATTCCAGCTTAATAGCAAGTAGTGTACCTCTTGTTGTATCTTGTCTTGGATGATATTACAGAGATGGGTGAAATTCTTACCAGAGTATCTATCTATACACTTTCTTAAGAGACCTTTATGTGTCATGTACCTATAGAGGAATGTTCTCCTTTGCTTTTCGTTTTCTTTCCAACCTTTATACTTAGATTTTGAACTTGTTATTCTTGGTGTCGAGAAGTGACACTGTTAACTGATGTCTCTATTTTTGTGTGTTTTGAAGTTTGAGGATCTAGATCACTTATTCTGCTGATTTTAGCAGGTGCTTCGACATGGATTGAGCTAACATACTTTGTTTACTTCACTCTTCAGGTGATTGATAAAGTACACGAAGAGAAGACCCGCACAGGTATATATATATTATCATCAAATAGACATCCCATTTGCCTTTTGTTAATTTACGTCTTGAGATGTTAAAATCTAGACTAGAATGACTGAATTTAGACTTTGCCAAAACCACTTATGAGCCTTAAATTTGCACTGAGAAATGATATCCTTTTGTACTAGTATCCAAAGCCTTTTCTTATGATCAGGCTCTGTGATTATTTTGAAGAGTACCCTCTTATCGAATCATGTGAAAATTTATGTCACTGATCTGCCCTAAATATCATGAGAGGTTCAGGCATTATTACAAAATAGTGATTCTTTTTGGTTTCAAAAGCAAGTTGTTACTGATGATTCTCTAAAAATTCTTGGATACATTGTACAGACAGAAAACCACCAGGGGTTGGAAGAGGAAGAGGAAGAGGAAGAAAATGACAGGGGAAAAAAAAAACAATTAAGCGACAGCGTTTCGCATTCGAGAGGGGACGAAAGACTCTCCTTGATTCAGAGGGTTCTTCCCATATTCATTTCTTTGAAGACAAGTTTTCCTAAAAATCTATATATTAATTTCCGATAAATTATATATTTTCTCTCGTCTTCTCCCTTTTCTCATAGTCGGAGGCGCTCTTCTGAACCCTTCCCCAAACTCTCTCTCCGATTCGGTTATCAACATGGCAACTCCAATGGTAGAAGACACGTCAACCTTCGAAGAGGATCAGCTCGCTTCCATGTCCACCGAAGACATCGTTAGAGCTACTCGCCTCCTCGAAAACGAGATCCGAATCCTCAAGGTTCCGATTCCTTAACTCCCTATCGCTTCGTAACTTCATGATTAGTCACAATTTTGAATCCATCAATTGCTTTAAAAATTTCGAAATAGATCTTTTGCTAGTATCCGATTTTAGGGATTGAATCGATTGTAATATCCATTGGAATCTAACAGGAAGATGCTCAGAGAATGAATCGAGAATGTGATTCAGATAAGGAGAAGATAAAAGAGAATCAAGAGAAGATTAAACTCAACAAACAACTTCCTTACTTAGTTGGCAACATTGTTGAGGTAACTAACTCTCTCTCTCTCTCAACAACCTTTTTTTTTATTTATATGCCACGTGTACTGATTATTAACTGTTATTATTAGATATTGGAGATGAATCCTGAAGATGATGCTGAAGAAGACGGTGCTAATATTGATCTTGACTCTCAACGGAAAGGCAAGTGTGTTGTCTTGAAAACCTCTACACGTCAGGTGAGAGATCTTTTTAATAATAAAGGGATTATTATTATCATAAAAAAAAAAGAATAATTAGTTTTCTAGAGAGAAGTTAGAGAGAGATAGGAAGAAAGAAGAGGAGAGAGGATAGGATTTTAGTTAGTTAGTTAGTTAATTTTGGTCTTTTTCATAGTCACTAGGTGCAATTTCCCTTATTATTTATAATTTTTTTTTTTGCTGTTTCGTTTCTGAGAAAAAAAAAATACTTTTTTGGCTTTGCAGACAATTTTTTTACCGGTTGTTGGTCTTGTGGACGCTGATAGTTTGAAGCCTGGGGATTTGGTTGGGGTGAATAAAGATAGTTACTTGATTTTGGATACTTTGCCGTCTGAGTATGACTCTAGGGTTAAGGCTATGGAGGTTGATGAGAAACCTACTGAAGATTACAATGACATTGGAGGATTGGAGAAGCAGGTTCGTTTTTAGCGTATTGAGTTTTGTTTCTGTATGTGTTGTTAGTGTATTGGATATGATTTGGGTTTGTTTCTGAAACAGATCCAGGAGCTTGTAGAGGCGATTGTGCTTCCCATGACTCACAAGGAGCGGTTCGAGAAGCTTGGTGTTCGTCCACCAAAGGGAGTGCTATTGTATGGTCCTCCAGGGACTGGTAAAACTCTAATGGCTCGTGCTTGTGCAGCGCAGACTAATGCTACCTTCCTGAAATTGGCAGGGCCCCAGTTGGTTCAGGTATGTATGAATGTTATATAGTGTGTCAATCATCAATACGCGTGGGGATCTATATAATCATGCTTGTTGCGTCCACAAGGGTTTTAGGATTCTCTGTAATGATTTTGTGTTGTATCTGAATGTGTGCAGATGTTTATTGGAGACGGAGCAAAACTTGTCCGTGATGCTTTTCAACTAGCAAAAGAGAAAGCTCCATGCATTATCTTCATAGATGAGATCGATGCAATTGGTACCAAGCGTTTTGACAGGTTCAACTATTTTACTTGTTCCAGTTCTTCTATATGTGCACTTCATTATCTCTGCTTATTAACTAACATTATTTGGCTGAGAGTGCAGTGAAGTAAGCGGAGACAGGGAAGTGCAGAGGACTATGTTGGAGCTGCTTAACCAGCTTGATGGATTCAGTAGTGATGGACGTATTAAGGTGAGAGTCTTTCTTAACTCTAGGCACTAATCATACTCGTCAATATATTTTCCCACAGAAGCAATAACAATCAAACCTCTCAAATTATTTCAGGTGATTGCAGCCACTAACCGTGCAGATATTCTGGACCCAGCACTTATGCGTTCTGGTCGGCTAGACAGGAAGATTGAGTTCCCACATCCAACAGAAGAAGCAAGAGCCAGAATCTTGCAGGTTTGTGTCTCTCAATCTCTGAACATTACTCTTGATAGTTTAAAAAGCTCACATAACTCAACTAACCCCAGAACTGAATGAAATCAGATTCACTCGAGGAAGATGAATGTCCACCCAGACGTCAACTTTGAGGAGCTTGCAAGATCAACAGACGATTTCAATGGCGCTCAACTGAAAGCAGTATGTGTAGAGGCTGGCATGTTAGCTCTTCGCCGCGATGCCACAGAGGTAATAATAAGATACATACAAGAGTCTCTTTGGCTACTTTTGTGATTGAAGTTTAGTGTGGCTTTGAAAACATTGGGTTATCTCTTGTTCTCTCAGGTGAACCATGAGGACTTCAACGAAGGTATCATCCAAGTCCAGGCCAAAAAGAAAGCAAGCTTGAACTACTACGCCTAACTAATCTCTCTCTCCCCATCTGTTCTACTTCTCTTTACCTCTCTCTGACCTTTGTATTAGTTTTACTTTTACTTCTGTTTCGATTTGGATATTTTTCATTTTAGCTGTGTTCACCTTCTTTTAGAATTCCCCACCCCACAACTATGTTTATGGAAATCGACAAAACCTAACTTTTTGATTTCATTTACTTAGATATAGAAGCTATTATCGGATAGAATCTAGAAAGTATTATTTCACTGTGGAGAGTTAAATAAAGTAGCGAAACTGGCAAGTACGGGAGCAGAGCACGAGCGAATAAACTTTTGTCATAGTCGTCAGATTGGACTCACTACGAACTTTGACTAATATTTCCCTTTTTAAAAAAATTATAATACATTTTATTACATTACACAAAAATTGCTTAAAGTCGCATGTCTAATTTTCGAGTTATTTCTTAGTTAATGATGATTTTAAAGATTTATTACGAATCAAATCCCTCGTGCAATTTTGTTTGAATTAACCTGCCAAATTCTTTTCTTAGTTAATGAGCGCATGTATATCACTTTCATAAAATTTATGTCCAGATTATGTATATTAAATGGGTTGTGATTCCTTTAAGAAACTCATAACAATAATGGTGTATGACGATCAAAAGTTGTAGTAATAAATTTTAGTACGTTTTAGTTCATATCATCACATGCATGTTAGAGAAAAGAAAACTGAACACGTTTACAAGTTATGTAGTGGCGTTCAGTATGGCACATGATAGAGTAATATGCGCCTGTGTATTAGACTACTAGATAATGTCATAAACAGTATTTTTTTTTTTGTCACTGACATAAACAGTATTTAGTAAGGCATTATATATTTGAATTTGATGTTTATGAGATTTTTTTTTTTTAAAAAAGTTTGTAACTAAGATTTTTTTTTAATAAGAGTTTTGTAATAGTGTTGTCACTGTGGTATCATTATAAAACTTTAACCCAACTGAAAAATCTGAAAAGACAAAGAAAAATATAGCATAACAACATTTTCAGATTTAAATTTAAGGTCATAAAAACTGAATGAAAAAAAAAAAACAAATATCTACGGGAAGCAAGTAGCTGACGTCAAGTAGACAAATCCGTAAGAATAAATCTGAGCCGTCCAATTATAAAAAAAGTTCAGAGTATTTGGACATCGAACATTACTTCTACCCGTAACCCAATCTTTTCTCACACAAAACATCACCCGAGAAAACAAAACAAAACAAAAACTCCAATTTCCTTTTTTTTGTGTTCTTTCCTTCTTCTGTGTCTCACGATCGAAGTAATCTGTTAAACTAATCGAATCAAATCGTAAAGAATTGACGGAAGATAGATTTTCGTGTGGTGGCTATATCCGACGAAACTCGGAAAAAAAGTTATAAATGGGTTTAGGCAAATTCAATTTCGACGCTAATGATCTCCCCGAAGACGGTAATAGCGATTCTCGCGATGAAGGAGATGGTTTTGGTTCGGTTTCGTGTTCGATTTGTCTCGAGACGGTGGCTAAAGACGGCGATCGAGCTTGGGCTAATCTTCAATGTGGTCACCAGTTTCATCTAGGTATCATCGTCCTTTTAATTGAATTTGTTCATGATTGGATTTGAATTTATTTATTTTTTAATTCGATTGGATTTGTTCGTGGCTGTCTGAAAAAAAGTGTCTAGATTTCGATTTGAAACATTCAGATCTGTCTTTTTTGATTGGTTCGGTTTTTGTGAATTTACGGTCTTATTACATTCTAATTGAGGTTTTGAAACTAATTGCGAAATGTTATCTGAGGTTATTCAGACATTATTGATTAGGGCACTTTGATAACTGTTTCATTACAAATGCTAAGGTTGTCTTAATGATTTTTTTCACCTTGTTTTGATTTATGTATTATCTCAGTATTCTCATCCCATTTGTGTTTCAGCAGTACATTCATTATTTGCTCTCCACTAATATAATTTTTAAAAATAATTAGAAGTTTTACAGTACTCAAATATTATGGTTTCGGTCTAGTGGAACCCGTCAGAGACTTGGAGTGATGAGTTGAGCAAAATAGTTAAGAAACATTTAAAATTGAGTAATTTTTTGGAGTCGGTTTGTAATCAGAACTATATTCCCGTTCGGTTGATTTTATAAAACTTCTAATTATTAAAAAAGATTATATTATGAATTATGGTCTCTTGACTAAGAGTATTGTATAAGAGGGAATGGTTAACTTGAAAATTTCAGAAGAGTCTTTTGATTGTTTAATCTTTTTCACTGTATGAGTGTGTGTATATATTTAGAATTTGACAGAAAAATTCTGATAGAATGGTGACTAACCTTATGAATCGATGCAAGAGAGCTTTCTAGCTACAGTTTTGAGAGATATCCTCTAATGTGTAGGCGGTATTAAATGCCTTTATGTTTGGTTTCTTATTCTTTGTCACAAAGTCGTGTAACGTTGACATTCGATGTTTTTTTCTAGATTGTATTGGCTCAGCTTTCAATGCAAAGGGGGTGATGCAGTGCCCAAACTGTCGGAAAGTAGAGAAAGGCCAGTGGCTTTACGCAAACGGTTGCCGTTCTTACCCTGAATTCAATGTCGAGGAGTGGGTTCATGAAGAGGATATTTATGATATTGGAAGCTACTCTGAAATGGTAATAGCCTTGTAACCCTTTCCCTTCCCAAGTTCTGTTTCTTCACTCAACTCCTCTGCCTCCTGAGGATTGTCTTTTAACTGCTTGAGTTATGTTCCATGTCGAAAGTGCTTGTGTTTATGTATATTTGCAGGCTTTTGGAGTTCACTGGTGCCCTTTTGGAAGTTCAGCGCGTCTTCCTTCCTTCGAGTAAGTAATTACAAACCAACCTAGCTTATTTTAAGTCTGTTTTATGCTAATTTTGGCATTCAAAAGTGGCATTTTCTTTGCTGATAAATCTCTCTCACACAATGTAGGGATGGAGATTTTTCGCCGAGTTCATGTAAGACATAGTCACATTGGTTATTTATCGTTTCTCACGTTTCTGGCATTTTGGTTTACTGACCTATATGAGTCTGACGCCACAGATCATGATCTCATGGGGCAGCAAGGTTACTTTACAGAACCAGCAGCGCCATCAGCAGGTCACCCATGTCCATATGTAACTTACTTTGGCCCTGTTCATTCTTCTTCCTCAAGCACTGGCGGTGCTGCAGGCGTTTCAGACACGTCAAGTTTCCCTAGTCACTGGAACACAGGCTCGTCCGGTGAAGTCCCAACTCCTTATGGTTTCCCTGTGGATCCACACTATCACGGCTGGGAATATCACTCGCCTCCACCACCACATCCTCCACAGCACTTCTCTGCTTCTAACCCTCACGTGGGCAGTCCAACACATCCCACGCCTCCACCAGCTGCTTCAAGGACTTCCCGAGCCAACGGCTCAGATGTTATAAGACCAAGACCGCCTCATTTCATGCGTCCATCTTATCATGGTCACAGGTAACATAGTTTCTTCCTTAACTTCAAAAAATGGAATTTAATTAAAGTCTTATATCTTTTGTCTTGTGTAGTTCTAGCGGTAGAGCAGGGAGCTCGGTGGCAGCTGTTCCGAGGTCACCGCCTTTTCCGGGAAGCAATGCTCGGACTCGAGATAGAATGCAAGCTCTTCAAGCCTATCACCAACAGTCTTCTGGTGCTGCACAGTCACACCAACCTGATTCTCCCATAGTGTCTCATGGGCCTGTGTTCTCCTCTGGGAGGAGGCCCAGTAGAGCTTCCTTGATGGGCTCAACTTCGTCTTCGTCGGATCAGGCGGGTGGGAGCGCGTTTATCCGGTTTAACATATGGGAGAGGGAGCCTTATATGCAATTGCAACAGGCTTACCCGGTTAACCAGATGGACAGAGAACAACCATCACTTTGGACCTTCAATGAAGGATCAGGAAGTCTCCATCAGAGGCATGGAGGTGGAGGAGGATCATCATAAGAGTCAATGGCCGGGGAGAATGTCATGAATGTTGGACCAAAGCTAAACCATAAAAAAAATTGGGAATTTGATAAACCTGAAAAAACTGCATGCTCAAGTTATGTGATGAGTTGATAATCTAAAAAAAAAACACATATGAATGTGGTATGTAATGGTTTGGAGAGAGACTGCTTTCCCAGTTGGTGGTGTGACCGTCCGGTTTGCGCCGGTTAAGGTCTGGTTTGGATCAGGGTAGTAAAATGGTCTTTGGATATTTGTTATTATTTTCTTGAGGAGGCTACAATGGGTACCTAAGTGAAAGACACCCTAATGAAACATTTGTTTTCTTCTTCTTGCTATGTTAAATGTTATAAAGTACTGACTTTTCTTTTTAGGCTATCACATTTTATTCAATGGTGATGATTTGTTATCTAGGCCAATTTACCAGACTATAGTCTGTGTTACAACAAAAAAAATAGAAGATTATGAGCCACATTGAAATAAATGTTCATGAGTATATTCAGAGGGATTGTTCTGTGTTAATGCACACAAGATACAGATTTGTAAGACAAACTTGTTGACAATAGACAATGATTATTTTTAATTTGAATAACTAGCATTTGCATTTTGCTGGTGATTACATGAAATTGGACAAAAATAGGGAGTTTTAGTGTCAATACGAAAGCTTTGGGGTAAATCTTATAAAATAGAAACATTTGGGGAGGTTATGTAATTTATAGAAAATATAAATTAGGGCAACAAGACCACTTTAAATGAACAAAACCCTAGACATTTGGTTCTGTCTCCTCAGCTAATAGACGCCGCTCGTCTCTTCAGACAGTTCCACCTTCTAACGATTTGTTCAAGGTACGCTCACAATCTCTCTTTAATGGAACCGCTCTTCAATGTCTGAAAACAGATTCAATAGACTTATCTAAGAAGTTTCGATTTCACATTTCACTTGCTGCTTAGAGGTCTTGTTAGATTACAAACTCACATCTAAGTAGTTTAGGATTATCTCTTTGCAATGCTTAGATCTCACTTTGCGTTACTCATATCATCTAATAAGTATTGAAACGCCTTGCTTGATAAGTACACTATACTCTCTTTTTGATAAGCACACTATGCTCTGTTTTTTTGATAAGCACACTATGCTATGTTGTTTTTTTGGTCTTTTATAGAGAGAAGGGGTTGAAAGATGAGTCGTGGAAGCGCAGCTGTTGCCAAGGGAAAGAAGAAGGGAGTTTCCTTCTCCATTGACTGCTCAAAGCCTGTTGATGACAAGATCATGGAGATTGCTTCTCTTGAGAAGTTTCTTCAGGAGAGGATCAAAGTCGGTGGCAAAGCCGGTGCTCTCGGTGATTCCGTCACAATCACACGTGAGAAGAACAAGATCACTGTCACTTCTGATGGTCAGTTCTCCAAGAGGTAACAACACTCATCTAACTTATCGCATTGTCTCTTGTAAGTATTCAAGAGTGTTGATTTAACTCAATTGTTTTGTCTGTGTTGTTTATCAGGTATCTCAAGTACTTGACGAAGAAGTATTTGAAGAAGCACAACGTGAGGGATTGGCTCAGAGTGATTGCAGCTAACAAAGACCGTAACCTCTATGAGTTGAGGTACTTCAACATCGCTGAGAACGAGGGAGAGGAAGAAGACTAGAATCTTACCAATTACTCTTGTATCGGTTTCTGCTCGTTACAATTTTATCTTTTTGCTCTCTGTTCTTTTTTTGACAGTTCTTGATCTTAGTTTTGGTTGAAGTTGGACTCTTGTTTTCAGACAATTATTTGAGAAAAGAATATCGTATGATTCCTGAATCTATTAATGGGGTTTAAGTATAATGTTACCCTCCCCCAAAAAATAGTGATACGTTATATTCTTAATTTTATGGTCTATAGACCAATATAACGTACCCATAACAAGAGATCAGTTTATTGTTAAGATATAAAAAGTATTTTCGTGGGTTTCAATTTCAGTTTCTATTAGGAAAAATATAGGGATTTTCCTGCTTAAAATGAGAATTGTAATTACATGTTTTCATTATATTTTTATACATAAAAAATTTCCTATTTCCTACATAAGATAAGAAAATAATTTGATATCACTGGATAGATTAGGAGTAAAAAAATTCCTTTTCCTACTTAAGATGAGAAAATAAGTTGATATCACTGGAGAGATTAGAAGACTTGTGTATATAAACCTTGTTTAATTTTTTCGCTAGCATCAAAGGAAGTTGATGAAACACACAAGTCCCAGTAGATTCAGCAAGTATGGTTTCTTCAGCTACAATAAACGAAAGAGTAATTAGTCTCGCGCACTTAAGGAACATAGAGACTCCAGGTACCGAGTTAACACTCTCCATAAATCCAGATATATGGGAAATCAAGAAACATCTCACGGAGAGCGACGTAGCAAGCAACCAAACTCGTCTTATGCTACCAAAGGACCACGTGGTTGCACACATTCTCGATCACCTCACGGATGAAGAGCGCATGATGATCGAAGATGTAAATAATAATAATCAAGGGTTGAGAATCAATGTGTACGACAGTTATGATAAGTCTTTGCATCAGCTGTCTTTCAAGAAGTGGCATTCAAGTGGGTGCTATGTGTTGATTAACAATTGGAATACGCAGTTTGTTAAAAGATTAAGTCTTAAAGCGGGTGATTTAATTGGACTGTTTTGGAATACTTATGCGTCAAGGCTCCACTTTCGTGTGCTTAGTCCTGCTAATCCTAATCCTTGATTCCAAGGATTTTAAATATTATAGATCTCATTCTTGTGTTAAATTCATGTTTATTATTAGTTTCTAATTTATAACCAGTTATTAATCTTTGCGTTTGTTTAGTTCATTCAGTTGTTCATTCATTCAATAACATCAGGTTTTGTTTTGTTACTGTATTACAATGAGAATTGGAATTACTATTAAAGTGCCTAGGTCAGGTTATAGTACCGTTTGATGCAAGGAAAAGTATCATCTGCGTGAAAGTTTCCAAGTGGGGGACTAATGGCAAATCAAATGGTTTTTACAAAAACAAAAACCAAAAACTAAAGCAAAAACCAGAAACAATCATCACCTAAATAATTATAGTATTTGACTATTTTCTAAAAAATAGAATAAAATTCGTTTTTTAAGTAAAAGCTCACAAAAGTTGGTTTTTGGTTTTTTTTCATAAATTGGTTGAAATTTTGAAAAACTAGTTTCCCTAAAATTAAGGGAATCCATTTTTCAAAAAAACTTGATTGGCAAATCAAATGGTTTTTACAAAAACAAAAACTAAAAACCAAAACTTGATTGGATAAAAAATAGTTTTTACAAAAACAAAAACCAAAAACTAAAGCAAAAACCAGAAACAATCATCACCTTGGATTCTAGTTTTTTTTTTTTATAGAAAATGTCAGTTACTTAAAAAAAAACTTGTTTTCCGAGATTATAGGAAATCTATTTTTCTAAAAGTTTTTTCAAAAAAAAAAAACCAGAAACTATATTAAAATCAGTAAACAATAATAGCAACCTCGTGTTATTCACGAAATCATGTATTCTCTCAATAGTACAGTACAATATAATCCAATAACCGGTTTGGTGGGGTTGATTGAGTAATCCGGTTATTTTCCGGTACAAAGATTCATATGTAGAGCTTACTCGTTGTCTACGATGCATGTAGGCTTATTTGTGTCTTTCAGACGAAACAAAGCGAAGATGCTTCAACACAGACCGAAGAAATAACATATGTCTGAAATGCAGCCAAGACTCCCACAAACCAAAGAGAGCCGCACACATATTAAACCGAACCGGTTTTGTCAAACCCTCAGGGACATTAGGGATAAGTTCAGAGAAGAGAACAAGGTGATAGAGAGATGTCTAAAGACCAACGGTGCAAACATCGTGGAGAATTTAACCGAGGAAAAACCGGTTTTTGGTAAACCGAAACAAAACCACCACATGTGAGAAACCGGGTGTTGGATAGTAATTTGTCGGATTGGAGGATGTTCATGAGAAGCAGATCCACATGTGATTCTTTTTTTTTCTTGTCTTTAATTTTAGTAGCTTTGATTAATTATTTCATGATTCAAAAATTGTTAAAAGTTTTGATTACAAATAATCGTAGTATCATTAGTTAACTCAGAAAAAAAAATGTTAGTGGGTTTCAGTCTCCTATGATTAGATAATCCCTTCACTTTTTGACATACGCTTCAGAGTTCTGAACCACATTGACTTGGGTCACACGTTTTCCTTGTAATTATCGTGAGAAGAGTATGTAAAGAAGAGGTTCAATGGTTTCATGGCATCTCCTAGTTATTAACTTATATAAGTCGTCTGGCGTATCTGCTCTATAAAGTGAGAGCAGAGAAAAAATAATAATTTAACTCTCATTTATTTGAAATCGATGAAAGTGTCAAAGGTATTATTAATACATGAATTTAACTCTGAATCATCTTAGCTACTTTGAAAAGCATACACTTGAGACCACTCTATAACAGATTACTCACACGAATGAATCAAATCATCTCCAAGGATTGTTAACGAGAACAAACCTCACTCTTTTTAGCCTTGTCTCGATCTACACGTGAGAAAGCGGAGCTTGCTTCTCGAAAGATGACTAATTGTATGCTTTATGGAGACTGCAAAGTCAATAAATATATATATATCTATACCTTTTAAGAGATTCCTTTAGCGAGAGAGTTTTGAAGCAGGGTTCCTTCGGTAACAGGTGAAGCAGATGCTTTTGGAGGCTCATTAGCAGAAGGGGAACTAAACATAAACGGATCAGAGTCTATATTGGTTGACGAAGTGAACCTCGAAGATCAACCAAGAAGAGACTGTAAGTTTGCTTCCCTTAGCTCTTCTCTTTTTCAAGGCGAAATAAGCAGAGCCGTGACCACCTTTTCTCAACCTTCTAGTCAAGGAATAATCAAGTTCACTCTGAGTTCTAACAAGTGATATTACGTACTACAAAAACACTCTCTATAGACATAACAAAAAGCATCAGATCAAGACATCAAAAGTTGGAAAGGATATCTTAAAGAAGTTCGCATGTTGCGTTGTGATATGGCCAACGATATCTAATCCCACTCTCTTAGTGCATACAGGACAGACCTGAGAGGAAACAAAGAGATAGCAGATAAGTAACTCCACTAACAGTATCATCAGGATCATGAAAGATCGCTAGTTTACAGAATACCAGCGAATGAAAAACACTCAATTTAGCTTAACATTCCAAGATTTGATAAAATAAGGATGCTAAATGACCTCATCATCTGATAAGAAGAAACAAGAGGAAACCAAGAACATAACATAAAACCAACATTTTCAATTTTCTCAAAGCAAAAACCAAAGTTTTTTTTTTTGTAACATCTGAACAAAGCTAAAGCTAAAACCTAAGAATCAGACAGATCCTGTCTCCAAAGATAAAGAACAGAACATAAATCCCCAAAGATGAAAGAACATAACATAAATCAAACATATCAATTTCAAGCAAAGCTTCCAACTTTCAAAGAAAAGAAAGAAGTTTTTATAACATATGAACATAAGGTAAAAGCTAAGACGTGATCAAACCTTGAGATTTCGACAAATCTTGTCTCCAAGAAGGTGTTACTTCCATTTTTTTTTACTTTTCCATTTTTTATTGTTCTATGTTAGTGAGAGATTCTTGTTCTTAAGATACTTTGGTATCATAAAACGTAGTTAATAATTATTTTATTTAGCATTATCAAAATATTTTGTTCCAAAACAAGACAGACTGAGATTAACACATAAACAAAACCATAAGATAGACTCACTCTAACACCAACATTCAACGAGGGAATGAGCGGATTGTAGTTGCAAACCACTTTGCAGCCACATCCCACTCCACATCCGCTACCAACACCACTGGAACCGGACTTCACCTTTAAAGAAGTAGCTCTTCGAGCAAGACGTGCTCGAGAATTGAGACAAAGATGTTGTTTTGATGTTTTTTAAGATTTTTCATAGAAAGGGGATTACAAAACATACCTTAAATAGTAAATAGTAAATACAAGGGTTTTTACGAGATTAAAAGATCGTTATTGTTGAACAAGATGGACAAACAATCAAAGTCAATAGTAAATACTGCACTATTATTGTAAAATGGATATATGAATCTTGCAATTAATAACACTTTGCATAATTAGAAAAACTATTTTTATCCTAAAGTAGTTTTCACAGTGGTGTTATTGTGTTTTTGACGGCTATGGATAGCGAACGAAGACTATCGAATTTTTGTGTGTGAATAGTGGATAAATGTTATGACGTATTAGAAAATTATATATTGAATAAGTGCAACATTAAGCTTCAATTGGTGATTACACTTTAGCAAAAAAAATAATGGTGAATTATTATTCCTCAAAATTTATGTTATTCATGTTGAATTATCTTGTCAAATTACAGAACATATGTCCCACTCTATTCCTCTAATTTCGTAATGAATGAGAAAAAAAAAGAATATGAAGAAAAAATTCATTCTCCATTTTCGATGTGGAACAAATTGAATATTAATTCATATGTTTATGCTTATTCATTTCATCAACTCAATTTTTATTCATTACTTTGTTCGTTTAATTAAATTGTCACCAATTGAAGCTAAAAAAATAACGATATAGTTTAAAGACGTTAAGTTAAAAACGCATAATTAAACAGAACGCTTGACATTAGAAAAGTATATATTCCACCAAACCCTTACTAGATTATTATTAAATTCAGTTATTTACCTTTATTCACAAGATTTCTCGTCAAAATATTTCCCTTTTGCATTTTTCTCCGTGATTCTGCTATGTTGTGTTCAAGAAACTTCCTCATATCCAAATAATATATTATCTTGAAATTCATCCCTTGAAACCTCAGTTTGCATATTCTTGTTGTCAGTGGCTCCAATTGGCTCCATTCTATCTATCTGACATTTTTTTTCTTTCTAATTAGCCTTTTTGGATTCTCTCTTTGCTTTGCTTTTAAAGCTTTCTCCCCAAAAAAACCCCTAATAATCCGTGATTAGAGCGATTTATCGTCAGTTTTTGTTTGTCTCTTAATCACGATATGGCAGATTAGGCAAAACAAAACCAGAAAGAAATTAAAGTAAGGTATGGCAAAATTCTCTATGTCTAGGGTTTTTAGTTAGGTTGGTTCCATAACTTACTCTTAGTGACACAACTTTCTGTGAAGCAGAGGGTTTCTCTGTTTAAACAGCTGATGATTCCTCATAAGAGCCTTGTTACGGAATCAAATCAAGTTTTGGACCAGTGGTGAAGTCACTGATAAAGACTGAGAATGTTGGTTGGTTTCAAGATCTCAATAAACTTGTTAGTGAGATGACACTGTTTCAAACAGTTCTCTTGAGTTGTAACACTTATTGTGCTAGGAACATTGCTCTTTAACAGGTTTTGCATTCAAACTTCTAAATAAGCTTATGATCATGTGAAATAGATATTACTGCTATAATTGGGTGAAATAAACCACATGGAGTTTTTGGGGGCTCAAGAAATTGTTAATCAGACAGTTTTTATTACTCTACATTTCCTTCATTAGCATCCTGTTATTACTATTCATATTGCAGTATCCTCCAAAGAGTTTATTTTTATTTTCTTTTGCAATTTATTTTTTTAAATCTCAACTTCTCTATAAAGAGTTCTCAATTGAATCAATTACACTCCATGAACCGGATTGATTTGAATAAACCGAACAATGTAATCTCCATGAACCGGATTGGTAACCGAACAATGGAAAAACTCAAAATTGCGAACCGGAATTGAACGTTAACCGAATTGGCGTATCAACGTATTATTATTATTCCACGTTGGCTCATAAATGTCGTTACAAGTAGCGCAAAAGGGAAAGAGTTAATTATTACTATAAATAGCCGAGACGAGAGGGAGAATAACCGCTTTTAGTAACTCTTGCACTCTCTCGTCTTCCTTGAGATCATTACTGTTCATCGTAGCAGAGATCAGTCGCCGAGAAAGATGAGAGGATACTCAACGAAGAAGATGATGTTTCTGCAGCTTCTCACGCCAATCATGTTGCTTCATCTCTTCATCTCGTCTTCCTCTGGTGAGTATTGAAATCTTTAAGTCTCTTTCACTTCTTTTGCATCAAAATCTTGATGCATCGAACACCTTCTACTCATAAAGTTTCGACCTTTTAGTTCTTTTAGATCATCTTGATTTGTTATTCATGCAAGTCTTCCATGTTCTACTCAGAAAATCTACGATCTTTTAGTTCTTTTAGGTCATCTTGATTCGTCTTGATTCATTTGTAAGATACTCTGTTCTCTCTGTTTCATGCGTTGTTGTTGTTATTTCAGGTGAAGAATCAGTTAACTCAAGTGAGAACAGAGTATGTGTTTCTAAAGGAGGACGATACGAGTTAGAAGGAAAGCTTCCCAAGTTTGCTGATCTTGAGTTTAAGGATCTAAACATGTGTAACGTGTTCCATGGCAAGACTTGTTGCTCTGCTTCACAAATGCTCTCTGTTTCATTAGCTCTCCAAAACCTAGCCGTTCATGGAGAAGCTTCTAAGGAATGCTTGTTCTGGTTTGAGCTTTTGGAATGTTCAATCTGTCATCCAGACGTTGGAACTCAGTTAGATTCTATACGCATCTGTGCCTCCTTCTGTGACAGTGTCTTTGAGGCTTGCTCTGATGCTTACTTCACTAGTGATGACACTAATCAGGTAAAAGAAACGTTTGTGTTTGAGAATTCACAAGTTTTTTTGAGAGATTGATTTGGGTTCTTGTTTGTGCGTTAGGTTATAGTACCGTGTGGAGCAAGCAATGGTATCATCTGCGTGAAAGTGTCCAAGTGGGGGACTAATGGCACAGCGTTCTGTGATGCATTGGGTTTCACTGTTCAAACAGCTGATGATTCACCTTGTTACGGAAGCAAAACTAGTTTAGAGTCAATGGTGAAGTTACTCACAAAGACTGAGAATGGTGCTTGGTTTCAAGATCTGAAGAAGCTAGTTAGTGAGATGACACTGTCTCAACAGTTCTCTTGGGTTGCCACATTTACTGTACTTGGAACAATGCTCTTCAACAGGTTTTGCATCTCTCTTTCTCTCTCTGATTGTCTCTAGTTTCAGTTTAAACCGGTTTGATGTGTGAATCTTGCTTTTGGAATTTGATATCTCAGGTGGCGTTACCAGCAGCAGATGCAAGCTATGATCCAGAGAGATGCAAGAAGATTGATAAGGAACAACATGAATGGGAGGATTTAACACTCTTTCTGAGCTGTAGCATTCAAACTTCTGAATAAGATTATAATCATATGAAATAGATATTCTCTTAGGGAGTTTTGGGGACTCAACAAATTGTAAATCAGACAGGTTTTTACTCTACATTTCATTCATTAGGATCATGGTATTACTATTCCTTCATTTTGCAGTGTCTTCCAAATAATTTTTTTTTTAGTTTCTTCTGTATAAAAGTTCTCTATTGAATCAGTGTCTTCCAAAGAGTTTATTTTGTCTATGAAATCTCCATGAACCGGATTGGTTAATCAATAAACCAAACAATATAAAACTTAGGATTTTGAACCGAATTGGCATATCTATGTGTTATTCCATGTTAATCTCTTCAGAGTAACTCCACTGGAAAATATAAGTGAGTATCCACTATTAAAATGTAAACAAAATTAGAAAAATAAGAGAGTTGAAATAGAGTTCTCCAAGGAAAACTTATGAGAAACTTCATTAAAACTTCTAATACCACATGTTCAATTATTGTCCATCCATATTAATGTAATTCTTTTAAAAAAAAAATCTAAAATTTAACTTTGTAAGCAAATTGTAATAAAAAATAGTAGTAACAAATTTGTTAAGATTGAGATACTAAACAATAAAGTTGCTCTCATAACTAAGAGCATCATTATCGGGGTATACTACCCCGTCTCTTAGCATTAATTTGATTTAGAAAAAAGTGAAAATTACCTTTTATTTGAAACAACGTCGCTTAATCAGGAGAAGGGAAAGCACGTCTCTTATGGGACACGCGTCAAAGTCTCCTCCTCTCTCTCATCTCTATCTCTCTCCCGATTGAAATCAGTCGGTTTCTC